AGCTCGATGGGTTGGGAAATGAGAAGATGAAGCTGGAAGGAGAGTTGAAGAACATGCAGGGCCTGGTTGAGGACTTCAAGAACAAGTGAGTGAAGTTGTAATTTTGAAGGTGAATAATTTAACCCATAAAACACTGAGAACAGAATTGATTTACTTACATTTTCCCATCTCTTAACAGATACGAAGATGAGATCAACAAGCGTGCTTCCGTAGAGAATGAGTTTGTCCTGCTCAAGAAGGTAATGGCCATTCATATTTTTTGAATGGGTGGGGATTGCCTCCCTTTTTCACTCCGCTTTTTTTGTCTTATTTTGTAACAACAATGGGGTATAATGTCCTCTCACCTTTTTTTTAGGATGTTGATGCAGCCTACATGAACAAGGTTGAGCTTGAGGCCAAGGTTGATGCTCTTCAAGATGAGATCAACTTCCTCAGGGCAGTCTATGAGGCTGTAAGTTCAAATCGGTTGTGTTTGGCCAACAAATACTACATAGCATATTGCTTTGTTAAGGCATGCAATTTACAGATTGATTGGTCTATGTTTGCAGGAACTCCGTGAGCTCCAGTCTCAGATCAAGGACACGTCAGTTGTTGTAGAGATGGACAACAGCAGAAACCTGGACATGGACTCAATTGTGGCTGAAGTTCGTGCTCAGTATGAGGACATTGCAAACCGCAGCCGTGCCGAGGCAGAGAGCTGGTACAAACAGAAGGTGGGTCAAGCACTTATAGGTTCAACTCTTGAAGCCCACCTCATCTGTAGCTACGCAAGTACTCATAGTCTCAATATGTGTTACAGTTCGAGGAGATGCAGTCCTCTGCTGGTCAATACGGTGAGGACCTCCGCTCAACCAAGGCTGAGATTGCTGAACTTAACCGTATGATCGCCCGCCTGCAGAATGAGATTGATGCCGTCAAGGGACAGGTAATGATGAGAAAATAGTGAAACAAAAATATTTCACATTCGCTGTATGTAAAAAAGCTGACTTTATGTACGTTGTTGTCATTTTAGCGTGCCAACTTGGAGGCTCAGATCGCTGAGGCTGAGGAGCGTGGAGAGCTGGCAGTGAAGGACGCCAAGCTCCGCATCAGGGAGCTTGAGGAAGCCCTCCAGAGGGCCAAGCAAGACATGGCCCGCCAGGTGCGTGAGTACCAGGAACTCATGAACGTCAAATTGGCCCTGGATATTGAGATCGCCACCTACAGGAAGCTGTTGGAGGGAGAGGAGAACAGGTAGGAAGTGTTAAAAAAGTGTTTCTATGATATTTACACTCTCAGAACTTTTCCACCAACCTGGTGTTGAAAAACATCACTAAGCAAATCTGTCATATTCTTCACTCAGACTGACCAGCGGTGGATCTACAGCCACCATTCATGTGCAGCAGACCTCTGGAGGTGTGTCATCTGGTAAGTAAATCTTCCTCACTCTCTCTCAATCTATCAATCTTATTCTCCAGGTCATGTTGGATATGTTTCTGAACCTTCTGATCTCTTGCAGGTTTCTCTGGAAGTGGCTCTGGATTTGGCTATGGTGGCGGTTTTAGCAGTGCTTCAGGATTCGGAGGTGGTTCAGGATACGGTGGCAGCTCCATCAGCAAAACCAGCGTCTCCTCTGTCAGCAGCAGGCGCTTTTAAGGAGAAGCCCTCCAACTCAACCCAACCAAGCATCCCTCCTTCCCTACCTGCAACCAGATCACTTCAAACCTTTCTTCAACTCAAACCATCTTTGGTGCTAAATTCTAGCCAGACAGCTATCCTGTATTAATGTGGAGATGAGGACAATTATTTCTAAAAACAAAATATGTTTTAGGTTATTCTGTGCGTTGCTGGCAGATATTGCCTTGTGGTATCACTGCCATTTTAAATCATCAACACAACTACACTTAAATGACACCAGGAAGAATTTAATGGAGAATCTGTATTCCCAGCCACTGAATTTTTATTTCTGCACTGGTATGTATGGGGAAAGAGAAACTTGAATGAAATACACATAGAAACCACTGAAGTGAATTAGGCCTTAACCCAACGATAGGATTTCAAGTCTCATTAGCATGTCCACAAGCATTACCATGGTTTTACTGGATCAGGGATGTGCTATACAGGTCCTGAAAGTCCTGGTTGAATGTTTTGTGCTGTGTTACAACTCCCTGCTGTATTTTAGTTGACTAATATGTTGACTAAATTGACTAATACTAATTTAGTTGAGAGTGTCAGTTTACAACCTGTAACTGATGACAATGACTTGTTGGCTACTAAAGTCCAGCTACCTCACATTCAAGGGAGATCGGTTACAGCAAAAAATAGGCACAGTGGCATTTCTGGTGACCGTCCCTCATGTACTTGCTGAGTGGGAAGTTGAGAGCTCCATTTACTGTGTGGTGACTGTACTACCTTACACTTTCCCCAGAATCCAAACAGCTTCCAGAGCATATTTTACAATCCCTGTTATAAATGGAAAAATGCAACACTGAAATCATGTTCAACCAGATTTATTTTGTATTGATTGACTTGACACCAACTTTTAAATACAATAAATCTGAGACCACAAGATTTTGCCTTGCTTTGTTTTTCACTGTTTTTTTTTTGTTTTTTTTGGTGGGGGGGGGGGGGGGATTTTTACATTTTCAAATCATCAAATAGCTAGCCTGGATGCCAGCCCGAACCCCGCCCACAACATTTTTTGGTCGGGAGGTTCGGTCTGGACTCGATCCTTTGAGCAGTAATGGGCTATATTCACGCTGCACGCATAAGTTCCGCATTTGAGGCAAGGATGCTCGTCCATTTCCGGTTGTGGAGATTAAAGCGGAGGAACACTGAGGAAAACGGGATTATGGCAGAGTCTTCAAAATTTACTGTCCTCCCGTCTTTGAAATGAAATGTACATACGTTTAGATGTAATTTTTTATATAGTTATGTTTATTTAATATAATTTTAAAAAGAAGCATAAACACAACGAGGGGTGTCTGTTTTATCTGTTTTTGTGACTAACGTTTCTTTAGTATAACCATGGAGTATAAAACTCAATATAAATTCTCGGTATTGCATTGGACTCTACGATCGGCGGAAGTTCACCGGAAATACCGCCGTGCATAGAGCCCAGATCAGACAAGAAAAGTTCTGGCCAATCAAATTGCCAGGGCGGGCTTTATACGATGATGGACAGGTGATCTGCAAGGACGTAATCATCACGTTATCAACGAGCGCTTAACTGGTTTTCCTCAAAGATGACTGCAGCTGGAGAATTGAGATGTATAGATTCCGCTGTCGCGTCTGTTGTGAAATAAATCGACAGCGCATTAATTTTAATAGACAAACAGAAAACTGCAATCAAGGCATTTGCAATCAAGATATCGGAAGGATATCTTTGCCGTCCTTCCTACATGATTCGGCAAAAGTGTAACTTATCGGCTGGCTCTGATGGTCGCTAAGAAGATGGGACGTAATGAAAAGCCTGTGGTCGTTGTGGTTTCTTCTTTGGTCGCACTCATGGAGGAGTAAGTAAAAGAAGCAACACTTGTTATTTAACTTCTAAAGTAAGTAAAGTTAGGCTACGTTCTGTAGTTGACAATTGTATGCAAAGTAGTTCACTTACTGTGTTGCTCTGATTGGTTGTAGTAGGTTTACCGATTATCCAATTGATTGCAGAGTTGTTGTTTTTTTTCTGGTTTGATTATGAGGACACCCTCATAATCAAAGTCCTACAGAGCAGTTTCAGACTCACATTCCAACAAGAATATGAGTATGACGAAGTCAGGCTACAAAATAAATATAATGTGGTTAAAAACCATAGACTGTGCTATGACAAGCGCTGAGCGCGTCCGTCTTTGGCTCAGTGCCAGCCATAGAGCGAAAGAACGCAGTTTGAATCTAGCAGCACTGTACATACACTCTGTGTAACCCGGTATCGCGACAAGACGTAAAATAATCACGTTGGTCCACTTTGGAAAACGTGTAGATGTCACGGTTTAACCCCCTCAAACGTGAAACTTACACGTTTGTTAACACGTTCCAGTGGAATAATTAAATAATTATTTAATCAATAGTTAGAAATCAATAGTTCAATAGTTAGATAGTAAAATCACTAGTTCAATAGTAAATCAATAGTTAGAAATCAATAGAAATCAATAGTTCAATAAAAAGAAATCAATAGTTCTATTCATCAATGATGAGTTACATTGATCAAATTAATTATTTCACTATAATTAAATAATTTGATCAATGTAACTCATCATTGATGAATAGAACTATTGATTTCTTTTTTCTCCCCTAAAAATAAAATAAAAATTCTTACTGACCCCAATTTTTTTAAAGGGTAGTGTTAAATGTTACAAAAGCTTTCCATTTCAGATAAAAGCTGTTCTTTTGAACTTTCTATTTATCAAAGAATCCTGAAATAAAAATGTAAAAAAAAAAAAGTTTTCAACATTGATAATAATCATTCATGTTTCTTGAGCAAATCATCCTATTAGACTGATTTCTGAAGGATCATGTGACACTGGAGACTAATGATGATGAAAATTCAGCTTTGATCACAGAAATAAATTACACTTCACTATATATACCCTATTCACAAACAAAACAGATGTTTCAAATTGTAATAATATTTCACAATATTATTATTTTTTTGTATTTTTTTTATCATAAAAATGCAGCCTTGGGGAGCAGAAGAGACTTCTTCTAAAAACATTAAAAATCTTATCGATCTAAAACTTTTGACCGGTAGTGTATAGCCTATATATATATATATATATATATATATATATATATATATGTATATATATAAATCCATAGTTTTCCCGAAAATTACATTTTTTACCTAGACCCACACATTTTGTGAATATTCAAATTATCCTGTTAAAATGTTTTATTGGTTCAGTCTGAACATGAATAATAATTATTAAATTAAACAACAATATTGTTTATGATAAATTAAAAGTTATTTTTTTTAAATCCATTATGTTTAATAGTATATCTTCAGTCAAAACCAAAGGTTTTATTTATTATTTATTTATTAGCCTTTATTTAACCAGGAAAAAAAATCCCATTGAGATTACTAATCTCTTTTTCAAGGGAGTCCTGGCCAAGACAGCGGCACAGATCACAACAATTTAGTACATTACAGACAATTTTATAACAATTTCATAAGACTATTTAAAACATTCACAAACCATAGATTTCATTTCCGAACCTTTGATATCAATGTTTTATTTTTTTCAAGGTATCAATGTTTTAAAATGATCTTGTTCAAATCTTGTTTTTCATGCCCTAAGAGCAATAAAAACACAGAGAAATAACTAAATTCATGACTGATGTTATCATAACTAATGCAAGAAAGGGTTAATGAACCTTTCCAATAATTCTTTGTACAACTGCATTGCAAAATTCATCAAACGTCATATTTCATGTGGAAAGTTGTAGGGGTGAAATATTTTTATAGTGAAGTTGAATACATTTCAAGCCATAAATTATTTTTCTTTGGTCTACAGTTGCTGTGGTATGTAGACATTGTGATCTGGGTTTTCAGCATTTGTTGTTGGGTCTTGGGAATCTGCTGGAAACTCATTGCCCTGTACCTCTTGTGTCGCGGTTCTATAGACACAAATATAGGTCAGAATTGCTACCCCAATAAGAGTTGTGAGAACACCTGCAACAATTGGTACCGGATCCGGAGGTTTGTAAACTGAAAAATAAAAACAGAAGTGAACATTAAAGTAGGTCAAAGTTAGGACAACATTTAGGGGCGCAGTCCCTAAAAGTCACATTTTAAACTATAGGACCTTGCCAGTGCGGCGAAAATGAATAATTGTGGCAAACATTGTTAAAATTTTGTTTAACCTAGAAGTGACCTGCTCAATCAAAAATAAAACAGCTTTTATTACGTTACTGACTTCATTCTTTAGGTGTAATTTTTATTATGTAAAAATGACAAATTAGTAGCTCAGCACTGACCCCTGGTGTTTGTTATTTAAAATTCCACATTAAACATTATAGATTACAGATCAAGAGCATGACTAGATGCAAAAAAAAAAAATAAAAGTGCTGAAATGAAGTAATATGTTAGTTATCATGTATTAAAAAGTTTGTTGTTTATAGACACTCACTGTAAACGAAGACTTTGTTGCTGGGCTGAGACATAGGCTTAATGTTTGGAGATGAAGAATGAAGTTGGTATGAACAATCATATACTCCAGGCAATGATTCAAGTGTGATAGATGCAGAGGTGCCTCGATCTATGTTCATTTCTCTAAAAACAGTACCATTGTTTCTAAACACGATGTACCTCTAAACAGGAAAGAAAAGACTATTGTAAAGAAAATTGCTGCTTGTGTTCCAGAAACAATATTTGCAATGTAATAATTATAAAACAATTCAGAGTAACAGTATAAGTGTGAATGGGGTGAGTTACATAGTCTTGTGGTTTTAAATAAGCTGAGTCAATGGAGCAGGAGAATTCCACATTTTGTTTCTCCTTGACATACAATTCAGGGACAGGACCGTAAGTCATCACAGACAGTTTAGGAGGGGGCAATGCATCTGGCAAAGAGGAGGGTGAAACAAAAACATTTATTAGAAAGGTACAAAGTATGTGGGAATTAGTCAGACCACATGAATTGGTGTTTTTTTGGAGGTCTGTAGAACATTTTCGGGTAAAATTACATTGCATTTTTATATATATATTTATATATTATTAATCTGTCTCACCTGAACAAACTATGTAGTGAAAGCCTCTCTTTTTGCACAATTCAATTTCATTCATTGGGCAATCTCTGGTCTTTTCTTCTTTCCCACTGCATCTGATACCCCCGATTGTGTTTGAGAAATTCCAGTCGTTTTTTAAAATCCTCTCCGATTCCAGCACGTGCCCACATCCCAGTTCCCTGCACACCACTTTAGCCGTAATAAAAGCGTCATATGATTCAAATTCCTTCTGACAAACTGGTTCCCACTTGCCTTTGAGCTTGACCTTCAGGTATCCCACACAGCGTTCTCCCTGATCTTGCTCCCCGAGGCGAACCGGAAGCTCTTCTAATGGAGCACAAGGGAAAACAATGCACCATTTTTTTTTTTTAGAGAAAACATAGGTACACTTGAAATGTGAAAAAACACATGGGAAAGGAAATCTCAATTGTTTTTTCTTAAATAATTTGGTCACAGATTTGGCATCTCAGATCTCAAAGCCCCTCTCAACCAATTTTCCGTCTTTCAGAAAAGATGTGAACATCTAAAGTTATACTCAGATTTCTCACAAATTTGTTTGAAGACAACATTATCTAAACTATGCTATCCACATTATTTTACAGTTGTATACTGTCTTTAATTCATTTTCATATTTATCCTGAAGAGGTTTAGAATAAATATCCTGAGGTTACCATTAAAGGAATGGTTCACCCAAAATTGAAAATTCTGTCAGTATTTCCTCACCCTGATGTTGTTTCAACCCCGTAAGACCTTTGTTCTTCTTCGGAACAGGAATTAAGATATTTTTGATGAAATCTGAGAGCTGGATCACTCCTCCATACTAGTCCATAGGGATTGAAACATGATGGCCTCAAAGTTATTAAAGACATTGTTAAAAAAGAAACTTCTCTCTGGGCCTCGAGTCAGGTTACTAGTTTAACAGCATATGATCTGTTGTACGTCACACGCATCACACACATGACCAGCGTCGGCCAATAGTGAGCCATAGCCCTATGCTATCACGCTATGTTAAATTACTAGTGGCCCAGGGAAGGAAATGAATAGTTAAAATAAAGTTGCTATTTATGTTTATTTTTGCTCACAAAAAGTGTTCTCATCTCTTGATAAAGTTACGATTGAGTCACTGTCACTTGGACTATTTTAACGATGTCTTTAATAACTTTTTAAGGCCAGCAAGTTTCAATCCCTATGGACTAGTATGGAGTGATCCAGCTCTCAGAATTCATCAAAAAATATAATAATTCGTGTTCCAAATATGAGCAAAGGTCTTACAGGTTTGGAACAAAATGAGGGTGAGTAAATACTGAAAGAATTTTCATTTTTGGGTGAACTAACCCTTTGTTCCAACCCCGTAAGACCTTCGTTCATCTTCGGAACACAAATTAAGATATTTTTGATGAAATCTGATAGCTGGATCACTCCTGCATACTAGTCTACAGGCTTCTTGAGGGATTGAAACTTGCCGGTCTCGAAAAGTTATTAAAGACATTGTTAAAATAGTCCAAGTGTCTACAGTGGCTCAATTGTAAATTTATCAAGCAACGAGAATATTTTTTGTGCGCAAAAACAAACAAAAATAACGACTTTATTTCAGCTATTCACTTCTTCTCTATGCGCCTCTAGTCAGTTAACGTAGCGTAGAGCTACGTCACACGTAGGCTCACTATTGGCTGACGCTGGTCATGTGTGTGATGCGTGTGACGTACAATAACAGAAGCTTACGCTATTAAACTAGTAACCTGACTCGAGTCAGAGAGAGAAGGAAATCAATAGTTATAATAAAGTCGTTATTTTTGTTGTTTTTTTGCGCACAAAAAGTCATCGTCGTTTGATAAACTTATGATTGAGCCACTGTAGTCACTTGGACTATTTTAACGATGTCTTTAATAACTTTTTGAGGCCAGCAAGTTTCAATTCCTCAAGAAGCCTATGGACTAGTATGCAGGAGGGATCCAGCTATCAGATTTCATCAAAAATATCTTTATTTGGGTTCCGAAAATGAACAAAGGTCTTACAGGGTTGGAACAACATGAGGGTGACTAAATACTGACAGAATTTTCATTTTTGGGTGAAGTAACCCTTTAAGTCTTTTGAGTCAATCTTTTGACCGTGTGTGTGTACACTATATACGCACACATATTAACTCTAGACATAAAGAAATGCATTGCTTCTCTGTACCTGGCAAGGCTTGCTCAATGTTAGACGGCAGTGAATGCAAAACTTTTCCACTGTACAACATCTCCATAGTGCAGACAAACTCTATTTGGACGGCTGCATTCGTCTCTCTTAAATAGATACTAATGCCATCTTTAAGAAACACCGAACCAGCGGAGGTCCAGTTGGTTCCGGGTGTGACAGGGAGGATGCGGTAATACAGACTTAATGTGAAGTTTCTGACTGGACTAGCGGTTGAATTGCAGTACACAGTGTAATTCCCACCCTGTACAACGAAATTGGGGTGCAAAGACACTTTGGGAGGAGGGAGGGCAGCTGGTAAAGGGAAACAGAGACAAATAGAGTGACAATTCAGTAGAAAATTTCTAATATATTTTTTTAAAAACACACTTGCATAATCAAACTTACATACGAATAAGGGAACAGTGTTACTGAATTCAGAATAAGTATTCTTCAGTTCAGTTCGAGTGGATCGGTACCAGCACACCACTTTCCCTTCGTACTTGGGTATTGCGGGGATACTGAAATTCACTGAAGTCGGATTATTGACGACATTAGAGGTCACCCACGGTGTTGTGGTCTTTGGGGTCTGTGAGGAGCTTTCTAGCTTGCCCACAAACACAGTTACAGGATACGGAGCACCGCTAGGGGCGTCACAGGAAACAAGTAATACAGTGTTTAGCACAATATTACTTTCATTCACCCAGGAATCGAACTTGAGTGTAGGGGCTGGAACAGATACTAGAGGTGAGAGACAGAATGAGAAAAGAAAAGCGAGGGCAATACATATTAATGCAATACTTGACCAGAATTTATAGTTTTTCATTTAGTTAATGTGTGCTTGTTCATTTCAAATCAGCAAACCGCATAAGCAACACTAAATAAAAACAAATCATGGGATTTGTTTTCATTTAGTATTAGGATTTTATGTTGCACTGACCTTGTCACACATACACTCCGGTTCAAAAATTTTGGGAAAATTATTTTTATCAGTCAAGATGCTTTTCATTTGAGCTTTCTATTTATCAAAGAATCCTGAAAAAAATGCATCACAGTTTCCACCGAAATATTAAGCAGCACAACTGCTTAAGCACTAGATTAGCAAATGAAAGATCATGCAACACTGAGGACTCCAGTAACCAGCTTTTAAAATGTCAAAATTTGTTTTTATAAATTGTAATAATAGAAACTTCTTTCAAAAACATTTAAAAAAATGATCGAACTGTTGTGTAGTTGGACAATAGAAAGAGAACCTGCATAAGTTAGCGCAGGCATGATGAACTTAACATTACGAATACTGTTATTTATCATATTCTACGATCATTCACAGTTTTTACACATTTATGTAGCAACATTTTCTTCCCTTGTACTGACCATATGTGTGCTTCTGCCTCTGTACAGGAGTAGGTTATTCAGATCAAATGATTCTTACCCTGGGACGCTGTATTTCTCACACACATTATCCAGCACACCACAGCTAGCGCTATATGAAGAAAGAGCAATTGCGATATATTGTGAAAAACAGGACTTCCCAAATTCCTAAAGTACATGAAATGTGCAAGTTTCAACATTTTATACATGGTGGAAAAAACGAAGACGACATTATTTAAACCCCTAAAAAACATTTAAACCGTTAATATAGTTTTAGACTACTGGTTGAAAATACTTTACAAACTTTACAAAAGTATATTATTGTGAGTCAAACAAACTCAAGATTTAGAGGAGTACTGTTTTCAACACTTATTGCTTAATTGGCTAAACTAACTAAACTTGCCAAAGTCCTGCTAACTGTAATGGAAATGTTATTAGCTCAATGGGGTCTTATGATGATATTTTCAGAATCAATAATAGTGCCAGCTCTATCTATCAAGCCATTGCTCTTCTAATAAATGCAAATTCATTGTATATCTTAATTGTTGAAAGAAATGGGGAAGAATTATGCAAGTTCACTGGGTAGCCCTGACATCAAGTTTAGTTGCAAATGTAATGAACTGAGAACAACAATCGTTAACTGGAAATCAGAGCTAGGTCTATGTGTTTTTGCAATTAGCTAAATTTAATGAAATGTTCCACTGATAGACAATGTACTGCAATGAGATGAGCAATATTTCGTCTACTTTAAAAGCATCAGGAAAATGAAATAAACACTTACCTCTTGTGTTGGGGAGAAACATCCTGACAGGTAAATGTACCAGTAAATGAAACTGTGACAGTATGAATAAACTTAAATCCACAGGAAAGCTGAGCAAAAATACCCACCTGGCGAAACACTGCATTGAGTAACTAAGGAAGTCCACTAACAAAAAAAAAGAGGATATTGACCCCCAAAAAAGGATGTGACAGGTTTTTTTTTTTTCATTTACTGTAAAATAACCTAATAACCTTTTAGTCCACTATATACTGTGTGAAATATTAAAAATAATTCTATTAAAAAAATTTTTTGTATTAAAAAATTATTTTTGTATTATATTTCACCTATTTATTTCTTGTATAGTTTTGCATTAGGATGATAAAGGCTTAAATAATTCACCAAGAACAGTGTCATTTGCACACTTGAGATGTTAAGATTTTTTCCCCCAGAAAAATTAACTTGCATACTGATTAGCCATAATATTTATACTTCTATCCATATAGAAAATGTATCACATCATATTTCTTTTTAAATTGTATACCCCTGCACATTCCCACAATCTTATTTCAAATTTAATCCTTTTGCTTTGTAATACACAGTATTTATCTCCCCTTGTTGATGAAGATCTTGTCACTACAAACGTGATTCCAATGCACATCCTTTAAAAGCCAAACTTAGACAGAGGCCTCTGCTTAACCTGAGTGACCTGGTTAGACCTCTAATCCTGCATGGCTTTACTCCTGCTCTTAGGATGGTTGTGTTGCATAACTGTAAAAGAGCAGATTACTGACTGTTCAGTCACATTTGTCTCTGCCATTCTGTCAGAGATGAGGCACAGTTGGAAGAGAGTTAGTGAGAAAAAGCCTAATAAGACCATTTTTGTGTACTACAGGATACGTCGTTTATTAAATCATATTTACAGCATCTTACAATGTGCCGAAGTGATGACGTCACTTTGTAGGACAACTCGGAAGCTAGCAGCGCATGGGTTCCCTCGGTCGAAAAGCAATGCATTTTCCCCCTAGACTTTTGGAAAATCGCAAAAAATAAGATCTGTGTTTAACAAAGAGTTGTGACCCTTACACGTTTTGTCTAGCAAGATAATCTTTACAAGTTAATCCAAAATTTATACATTTTGAAGCCTATATAAAGATTTTAAAAAACACAATCAGACAACACAATCAGTTTAAAAAAAAACACAAGCAGGTTATAACTGTGTGTTCTATGTCATAGATTAAAACGTGAAAATATTTAGAGGCTCTGTTCACCACAGACCTTATTTCAGGCGATTTAGCAAAAACCCATTCAAAAATCACATAGGCTTTAGAGCGAGGGAACCGTAATGCTAAAATGCTAACTCACTTCCACGTTTTGGCCTACAGCGTGATGTCGTAACTTCGGCACTCTATGGATCATACATATTTATAAACATAATACGTGATCAAGTCAGTCACGATTGCATTTTGTCACTGCAAAACCTCTAAAATGTTTGTTTTATTAGATAATTTTGCAAATATGGAATCCACAGCATTTAAAGTCCCCGTGAACCGGAAGTTGCGAACGATTTTTCTCCAGTGCTGTGACGTATTTCCAAGTGAAACGGAATATTGAACAGAGGGCAGGGTTTTACTCTAGCGCTCCTCCTCTCCTTCTCTCGCTCATAGCAAACTAGCGGTTTGAGGGGAGTGGTTAAGCGTTTCCCCAAGCTGTGAAACCTACGTCATCAGAAAAAGAAACCGTTCCAGACCGGAAGTAACTTTTCAGATTTTGATTAAAGATTACCAAGGTAAAACATTTTTTTAATATATTTTTACTTGCACGGATTAATTGTTCACCACAAGACTAGTAATATGCGCTAACAAAGTAAATAGGTTCGATTTTGATTTCACGGGGACTTTAAATACGTACAGATGAGCTATGATAAATTTGTTGTAGTTTTTTAATTATATGTTAGTGATGGACTATGCCTAATTAAATTGTTCAATATATGAACTGAATTATTTCTAGCATAATTCAGTTCTGATTATGTTGCTGTTTATTTAAATACATAATGCAGAATACATTTAGGAACTATTGCAAGTCATCCAATCAGATATCTTAAACGGTTTGAGACGGACTGAAACGATCATTGATACATTTCCCCTTTCAACTGCCAATGATGGTAGGAAATGATTTCGTGAGACAGGACTGCACCGCTGAGGTTTCAAAATGCACTTCTTCTCAGGTCCCATCCGTTCTTCACTGGATTGCTTCACTGATTCTGTCATCAAGCGTTGCCCCACAACACTGAGGACAGTGAGTGCTTATCAGAGTTTAAAAGATTTCAAAAACCCTTAGTCATCACTTTGTCTTATTTCTTTTATCCTTGTCTTTGCTTTTCTTGTCCTTTTCCTTCTCTTCTTTTTCCTTTAACGCTTTCTTCTCTTTCTTCTTCTCTTCCTTGGCCTCCTTGTACTTCCACTTTGGAGGCTCCAGGTAACCTTTCTGCCTTTTATTCTTCTTCACTTTCTTTGGAGTGGGTTCAGAGGATTTAGTGACCTTGATCTGTGGGATACAGCCCGAGGGGAAAACACTGTTGCGCCTTGACGCTACGCTACGAGGGATGAATGTGCGCATGCCGGACTGAGCAATGGACAGCACACTTCCACGCCTCTCTGTATCGGCACAGCAGGACACGGAGACGGACTCGACGGAGTGGGTAGATGGAGAAACGCTGCAGATGGAGCTGTTTCGATGGCACAGCGAACTCTCCTCCAGCTGTTTCTCTGAGTGCTTCTGCATCAGCTCAGCCACAGCCAGCCGACGTTTACCTACCTGTGGAGGGCTGCTCGGGCAAAGCGGGCGCGTGGCCGTGGCTATGAGCGGGCTGTGTAGGCTGGTGGTCATTCGCACCATGTGATCCATGACGCCATTTTCCTGTGGGTCGCGTGGAAAACTGAAACTGAATGTACTCTTGAGATGATGAGTCAACTTTTGGCCAGCACTCTTATTGGCTGTTGCTTTGCTGACCAGCAACTTAAGGTCGGGCCACTCTGGGACATAGGTGTCACAGAACTGTTCCGCTGTGGGATGGAGTACAAGGTGGCGCAGACGTGTCAGTGTCTCAAAGCGACCTGTTTTCAGTGCCCAGTCACGTGCACATTTACCACGGTTCTTGTCTACAGCGTTTACATCAGCACCTAAGAAAGAGAACATTGTGTATTAGAGGATGCTACTGAAGCAGAGATTACACTAAAATGGGTAACACTTTATTTCGATAGTCCACTTTAGACATTCTACTAACTATAAGTAACTTTCCAACTACATGTCAACTAACTGTCATTAGAGTATTAGTAGACTGTCAGTTTAATATCTGCTAACACTGTATTTTGAGTACCGCTTCCTTTTACAGTACAGTACAGTGTTTACCTAGAAGTACTGGCTAATATAAGGTAAGTACATGGAACAGGGGTAGGTTCGGGGTTAGTACTAGTTATTACCCAGTAATTGTAGTTACTAAAATAAGTACATAGTATTTACATGGGTAACTGGACTGTAAAAGGAAGCGTTACCGTATTTTCTTGGTCCCCCAACAGACATTCAACTGACTATGAGTAACTTGGCGACTACAAGTAAACTTATTCTCCTAACCCAAAGTCTAAAACCTAACCATAACCTAACAGTCTACTGACAGTCTACTATAATATACTAATACTCTAATAAGAGTGAGTTGACATAGTAGTTGAAAAGTTACTTATAATTAGTACAACGTCTAAAGTGACTATCGAAATAAAGTGTAACCCTAAAATGCGCACATTGACAAGCCTGAGTAATTTAAAGAATAATGTGGAGGGAACAGGAGAGTCATGACATGCAAACATGTTGAGATTAGTTTAGATGTACAATTATAAAAAAGAAAGTGTTTGTCTAAAACGCTGTCAGAAGAACTAACTTTGCGCCTTCCGCAGATCTTATGCTTGGCTGCTTAATTAATCCAATAGGTGCTACTGAGGTGAACTGGGTCTATGCCAGCATGCCATTCTTGATTGGCTATGTGGGTCATTTGGTGATTTATTGTCTATCCCAACCAAGTGATATGATACATATAAGCAGTGTATGAAATGCTCATACTTCAGAGATCATTTCCAGCACATCAGCATGCATGGGTATTCAATTACTAACCGTGCATTAAAAGAGCTGCCACCACATCAGTCCTGCCCTGCATGGCAGCTTTAATGAGGGCGGTGAATCCTCTGTTGTCTCTGATCTCTGTCTCTGCTCCAGGGAAGTAATTCATGATGTAGTTACATATGGAGACATGACCTGTGTACAGAAAGATTTACATTGTATTTCCAAAGATATACAAAATAAATTCCCTAAACAGTAAATTGTAACCTTTAAATAGTATTTCACTTAACTTTAACAAATTTAACATACGTATTTAACATAAATGTAACATTTATATAAACACCTCCATTTTATGTAAATTATACTTATTGAACCATATTCACAAAACTCAACAATCTTAGGCTGTGTATACTGTAACACTATTACTGCCAGCAGAATCCAGGCAGTAGCTCCTCTAACAACCATCCAAAAAAGTGAATGACAAGGTAACTGACCAGCTTGAGCAGCGATCATTAGAGCAGTGTTGCCGTCATTGTCTTGGTGGTTAATGTCCAGGTGTGGACAGCTGTGCAGCTCATAAACAATCGGAAGAAATCCTTTATATGCAGCCACCATCAGTCCATTCTAGAAGAGAGAATCATGTTATAAGGACCTCTGTCAATTTACAGTTAAAAAGGTTAGAGACAGACTGCAGCACATGGACACCCCACACCAACAGGCAACACATTCATGATCAGTCAAACCATATAACCCATAACACGAGCCATATTTTTCTTCAGGAATTTCTAATGATAATTTCATACGTGTTTTTGATTCATGATTACAATAAGGTCTGTTATTCCTTTAATTCCTAATTCCAATATTCCTTAAATTGACTTACATGCGGTTAAATTTCAAATGAAATGCAGTCATACCTCAAATATGAATTTAGTTGCTATAAAGACTGCAATGGTTGTCCAAGTTGTAGTTTAAACTAAACATAAAAGTCTCTTCAAGAAACACCTCAGACCCCATTTTACTCATAAACATTTGAAACTCCCATAGAAAACCATGTCGAAGTAGCCTTTATCGATAACCTACAAATTTGTTCAAAACATTGGTCACACTTTATATTAGGTGGCCTTAACTATATACTTAACTGTTTGATGCAATACACTTCTTACATAATGTGGGTGCATTGTAGCCTGGATGCCAGCCCGAACTCCGGCCACAACATTTTTTGGTCGGGAAGCGCTACGAGTTGACTTACTGCGTTGCTCTGATTGGTTGTAGGTCTACCGACTATCCAATTGAGTGCAGAGGTTTTTTTTTTCCTGGTTCGGTTACGACACGCCTCATAATCAAAGCCTAATAGAGCGGTTTGAGACTCATATTCTCTCTTGAATATGAGTATGCCGAAGTCAGGCTAGGTGCATTGCAATTCCAAGATTTGTTGTTGCACCGTTTCTTCTAACTGTAAACCAAACCCTTAACCCCGGACACCCTACTTTTACTCCTAACCAAAAACAGTAAATGTGGGAATTTCACAGAACATTTATTACACAAAAAACACATAGTCTTCTTGTATACTAGTTAGAACCATCTAACATTTTCCCATTCTATGTACTTAATGTAGTAATTTCAATACCTGGGTAATAACTTGGTACTAACCCTGAACTTACCCCTAAACCTACCTTTAACCAATGTTGTTACCTTATGTAACCAACGTCGGTTATGACGTTATCTAATCCTAACCCTACCCCAGACCTAAACCTACCCCGTCACCTAACTGACGTTAAAGGTAAAGCGTCAATTGGATGACGCCCCAGGATCGTCATCTAACTGACGTTAAAGGGTACCCTAAAATGGCGGATGTTGACGTATATGGTCAAAAGCGTTAGTTGTATGACGTCTTGGGATGAGACTGTGTTACTTAGGCAAGTAAAATAAAGTGCTACCAATATGAAGGTAGACTGTAGACTATATAAAATGGTTGACAATGATGTTATATATTTGTAATGAAAGGTTGACAAGTTATTTTGAATGGATTACCTCAATCTTTCATAGCTCACTACTAAATAAAAAACTAAAAGCAACTGACCTCTCAGCTCAGTGATTAGACAGTCAGTGTCATGCTCTTTAATACTAATTTGCAATATCTTATAATATCTTACCCAGCCATTAATGTCAACTTCCATGACCTCATCATGGGTCACACCACGTTCCAACACTCTCCTCAGTGCTTCTGAATCGTTTTGAACACACGCCTCATATAGTGTTTTGGCAGTTTCCTTTTTCTTGTCCTCTTGTTCATAATCAGGGAGAACGGAGTCATCAGAGAGCAAACTTCCAGAGTCCGACTCTTCCAACAATGATATTTCATCCTCAGCTGGGCCTGACCCCAGGTTTGGGTCCTCAAAGGCAGAGCTTTGAACTGCTGCCATGTCTCAAGAGTTTAATGTTGTCTACATCATCTTTTCTGGCATTTGAGGAAAGTGTTCCAATGTGACTGTAGTAGGTCAGCAACTCGAGGTGAAGAAATGCACTCCAAGTGTTTACGGCCCCTGTATTGAGGCAAACAGACCAACAGAGATAAACCACAAGAACCTTCATAAAAATAGTTAATTTGTAGCGATTGCAACTATTACAGTTCAATAGAGCTTCTGATGCGAGCAAATTGGAAGTTTTAATAGCTCTGGATTTAGCCCGGGAGAGCTGTGCTTTAATTGTCAGTGCTAAATCTGCTCAGGCTTAAAATACACAGATACCAATAAACAGGCTTACATACTCTTTAAAAGCATGTTACCTCAGTGAACAGTAGCATAAATAGATCTTATACAGCTATTTTAAGTTGTAAATATATTTAGTTTGGCTACAAAACTGGTATTTCTATTTGTCAAAACAGCAATAAATAAAACATTTCTTGAGTTGAGCATGTCACAAAGCAAAATAAAACACAATCCAAAGATTACAATAATACAGCAATAAACATTCTCTTTAGAGCTCTAGTGTACCAATATGAAGCTCTTTTTTCCTTCATTTAACAGAGATATTGTATAAATATGGAGTATAACTCACCTGTGTCCACATTTTCAGAAGAAAAGAAGAGCCTTCGGTGAGCACTGCTATACTTTGAATCAACTTCCAACTTCAATCAGTCCTTATGATCAGAAACCTCAGCTCCCAGAAAATACAACAGACAGCTTCATGTCTTTGTAGTGCATGTGTGTATGTGATCCTAGAGGTATGTATACATGCTCTGTAACACCTCAGGTTTAGACTAATGCCTTTCGGGATCAGAAAGGACCAAACACAGGCACTGGAAGCATAATCTCACAGACACACACACACACACACACACTACTAGCTTTACTTAGCTATCTAAATGGGGACATTGACCCATAACTGAAAACTCTCTGCATTTATTTATTTATTTTTTTACAACTGTACTTTTTTATATTACACACTCAAAATGGTCTCCTTTTCTTTTTCTCTGTCTCATACCGACAAAGATTTAAATATTAAAATTATTATGAACATGCAGTGGGTGGGTTTCAGGACTTTGTGTGTTTTTGTCTTATATATTATTTGTTTTATGAGGATTATGGATATTTGGATCCTATACAAAGTTATAACTTGCTGTATATTGTTCATGAACTTGCTTCCATAATAATACAATCATAAGTGGATTCAGTAAGCACATAAACAGTTCAACATGGAGATAAATGGAAACAAGTTTTCTACTACCCCCGTTTTCCCCGTACACATAAGTGTGTAATTTACTCAAATGCATTTCCTTTCATATATTTGAAATGACTTGCAGATTTATAACTTTATTAGCTCTGAAGACATTGTGACTATAACAAAAGATTTGTGGGGCTGATGCTCCTTTGGTTATGAACAGCTTGTGCAAGCGTGCGTGTGGTCCATGAGCGTGCACACCTCTGGTTGCAGTATCGCTTGTCGCCAGAGGGGGCATAGTTCTGCAAAAACTCAAAGACTAGCGCAAAGCACCTTTAACTTCACTACATTTGAAAGACAAATAATGTACTTTTTTACTCCATTTTATTTCTGATGAGAAATATAGTGGAGTAAATGATTTGATGAGATGATTTGGGTTGCAGGGGTTGCATTATGGTTGGAAATGAAAGTCGGATTGACATCACAACCTGACGTTCCAACACTACATCGTATTGACGTCAGAACCCGACCCGGTTTCTGAAGTCAACCCGATTTCATTTTCAACCACAATAGATTCTGACATCAACCTCGTTTTCATTTTCTATTTCATTAAAAGAATTGAATTAGAATTGAATTTGTTGTACAGAAGTGTATAAAAAGAAAATAGAAAGCAACATTTTTATTATTATTTTCACGTAACTGTACTCTGCTACTTTCTCAAATTATTTATTTTTTTAACCTTTCAACATTTATAGATTTTTTTAGACACTATTTTACTATGCTTATTGAAATGTTTTCCTTATGGGATAAGTATAATAGATTTAGAATATCCATCCTCAAACAAGCATATTGTTTTTATATCATGTTGGTGGCCAATCACTGACTTGTAGTTCTAAATTTAAGTTAATTAAACTAACCCGTAGGAAGAACCCTAATCCTAACCTCTCTCTCTCTCTCTCTCTCTCTCTCTCTCTCTCTCTCTCTCTCTCTCTCTCTCTCTCTCTCTCTCTCTCTCTCTCTCTCTCTCTCTCTCTCTCTCTCTCTCTCTCTCTCTCTCTCTCTCTCTCTCTCTCTCTCTCTCTCTCTCTCTCTCTCTCTCTCTCTCTCTCTCTCTCTCTCTCTCTCTCTCTCTCTCTCTCTCTCTCTCTCTCTCTCTCTCTCTCTCTCTCTCTCTCTCTCTCTCTCTGGGAGGTTAAGATGGAGCAAGAGGGTGTTGGAGAAACAGGAGAGAATGGGTGGTGGAGATAGATAAGAATGAGTGTTAGTGAATCCGGGAGAGCGGAGTAGAGATTAAGCTGGACAGTACTGAACTACTAGTATAGAGAAGAAATAACACTCAGCCGAACATTTCCTTCATTCATCTGTAGACAAAGAAAAAGGAAAATAAAGAGTTTGGCCAAATTTCAGGGAAACCCAGAGAAACTGCTAATGTCTTTATCAAACCAATCCCTGGACTTGAGTAACCAGCACTGGGTAAGAAAACACACTCACACACATTTACTTATAAATGGGAACATACTTTATGTAGACAACCATTTTATACACATTTTTTGTGCAAAATTGATAAATGTTTTTTTTTCTCTAAGGGACGTTTATAAAAGCTACTTAAATGCACTAATTGACCTAAGGCTTAATTCTGGATTAATCTAAGCCCTGTCTGTGAAACTGGGCCTTCATTATTATTATTATTATTATTATTTACCCTTCTTTTAGTTATTTCTCAATCGTTTGTGTGAAGAGCTTGAATGCAGCAATACCCTAATAACTCAGACCAACACACACAAGTCAAAACAAAAGTGACTGAAAGCAGGCCTGTGTCTCATGCCTTAGGCATAATTCTTATTTTTACCTATTTTCAGTCTCTCTTGCCAGCATCAGATCAGCAGGAATTACACAGACCATTAATTAGTGAGTTGCTGTTTCATTGAAAGGCTTTTTGGCCTTGTACTTCCAATCGGAAAATGATTGCTTCATGGTTAAGACTTAAGCCTTCGATAGAATTTTGCCAAACTTGTCACAACACGTCATCAGCTCAATACTGATATTGCTCCAACTAGGCCAACTTACCAAATGTTTACTGCAAATGAAGGAAGCAAGCACAAAAGATAAGGCCTCCTCCAGTAAACTGTACTTTGGATGTTTTCCTACAGTAGATAAATAATCAAGATTTTTTTTTAAAGTGTTATCTTAGCTTATCTGGAATATTGTATATGGAAATATACAGTATATACTGTAAATCAAATGAATGCCTTGAGAGTGGCACAGATTTACTTTATTTAGATTGTCAATGTTTTAATAGAAAGGCAAATCTTTTAATCAAAATGTCTTGGTACTATTGTATTTTCTTTAATTTATGCTGATTTAAATACAGAACCAATGATCAGAACCGTTGAGAACTCATGTTCAAAAGCATTAGGTATTGAGCAGAGTGCGAATTACCCCACCATAATTGGGGGGGTACTGCTCCTTCACTTCTTCTATGACCATCATAGCAGCACGTGAATGAAATCAATATCTTGGTTGGTTTCAATCGTGATGGCATTCAGGAAAACAGCACTCATCTGGTCGTGTGTAGCCTAATAAATAAATAATTGCGCAGCCTCAACAGAGCAATTTTATTACAGTCCGTACATTAGCGGGAGCACCACAACAACTCACTCAGCTAATGATTGCCCTGATTGCTGCCTCGCGCTAGGAAATAAATTAATTACAGGTATAAACATAAAACGTCACTAAAGACCTATAATTTTCACAATCATTTTTTATATTCATTTTTTTTTTTTTTTCCGAGGACCTCCCAAAATCCAAAAATAAATTCTTATGGGGGATCCCTAATGACTTATGAGATCCCTATAGACTTATTTTTTTACGTGAAAAATATATTTATTTTCATTTTGGGGTGAAACACTTTCTCAAGATTTAACCAGGAGTGTCTTGTCGATCTAATTTGAGAATGTGGTCTTCTTCTTTTAGGTCATATATGAATTGCTCAGGTATAGACATGTATGATAGGAAAGCTACAGTAGTTACAGCTCTGCCCCTTCAGAGCTGAAGGATAACACTAACTTTTATGACCTGTTTCAGATCCAAGAAAGCAATGAAGGGTGTACTTTACTGGAAGACAGATGTGGTTGTTCAAAGAAGGACGCAAAATTGGAAACTGAAGAACAAAGCTGTAACTCAAGACCCAAACGAACACCTAAGGGCAAAGGTGAGGGGGTCAAACATACCCTTTCATAATGTTAAAAATTTTTGAATTCCTTTTCACACACAGACAAAACATGCAAGCATAGTCTTGCTTCCACACTTTTTTTTTTGATAATTAATTTGTAGGTCTATGTTTTTGAAAGAATGGTTAAAAGAGCAAAACACACACACACACAAAAAAAATTCAAGTCATCATTTACTCTACTTTAAGTTTCTTTCTTCTATTGAAAATAAAAGTTATTTTGAAGAATGTGGGTACCCCATTGACTTCTATAGTATATTTTTCTATGGAAGTCAATGGGGACTGTTAGGATAGCCACATTCTTCAAATATATTCTTTTTTTCTTTCTTTCTTTTTAGCACAAGAAAATGAACGAATACAGGTTTGGAACAACATTAGAATGAGTAAATTATTACAGAATTTTAATTTTTGGGTGACAAGCGGCAGGATGTTTACTATTGGGCTACTGTCACTTTAAGACCAGCGCATCTAATGGACACGCACGCACTTTATTTTCAAATGTGTGCTTTCAAGACTTTAGACATAAGTTTACCAACTCTGTTTATGTTGACCTTGTGTATATTTGACAGTATTAGCGCAATAAGACTTGAAAGATAACTTAGTCCTTGCAATCAGGCGTTGTTTGATGTTTTAGCGTGTGTGCTTCGGTCGGGTGTCGATGCAGCGCGGGTACGCGCTCAGAAAAGTGCATGTTAGAACCACGCAGCGACGTCATGATTATTCGTTTTGACGTCTGTGGTTACGCGAGCAAGCGTTTTAGCTTTTCTAACCTTCATATCAAACTACAACTGCTTTGTATTAATCCACCTGACCTGCATAGGACAGAAAACACAGCTTGCTTTATCTTTTAAACTTGAGTTGTAGCTACAAACGCGAGTACCTTCAACCTTGCATGTCCACTTTGTTGTTTGTCTTCTCCTTTATTGAGTTTTTCATCGTCGACGGTGCACTTGTTCAACACTCAAATACAGAGTAAGTATTTTAACTCTTACTAAAAAAAAGTAAAAGTGGTGTTCACTGTCCCGTGCCGTGACCCATCCTACATTTTTTCTTGTTCGAGAAGCAATTTCAGGCAATTTCACTCGGGTATATGGAGAATACTGATAGGCAGTTAGCAAACAAACGATTCCCCCCAACTACTGCGCTGGAGTGTGGACCATTGAATGCGAAGAATGAACGAATAAAAAAAGAAACCCTGCAATAGGCAAGCTTATGTTTCAAGCCACCTTTAACTCTACATGAGCCAAAGACACCACGTACCCCTCTACATCCCCATTCTTTCACTCTGACATTCCTCAATGGAAGGTGAAGAGGCATGATGTACCAGTGGGTCTATGTGGCTAAAAGCAGGGATTATACAGATGTTGCGTGTGAATTCAGAGCTCAGGGATTACCTCTGAACTGAGAGTAGGCGTGTGTCTCCCTGTAAACATCGTCAGTGTCATGCTGTAAGTTATACAGCAGTGCTTACTCGGCTGGAATGAAGGGGCATCGTGGCCCACGGGTGTGTGGCTGTGTACACTTCTGTCAGAAAGTTTTGCCCAGGTGTGATTGCTGCTTCAGACGGCAAGGTAAGTGATCCGTATGTTGCACGTTTGACTATAGTCATATGTTGCATTGTCAGATCTCTTCAAATCTTATTTGCATTGTGTTTGGGTAGGCTTTGCTGTTTTCAAGGGATGGAAATTGTGAATTCTGAATGGGCCAAAAACATTCTTTCATTCTTTACACATTTTGGAGCTTGAAAAAGATTATTTGCTTGTTAACCGAGTGTATTAATTATACCATTGTTTTGTTGCTTCATCACAATACCTGCAGTTTGTAAAAGTAATTAACCATTTCTTAATATTGTTATTTTGTCAGTATAATTTTGCACAGATTATCTGTAGAAATGCTGATGCATTGTGTGTGTAGATGATTGTTTTATAGGTTATTGCGGGATTATGGTTATGCGACCTTTAGAAACAGCTAATCCATGTACAGAAAAAGTAGAATCCTTTCTGTGTATTATTATTATTATTATTTATTTAAAAGGGACAATGCACATCCATTGACATTTTTTGTTTACAATCAAAATGTAAGTGCGCCAGAGTTAGCAGAAAAGCTAATTTTCATCTGTAGTCCCTTGGCAGGTCAGCACATTATCATATTGCATTAATAATATCAATAACAAAATAGAAAAATAGAAACAATTAAGAAAGAAGAAAAAAGAAGATAAAAGAGAAAGAAACATAGAATAATTGAATAATTACCGTACAAAAGGCGCAATACCTGAGAGAAGGTAAACCGACAATTGGTGATTTCAGTTTTGATTAGTTTTAATCCATCGCTTTAATGTGAATTAAAATGATAGATAGCTGGTGCTTTATCTGAGTTCAGTAGGGAGACAGTTCCAATAATTTGCTGCCGTACTGAGAAGATTGTTTGGCCAAACTTACTACGTCGAACAGTACAACACTGGTGGCTGCCCTAGTTGCCCTGCCACTGCTGTTTTTTTGTTGTATACATTCACCCAGTGGTTGAGGTGCAAGCCCATGTAATATTTTAAAAAATGAGGCAGGCATCTAGATAAGAAACTGTTAAAATTGAAAAAGTTGTATTTAGTAGTTATATGACAATGGTAAGAGTTGATTGGTTATTGATCTAATATTTTTGAGGTTTGTTTATAAAGAAGGTTCTAATGATTTAAGAGTTGTTATATTTGCTTGGGACCTGTTTTGTCCCTCATTCTCTCTCTCAAAGTCTTTCCCTCCCTTTTGCCCTTTAGATAGGGCATGCTTTTCCCACATTGCGCTGTAAAGCTTTTAAATCAGGGGGAAAAACAAACCATTTTTAAGCTGTATCATCTGCTTATAAGGCAGAATCTCATGTGTTGCCAGATATATTTATATTCCACCTTTCAGGACTATGTGGAAAATTCAGGACAAATAACTGCATGATGAATATTAGTGATGGAGCTGGAAATTCCCTTCTGATATATCTCATTACTTCTCCCGATTCACTCTTTATTAAATCATTGTACAACATGCACTACTATTCAAAGGTCTGAGGTCAGTTGGATATTCTTCTTATTTTTATTTTTTGAAAGAATTTAATTATGCATTAAATTGATCAAAAGTTACAATGAATAGACTTTTACTTTTTTAAATAATAATAAATAAAAATCAAGGAAAAAACACTTTATTTATGGCAAAAGAATGGCCAGAGTAGATGAAAATAAAGGTCACTGCTAATGAAATTAGGTAAGTGTTCAACACCCCTTTTTTATCATAGTGGTTGTCAGTACAATCAATCAGTGTAAATTCACTTTTTATCATTTAATTATGCATATAGTTACAAATTGTTATATTTGTAGACCTAAAAATGCCATCTAATAATTTGTTATAATATTTTTCTAGCAGAGTTCTGACAATCATAGGCTCCATCTATTTTTTTGCTTGACCATAAATATGACTTTTTTTCAGTGCTATTTTTTGGAAGATTTGCTTTAAATATCTTCCATTTACTTTCTCTGTCTTGGTCTCTGTAGAGTCATACACGTTGACAGGGCTTGGCGACGTCTCCTTGCCTACTGATACACCTTTGACCCCCGTCTCCATTGATGACCTTTCTCCAATCTCACCCAGCAAATATCAGCCTATTTCCACTAGACGGCCATCTAACACATCTACCCACTCTCTGAAGGCCTTCAAGAGATGGTTGAGCAGCCCAGTTCGAAAGCTGAGTCTGGGAGGAGGTGGCAAGGGTCAGAGCTCAAATGTCATTCAGAGCCCAGACAGGTCAGGCTATATGTTTCTACCCCTTTCACCAGCTCAAAGCCCATTGAGCCCAACAGAGACGTCCAAAAAACTGCCCCACTCCTACAGATCTCTGGTATGCACATCATTTACACTACTGTTCAAAAGTGTGGGGTTAGTGCGATTAAAAAAAAGAAATGACTTTTATTCAGTAAATATGCATTAAATGAACCAAAGTGACAGTAAAAGTCATTTTTAAATAAATGCTGTTCTTTTGAACTTTCATTACTCACATAATTAAAAAAAGCACCAATAAGCATATTGGAATTATTTTGAAGCATCATGTAAACATTTTGAAATGTATTAAATAGAAAACACTTCTTTTGAATTTTAATAATATTTCACAATATTCCCACTAAGCAAAATGATGCCCAAAAGACGTCTTTTCAACGTCTTTGTCACGAAAGTCGGACGTTGAGAAGACGTACACAGAGGAGCCAGAATTAAAGTTTATGACGTCTTTTTTTTACGTGTTCTGCACGTTTGATTTAGACGTTCATCGAACCTTCATAAGTTTAAAAACTAGTTCAAATGTGGCCATTGGTGTGGTCTCATTTAAACAATTTATACTGTTTCTGGACCAAATAAACACTCTCAGGATGCATTTAATTAAAAATGTTTATTTCAATGTAATTTCCTTACATTGTTTAGATGAGGCTTAGAAGTTATTTGTTTCATTTTAAATCACCATTGTGGTGATCAGTGTTTGCTTTAGTTGGGCTCTTGGTCCCAGTTCTTCTTTAGCTTTTCTTTGGCTGTTGTAGCTGTGTGTTTGTATAACACCATTGTTGTGGCAGAGTAAGCCAAGAAAAAGTAAAATCGGCTGTCATCAGCTCCTTATTGATGATGAGATAATCAACACAAAGTGAGCATTTAAAGTTGTGTTTAGACTTTTGTCTTTATGTCTGCCATTTATAAACATCAATCTTGTGGAACTGCATTATTTGGGCCATTAGCATCAAAATAATCACTTATTTGATAGGTGAATAAAAAGCATGTGTATACACAATATTTAGAAAATATATATCACACAGTCACACACAGACATAAAGATTTTGGATATGATTCTCAACAATGGTGACAATTAAAACAAAAAAAAGCTTTGTAATCAAGAATGTTTTGTACTACACTCTAAAAAAATGCTGGGTTGTTTTAACCCAATTTTGGGTCAAATATGGACAAACCCAGCCATTGGGTTACATTTTTTTAAATTACATTTTTAACCCAATGTTTGAGTTTGTCCATATTTGTCCCAAAATTGGGTTAAAACAACCCAGCATTTTTTAGAGTGTATAAAAGCTACCCATCATGCATTGCAGAATGAAGCTTTTTTTATTGCACCATTGTTGTGAATCATATGCAAAATCTTTATGTCTGTGTGTTATTATATTATGCACTTTCTCAAAAGATTGTGTAAAAAGAAAACCTAAAGTAAGAAGAACTGGGACCAAGAGCCCAACTAAAGCAAACACTGATCACCCCAACAGTGACTTAAAATTAAACAAATATCAACATCTAAACCTCATCTAAGGAAATTACATAGAAATAAACATGAGTTTTAATTTAATGCATCCTGAGTGTTTATTATTATTATTATTGAGTCCAGAAACCATAAATGATGTTGAAAATATGTCCACAATGGCCACATTTTAACTAGTTTTTTAAACTTGTACGAAGGTACATTTATATCAGACGTGCAGAACACGTCAAAAAAAGACGTCATAAAAACTTTAATTATGGCTCCTCAGTGGACGTCTTTTCAACGTCCGACTTTTGTGACAAAGACGTTGAAAAGACGTCTTTTTGACATCATTTTGCTTAGTTGGTTACTGCTTTTCAGTACTTTTGAGCGAAAAAATGTTGCCTTGGTGAGCATGAGACTTCTTTCAAAAACATTTGAAAAATCTTTCCGATCCAAAAACGTTTGAATGTTTAATGTATATTGCTGGTAGAGTGTTACGTGTAATTTTTTCATACTGTATTTAATCCTAAAACCATACACTTTCTTGTCCTGTGGCATGCAGGACTGTGATGAACTTTCAGGGCCAGCATCTCCTGACAGTCCCTATTACCCAAGATACCTAAATGATCTCTTGCAGGTAATACAGTAGAACTGATTACTGGACAATTTCACTTAACTGTCTGCTGATTTGTGCTTGTGATTGCTAATGAGTCCAATTTCAGAGGCATCAGTCTTGCGATGTGCTTTATGGGGAGAGAGGTGCCTCCTTAAATGATGAAACACACATACAATCGCTGAGCCTGCATGATGAAGAACAGGAGAAAATAAATGCATTAGAGAAAACCATGTAGGTATTTGATTGATGGTGAACCCAAACCCACGGTTTGTGAAAAGAAGTATTATTAATAATCCTTCTCCAAATCTGACATTCCTCATATCTTACTCATAGATATGTAATGACAGAGCTGGTCGAGACAGAAAAGCTATATGTGGAAGATCTTGGGCTTGTAGTGGAGGTAACACATACATGCATTCAATCCCACGCACAGAAGAGCTTAGTCATTCTTTTTTTTAACTCTCACTTTCTCCCTTTCTCCAGGGTTATATGGCTACAATGAAAAGTGTTGGAGTGCCTGAGTATTTGGAAGGAAAGGATAAAATAGTGTTTGGGAACATTCATCAGATCTATGACTGGCACAAAGAGTAGGTCACCTATTGATAGGATCTGTGCCCAATGAGGTGTGCATACCTGACCTTCTTACAGCTCATACCTTGTTTTGTTTTTTAAACAGCTTTTTTCTTGGAGAGTTGGAGAAATGTATGTCTGAACCTGACCTGCTGGCACAACTGTTTATCAAAAATGTAAGTCTATGTTTTAGTTCCTTCATCTGCTAATGATACATTCTGTATTTGTATTACATAACTTGAAACATTTGCCAAGGAACAATTATGTCTATGTGTTTCCCAAGAGAGGCGGCTCAACATGTATGTGGTCTACTGTCAGAACAAGCCGAAGTCAGAGCATATTGTCTCAGAGTACATTGAAACCTATTTTGAGGTAATTTGTGCTGAAATGAGGTCAGATCTTAGTATAGTTATGTGGCCATGTTTACTATTTGGTGTATGAGGGAAAGGTCTATGACTGTCCTGCGTGCTTTTTCTCAATGTAGGAACTGAGACAACAGCTGGGTCACAGACTGCAGTTAAATGACCTGCTCATCAAACCTGTTCAGAGAATCATGAAATATCAGCTGCTGCTGAAGGTGTGTTAATGTGAGCTTGTACACAAGTACACACTCATTCAAAATAGATACTTCTTATAATAGTGAACCATTTTTTTCCTCCTCTGTCATCCAAACAAAATTTTTGGCCATAGCTGTAATATTATTATAATTTGAAATAATTGTTTTGTATTTATTTACAAAGTATTTTAAAATGCAATCTAATCATGTGATGGCAAAACTTAATTTAGAAATCTTTTGATTATAAATCTTTTTTTAGAGAAGATTTATAATCTTATTTAATATTTTTTTTCTAAAAAAATTATAAATAAAAATGTTGGCCATAGCTGAAATATTATTATAATTTGAAATAATTGTTTTCTATTTATATATTTTAAAATGTAATCTATTCATGGCAAAACTCAATTTAGAAAACTTTTGATTATAAATATATTTTTTAGAAAAAGATTTATAATCAAAATTTTTAAAAAAAAGTTTAATTTTTTCTTATTTTAAAATTCTAAAATTTTAAAAAATGTATAAATAAAATTGTTGGTCATAGCTGAAATTGTAATATAAATAGAAAACAATTATTTCAAATTATAAATTTTAAAATGCAATCTATTCATGTGATGGCAAAACTCAATTTAGAAATCTTTTGATTATAAATCTTAAAAATCTTATCATTATAAATGTCTTTACAACTTTTAATTAATTTGATGCATTGTTGCGGAAAAAGTTTTAATTTAAAGAAAATCATACTAACATCAAACTCTTGAACCTTTTGAATCTTGCCATTGTATGAACTGACATGAAGTGCATAACAAAAACAGGTATTTAAGTAATTTAAGTATTTAAATAATTTTTTTGATGGATTTTGTTAATTCTTAGTGATTTGTTTGAAAATAAAATCAAACATGCCTTGTGGGCAGTCTTGGCCTAATGGTTAGAGAGTCAGACTGGTAACCTGAATGTTATGGGTTCGTTCGACTCTCAATACCGGCAGGAAATGACTGAGTCGCTCCCCGGGGGCGGCAGCAAAATGGTTGCCCAATGCTCAAGGTGTGTGTCTATCTGCGGTTTGGAGAGTGTCCGTTCACTACTCACTACTCCTAATGTGTGTGCACTAACTTGGATGGGTTAAATGCAGAGGACAAATTCCAACTATGGGTTGATACCATATACCATATGGGTTGATACTTGGTCTTCACATGTCACTTTCACTTTTTCACTTTATTTAACCCTTATATGTTATATATAAACACAGAAACTGTTAATTCATGGCCTTGATTTTCATATTCAAGTCCACATGCCTGTTAGTATTCTGCCTAAATGTTGTTTATTTACAGGATTTCTTGAAGTACTACACTAAAGCAGGTAGACAAACAGAAGATCTTGAGGTAGGTTCAGTCTTTACCGGCTTCTAAAAAAAGTGAGGACACGAGAACAAACTCATTATCACTTGACATTGACTTATTATTCCGTTCTCTTTTTGTGTCCTTATTACAGAGGGCAGTGCAGGTGATGTGTTTTGTTCCAAAACGATGTAACGACATGATGAATGTTGGAAGACTTCAGGGTTTTGAGGTAGGATGACACTCAAACACACTGCAGAAATAGAAATGGTTTACTTCACCTTGGACTGCTTCAGTATTTATTTATAAAAAAATTATGCCATTTATAGTTCTTTTATTACCTTAAGCTAAAATTTCATTCAGATCACCTGTGATTGATTGGGTTCATAGGGTCAGCTGAGAGCACAAGGGAAACTCTTGCAACAGGACACCTTTACATTCATTGAGAATGAGAACAGCATCCTCTCCCGTCCCAAGGAGAGACGGGTGTTCCTCTTTGAGCAGCTTGTCATCCTCAGTGAGCCAATTGACCGCAAGAAAGGCTTTTCCCTGACAGGATACATCTATAAAAACAGCATCAAGGTGAAAAGCAGAGAACAAAAAGTAGGAGATTGTAGGCAAAATAAATATGAGGGTAAATGTTTATTTCCATATTTGTATCTTTCACAGATTAGTTGTTTGGGCATTGAGGATTGTTGCCTAGACGACTCATGTCGGTTGGTGTTGACGTCTCGTAATGTAGATAGAAGCATCCAGCGATTCGTTCTTCGGGCATCAACTCCAGAAATCAGAATGTCCTGGGCAAATGACATCATACAGATGCTGGAGACACAGCGCAACTTCTTAAACGGTATCAGTATAATACTTGCACGACCCTTGTGTGACATTGCCATGTATAAGAATTCCTAATGGACACTGTTCTCTTTCATCTCCTCTATCGTACCCATAGCTCTGCAGTCTCCTATTGAATTCCAGAGAAAAGAAATTAAATCCCTCAGCCTGGGAAAGAACATAACAACATCACCCTCACTGAACTCTGACCTGCGACCCTATAGCTCTGCCTCAGTGGACCGCCAGAGTTTGCCCTGCCTGCGCTCCTGGAATTCCTCACAACCTTCCACGCCTCATTGAAAGGTCAATGTTTGCTTGATTTGTAAAGTTATCATAATTTGTTCGTTAACCCCCCCAAAAAAAAAAAAATTTTCAGAGGGGTCAATCTGGTATTTGTACTCGCATATGTTTTCACTCTATTCCTTTAATTATCAGCCTACCCTACCCTCAGGAGAACATTTTAAGACTTAGTCCATTTCCGTGCTAGTTATGTCCAATAAACCCTGATAACAAAGACTGAATTGAGTTAATTAACTGATTTATTCTTCCACCTGCCATTTCAAAATGAAAATTCACACAAACCATAAATTCAACACAACCTTCAGTAACCAAAAATGGTATCAAGTATTTTGTTACCTTAACCAAAAAATAAAGTAGTATTGGACTGTATGCACTAAACTTTGCCTCAGTGACGATATCATTTACAAAATATTGAGAATGTGTATGTAGCTACTGATAATCTATATAACTGAAATTGGTTCTAAATGATATATAATGTGACAGTACTGTAAAATTTCAGGTATGTGTACTACCTGAAATCAAGCTATCCAGTGTTACTTTTTCTTATTCAGATGTTTACATTGTGTATTCACTGAACGACTCTATAGATTTTTCTTTTGAAAGCTGTCAATTAAAGCATTTTCAAGTGATCCAAGACTTCTGTAAGTCTATATTCCAACTTTACTCACCATACAAGATTTACACTTTTCTTAAAGCTACACTGTTTAACTCTTTTAGTTTATTCTTAGCTAAAAACACTTAGTTCTTTCAAAAATATATGTGCCCATTAATGTATATTTACTTCATTCAAGTAATAAAGTATTCTCGTGAGTGTATAATATGCCATTGAAAATACATACGGGTAAGGGGTTCTAATGTCAGTCGCCATGTCGCCCCTCCATCTTGAAAGTACATTAGCCAAAGAGGGACATACCCGTTAATTCAAGCTTCGCCTTTCGCGTTTACGTTTGAGTTAACACTCATGAACGAGGTCGAACTGGAAGCCATGTTAATCTTGGACTACATTGGCCACCGTAGGAGTTAAAACGAAATCGGAATTGAGAGGAACAGAAACTAATATTCACTGGATATACCTTTTCACCTCTAGATGGGGGTAAAAATCACACAGTGTAGCTTTCAGGAAGACAGAAAACATGACAAATGTTATCGCCGAAGCCTTTATCTCATTCCATTCAACAACAAATGCTTTTTCTTACATCTACATAAGAAAACGAAAGAAAAAAAAACTTTTGTTCTTTTCTCCTTTTTTATATTTAAGGGACCTGTGCCACTACATTGTTCTTTTAAAAATGAGCAATAGGCAGCCACACTTTTTGGGGAGACAGCAAATTATATTTGTATTACAGATACAAAACACCAACAGAAAATAGTCATGCAAACACAGTGAGAAACCCAGAGATGAGGAGTCAGAATCATTGCAGTGAAGTGAGGAGGAAGCAGAGAATTAAAATTATAGTCAAAAAGTTGATCTCATCATAGCCAGAGTTTACTTCTGTTCGAGCTCCCATACCTATAAGCTCATCTGAAACGAACGGTGCAATCAAGTAGCCTTAAACCAATGCTTTTGCATGCTCCCTTTTTGACCTTACTCATGCACCTGAATATGCAGGGCAGATAAATGGAAGCATTCTCCAGACAGCATCATAGTATTGCAGGACTGCATCCTCCACTTGTCTTTTTCAGGACTGAAAGAAGCTCAACGACTGGTAGAGAGTGATAAAGTACAATTTTAGGTAACACTATATTTTAAGGTGTCCTAGTTACAGTGCCGAGTACTATTAATTAACTATACTTACTATAGGGTTACTTGCATGTAATTATGCATTATTCATAGTTATTTCTATATGTAACATGAGACAAGGACACTAAAATAAAAGTGTTACTAAATTGTATTCCTTTTTCTGTCACATGGCATTTCAGATATAAAAAAAAGTGCAAACGTGTTTTCAATTTCCTTTTAAACCATTGCACAATGTATTCAACCAGTGTAATCATGTAACTCCATTACACACTGAACCTCTAAGCTCTTTCATTTCCTTTACCTCTTTAAGGCTTTTTAGACAGCCATGCCATTTATTTACTCCTGTATGGCACCATTTTTAGACAGGATGTAACAGGAAAGGAAGAGAACTATCACACACGCAACACACACTCATATAGAAATGTACATGGAATTGATGTTGAATGGTTTTTGAAGGTTCAATGCAGCAAACAGTCATTAGGGCCTCATGTTGTTCATGGACGACAATGTAAAGCCCACTCGATGTAGTCTCTCTCTCACACACACATGAAAACAAACAAACAAACTAAAATGATGCTATACATTGGATTTGACAGCAATTGCACCCTTTTCTTCCATGTTTTTACTCTACAGAAGGTGGCTGCGTACAGTACTAGTCAAAGGTTTGTACACACAGTTTCTCATTATCTTAATGACCCTTTGATCTTAAAGCTTTATTTTGGTTGAGAAATATATATAGTGCATAAGTCTTTACAAAACATAATTTTTTAATTAAATTATTGGGCCGAGTTTGGCAACTTAAAAAGCTAAACAAAAATATATATATATAAAATGTAATACTGATTAATGTTTTTGGGGGCTCAATGTTTTTAATCCCAACATTTATTACAAAATGAGGAAAATAATAATTAAGAATGAGATGTATACAAATTTTTGACAACTACTGTAGATATCACCTTAATGGTCGTTTTATTTTATAGTGACTTCTTCATTATTTGCACTTAGAGTCTGTTAATATTGCTTTTTGTTTTGTTTTAGTAAGGTTGGTTGTCTCAGCCATTCTGCATAGCAAAAGCAACTGACTGGAGTGAGTGATTGCAAACTAAATTTAAAAAAGGTGGCATTGGACCTCGCATTGCTGCTTCACATCCAGCTGATATTTACCCCAGGCTGCATGCTTCAGGGACGTAATCTAAAAAAGACTCCAGAAATTAAATAAAAATTAAATAAAAATGTACAAAAAATAAACAAGCTATACCAGGACAGTGATTCAGCCTTTGGCACAGTCACTCTTTAGAACAGAAAAATATCAAATCCAGGATGTTTTACTGATATACAATGAATCACCCCCCATCTCTCGCTTGAGTGTGTATGTGAGAGGGAGAGAGATAATGAGAGTCATATGTTGGATTGTCTGTGGTTTTAGCTTGCTAGTGATGTTCACTCTGTTCCTTCTTTCAGTGACGCTGAGGGCCTGGTCTCTCCTATTGAAGTCCATTTGTTTTAGTGCAAACGTACAGAGAGACGACCCTCAATAAAACCCACACAGACTGACAGGTACACACACACACGATTCGATTAATGCCAGACAGGGAGATTATGTGTCATTCCATGTGAATGTCCCAAAGAAAATGCCTTTACCCTTTATCTGGATTGAAAAATTCTAAAAGTCATGGTTCGAAATATTTACCTCCCCGGTTTTCTCTTCGTTCTTCAGTTTCAAAAGGAACTTCTGTGCTCTCGTTAGTTAAAGGATAGTTTGTTCAAAAATAAATATTCTGTCACAGTCTTACTCCTATGTCATTTTGGGGCTTGGAATGTCTCTTTTACAGTTTAAAATAACATCCGCGTGAGTAACTAATGACAGAATGTTCATTTTTGGGCTTACTATCCCTTTAAATGTATATTGAAACATGATTGGCTGAGGAGAAAAAAAGATGGCTGCGCATAATGTACGGAATGGTTTGATCTGTATCTAAAGAATTCCTCTGAACAAAAATAAAGCTAAAGAAAGGAGACACAAAAATACGACATCTTCAGGTATCAAAAAAATGTTAATCAGCCATCACTGCACATCTCATCCGCCAGTCACGTCTGATCTTTCCAAAAGAGCTCCCACTTACTCACATGGGACCATATACAGTTACACAGCACACCTCCAGTGTCTTCACAGGCTCCTTTAGCTACTCATGGAGAGTGTGTTCGTTTGAGGGAGGATGAGAAAGAGAAGAAGGCATTGTCAGAGTGGGTTCAGTTGTGTGTGAGACACTGGAAGCGGTTTTTGAAGTACAACAGGCCATTTTTGGTGTGTGTCGCATCAGATGAAGCAGGAGGGTAACGGAACTTTGCGTAAGTTTTGTCGCTTTCCGACTGGCCCCACGGTAGCTTGATCTTAGTGGCGTGGTTCACAATGACATCATCACACGACCCAACATGCAGGGAGCCGAGCCCATCAATAAAGAACTCTGCAAAACAAAATATGGAAATGAGAAAATTAGTTTCGTCCCTAAGAACTATGATGTTTTTTCATGTCCGTGTGACTAATTTCTTTTGTCTAGAATTATGATGATACTTGCTGTTTCTATAATAACGAATAAAGTCATATATGTTTGAAATAACATATTTACACACACACTACTTCCATTCAAAAGTTTGGGGTCAGTGTGATTTTTTTTTTTTTTTTTTTGTCTCTTCTGCTCACCAAGAATGCATTTATTTGATCAAAAGTGCAGTAAAAACACTAATATTGTAATATATTACATCTACACTTAAAAATTCAATGTATTTTATTCCTGTGATGGCAAAGCTTATTAGTCTTCAGTGTCACATGATCATTTAGAAATCATTCTAATATGTTGATTTGATGCTCAAGAAACATTTCTTGTTATTATCAATGCTAAAACAGTATTAAATAACTTTTTTCCTTGAAATAAAAATCTTTTGTAACATTATACATGTATTTACTGTCACTTTTGAACAATAATTAATTCCTTCTCAGATCTCAAAATGTTTTTTTTTTCATACTGTGTGCATTATGATTCACGTTTAAGATTTAAAACCATTGATCAGGATTTTTTTCTTCAGTTTTTTACTATAGGCCATAACATGAAAACAATCAGTATTTGCCAGAATATAATATCAGTGAATCACTAATTAATGAGTTTAATTTTTGCTAAATTTCGCAATCCTAGAATCACCTAATTTGTTTGCACTCCATTGAAAACTCACCCAGGTGAGCAACACGGGCAAGCCGGGGGTCAAAGCCAACCTGCTGCACTTTATCTGTCCTGGCAAGAAAGAAATTGATGACTCCATCAGTGACCACGCAGTGAGGAAACCCCTGGATGATATGATGGAAGCCTCGCCGCATGTGCAGACAGTCCCCTTCTTCCTCTCCAGCCTCAATTGAGATGGTCTGCCTGTAGGTGGCAGTGTAGCCTGTAGCTTCACGCACCGCTCCTCCAACCTAAACACACACAGAAGCCAAACACCATGCAGAAAAGACGAATTGAAGTGAAGAACACTCTTCAGTACAAGGTAAAAACAGTCTATTTTTGTCTCTTCCTCTTTAAGAAAGTGAATGAGCTTGTCTCCCTTCTCCGGGGCATGTCTCCAAGACTCCAGCTGGGTGGTTGTGCGCACAGAAGACTCGTTCACTAGAAAGGTCACATAGATGACCCATTACAGAGCAATAATCTGCCCTAGTAGATCTGCAGCGACATGCAAGACTGCATACTGCACTCTTTCCTTATTTTTAGTTATTACAAACAGACTATAGAAATCTTTACCATTCAAAACTCTTCTTTTATAAGCATCAGAGTACTCAAAATGCAAACAAACATGTTGATTTTTGGACCGTTATTAGTGGACCTATTAAGTCTTTACAGACCTTTATAATCTTTGTTTGAATTCTAGCAATCACTGCCAAAGACAGAGAGTAGGAAGGTCTCACAAAGCCTGTTTAGCCCTGCTGCGCTGATGCTAAATGTGCTGATCTCAAAAGGAATCCAATCAGCAGTGAACACAGTCCTGAGATTCAGAGATTTGCCAAACCCTTTGTTCTGATTCTCATTAAAATAATGTGGAAAAACAGGAGTCAAAAGTAATTTGTCAGATGACATACTCGGCTGAATGAAGTCTTAGAGGTACATTAAGACATTAAGTAGTGTGCATACTGTTGCCGGGCTAATGCTTTTAGAAGCAGATGCTGGATGCAGAGGTATGTGGCTGCTTGGTCGATGACTTTGTGGGGGTGTTGTTTCTTTTTGGTGTTGTAGGCTTTAAGGACCTTTGAAATAATGGAAATCATTAGTCGAAGTGATATGGAACTTCAATGCGGTCAAGACCTGCCTGTAACCACTTCAGCTGGGCATTTACTAGAAGTAATAATAAAATTGTAAAATAAATAAATAGATAAAATGTATAAAATTCTGCTGGAAAGGTGTTTGTGCTACATTTTTGATGGTTGGTATTTTGTTATATAATGCAATGGCATTCATATACTTTGAGTGTCACTTAAAGGATTAGTTCACTTTAAAAAAAACTTTTGCTGATAATTTACTCACCCCCATGTCATCCAAGATATCCATGTCTTTCTTTCTTCAGTCGAAAAGAAAATAAGGTTTTGAAAACATTCCAGGATTTTTCTCCATATAATGGACTTCAATGGGAACCAAATGGTTCAAGGTCCAAAAGACAGTCTCAGTGCAAACTGCAAAATTCAAACTGTTCAAAGGGCTTTAAACGATTTCAGACGATGAATACGGGTCTTATCAAGCGAAATAATCGCTCATTAAAAAAAAAAAAGTTTAAGTTCATTCATGAACAAAATGAATGAGTTGACTCTGGAAAAGATTCCTTCATTTTGATGAACGAGTTCAAATAGGAGAGTTACGAACGCGCATCACAGAACAGAGCAAGGTGACCACTTGAGCTTATAAAACTTTGTTTTTTTTATAATACTTTGTTATTTTATTTTAAATGAGCGATCATTTCGCTTGATAAGACCCTTATTCATCGTCTGAAATCGTTTAAAGCCCTTTGAACAGTTTGCATTTTGCACTGAAACTGTCTTTTGGTCCTTGAACCGTTTGGTTCCCATTTAGAGAAAAAAGATGCAGGGTTCCTCATTTTTACCATGGCACAGAGAGTGTTTTCTCTAAAATCATTGCTAAAGAAAATAATACCATGAAGTATAACTCCAAAAACACGTGGTATTTTTAATTTGCAAAGACGGGTTGTTGCTGTGGATATTGTGAGGTGAGAGGTTTAACTGGGGACTCTGCCAGTTCCAAAGGTGTAAGCTCCTCACCACAAGAGGGACCGGAAGAAACACTTTGCTTCCTCAAGGGTTTTTTCAGCCACTGATGTGCACCTGAGCAACCCAACACATACAATATCTCTGCAATGGCTCCTCACTAGATAAGACTGGATAATACGTGTATACTACAGCATTGTTTTTTGTCTTTATTTGATGAAAAATATTTTATGGTAGAACTTTGCTGTGCAGGAAAACACTATACAGTATATCATGCTACATACAGTATATATTTGAACGTTTTCTCACCAGGTCAAGTGTGGTTTTCTCCAGCACATCCACCAGCTTCTCTAGCTTTGTGTTGGCAGTGAAGATGAAGTCATCATCCACCCACAGCACATACTTGGTTGTGACCTGAGACACGGCCAGATTACGACCAGCAAACCAGCCCTGAGACATAGACACATATCAGAGCCCATCATATGGCATGCAAACACAGACAGGAATGGGCCATAAACTCTAAAAAATAGCAAGAATAGCAAGTTAAACATATTGGCTTTTTAAAAGTTTAATATTGAATATCTCCCGCCAATTAAACACAGTAGAAGCACTGAGTAGTTTCTTAGGCTCAGTACAGACACGAACCACACAGACTGAGAGCCTACAATAAACCCTAGAAGTCAGGAATAAACTATTTAATATAGTGAATCTACAGGATTTTCACTTCCTTTCCTCAGTGCCAATCCGGCTTGTTTATTTTTCGTTCACCTGACACCAGTCACCGCTCGAGTGATTTGAATGTGAGAAAAAAACACGCTCCATAATATTGTCATGAGCGACGCTTCAAGTGTTATATAATGTATAAGTGTATATTTTTTCAAGTGTTATATAAACTGATATTAAAAGGATGTGACCTACCTTTCCAAAGGGCATGATGTAATGTTCAATATATGGGCCTGACACAGTTTTCGGGTGTTCGCTGTCATCTGCTATCACGATTGTAACAGTTGGATAGTACCGTCGTATGCTGTCAATTAAATCCTGGAGCTTGTCATAGCGCAGGAAGGTTTTAGTTGCTATGGTCACGAGAGCACTGATGTTGTACTCTTTGAAGAGGGAAAGGTAAATGTGAGCGATTTAGTTATTGTACCAATAACACTAAAATCACAAAGTGATGATGAAACAAGTAATGACGCCTCTAATAATGGTTTTCTATTTCAATATATTTTATAATGTAATTAATTGCTTTGACAGCCATTACTCCAGTCATCCTTCAGAAATCATTCTAATATGATGATTTGGTGCTGCATTATAGAATGAATCTTCAGATTAATACATCATGTAAAACTGTATGTCAAGTAATGGTCAAGTAAAATATATAAGCACAACTAAAGTGATGTATCTCAAAGCACATCTGCACAGGCTGTGAGATTGACTTGATATGATCAGGAAATTCAGGAAGGTTACCTAGCAACATCAGCATGACCTAATTAATATTCATGATCTAATCCATCACCATTGATGTCACAAAAAGTGACATCAATATCAGTTAGTTTTAGTTATAATTAACAATAAGACAGATGCATTCACCTTTATCTGCGTCAGGGCCTGTGTTGTAGAGTTTAGGTGTTACTCCATGACGAATCTTGATGGTGAAAAGAGCCTGATGTCCTTCTGTGTCTAACTGCACTGAATCATAAGCACAAAAAAACAACATATGAAATAAGGATTACCCAGTCCTGAGTTTACATGCACATTTGGGATGCTTTTTTTTTTATAGGAACTACCAAGCAGCTGCATACCTGTGTCAGCTGTGCTGGGGTGGAACAGTGTGTTAGTATATGTGATAAACTGGAGCTGCCGATTCAGACTGGACAAAAGGCCGCTGGTCAGGGTCATGTGCATCTCGCCCTCACCCCTGACCTTTACCCCCTCCACCTCTGCTGCCACATTAAAAGTACCCAGAGAAGCTGAAAAATTCAGCTACAGAGAAGGACAAAAAAACCAGTGTTCAGGGAGAATGCACAACACGTGGGCACAGAAAGTAGACTAAATTATTCATATCACTTACTGTATAGAAATCTCTGGGCAGCTCTTTTAAGGCCAAACCTGAAACACATTACATAAATGTATCAAAGATCACGTTTTTTTCTAATTCAGATTGCAGAATTTCATTTTTGGGTGAATTATCCCTTTATTGTCAGTGTTAATATTCATTATATTAGAATAAAGATTTATTATTATAATGCTTTGCAATAGTCTCATCACATCTCTTCAGTCATATATGGCAATATTAATCTAACAAGGAGGCACAAAAAGAGTAATACCTGGTATAAGGATAGTTTTAAGTGGCCGAACCTCCACACCCTGTGTTGGGTACTGCAGGGGGTTGTTAGCTTCAGATACAATCAGCAGATCAGCAGGGGTCTGCGACCTATACACACCAGAGTTACATTGACTAAAATTAAAACGAAACATTTTATTACTTGAAATTAAATAAACATTAACAGATAAAAATATAATAAAATCAAAAAATAAAATTATTTTAGCCAGTTGCCGTACTGAAATAATAATAATTAAACTAAAACTAATACTTAAATAATACCCTGTAGACATATTTGTTACATGTTCCCTTGTTTTTGTTATTTGGACTTTTATGTCGGCGTACAATTTCTGTTCCCACTGTTCATGTTCTGAGTTTAATTCCTGTTTTACTTTATTTTTACAGTGATTATAAATTTCAAAGCCACTTTATAGTTACTCTTGTTTGTTGCCATAGTGATTGATTACTCACACCTGCTTCTTGTTTGCCTCTTGTTACCCTGTGTGTTTATATCCCAGTGTTTCTTTTGTTCATTGTCTGGTAGTGATGGAAGAAAAGAAGCTTTTCAAAACTTTAGAATCAAGAATGTGTAATGCTGCTGTTGGTGCATGAACAGTATCTGTAAAGTTGCAGCGCTGAAAGTTCAATGTAAGCAGAGATATCGTCTTTTAAAAATCAGGGAGTTGAATGCCTACAAAAACGACTCGATTGGGACTACAACGGGTTTTAGACGTCACTAACTCACACATTTGCATCAACCTCTCCCTCCAGAAAATGCAAAAAAGGGCATGGCCATATTTCTGCGGCTCATCGAGTGTGTTGTGTTCTCCAGCTGTCAGTTCTTCTGTGTTCGAGCTTCCCATGGACGCTGTAGTTCGTCAACAATGGATACAATTTATGTTTGATTATGTTCCTGAAAATGACGATCGTAATCTAGCTCTCTGTGCTGCGCATTTTACGGAAGACAGCTTCCAGAATCTCCACGGATTCAACACCGGATTCAACAAGAAACTGTTACTAAAACATGAAGCAGTTCCAACTTTAAAACCAGAGGCAGCAGTTGTTGGGCCACAACCTGTAAGTAGTCTAAGACTTCATCATTTTAAATGTATTTGCATGTATAATTCCAGACATAGCCTTGTGTTTTATTTTTTTACAAATGCCAGCGTTGGCTTTGTAGCCACTATAGGCTACTAGTTATTCTATTTTGTGTCTATGACAAACTCGCTGGGGCAAACCATTGAAATTTCGAAAGTTATGACACAACAAAGCCTTGTCAATTATGCTAAAAGGATACGCACATGTATGTTTATAACTATTATATAACTGTAACTGTATAACTTATAACTGTAACTTGAATAACTCTTGCCTTAAAATTCTAAGTTCAGACATTCTATTTGATAATATAATACGGATTTATAAACCAAATATTGGCACTATCATGAAACGATTAAATGCACCTCATTTGGAAGCTCTGATACTCTTTGGCTCGCCGTTTCTTCATCTCATGGAGCTGGGAGGCCTGGAAGGCAGTGTGCAGGGGATGGGCAGACACTCTGGGGAACAATAGCTGAGCGAAGGGCAGGTTGATCCCTCGGCTCTCTCCTTCACAAACACACCCGTTGCGAGCCAAAAGCCTTGCGGAAAAGGAGAAAAGTTTTCACATGATCATTCTGTGACAGAGTTTTTGACCTGAATGAAAATGTTTGCATCCTCCTTGAATGTGACTTTGACAGTAGTCAATGCGGGCCTCTGTGTACAATTGTGTATATAAACAAATATAGGATTAATAGACTAATGTTTAAAGAAAGAGATTTGCAGATTTCAGAACAACTTTAATTTGTAGCGTAAAAAGTTTGTGGTCTTTTATTCAGCAACGACACACTAAATCGATCAAAAATGACAGTAAAAACATTTAGAACATCCGTTATAAAAGATTTATGTTTCAAATAAATGCTGTTCTTTTGAAATTTCTATTTATCAAAACACAAGATATTTTAAGATTATTAGGATTGCTGAAGGATCATATGACACTGAAAACAGATTAATACACAATATTAATACACAAAAACAATATTAATATGAATGCCTATCATTTTGAAATCTATTAAAATAAAACACTGTCACTTTAAATCGTAATAATATTCCGCAATATTACTGTTTTACTGTATTTTTGATCAAATAAATGCAGCCTTGGTGGGCATAGGTAAAATGAAAAAGAAAAAAAACATAAAACACATCTTTCCAACCTCAAACATTGGAAAAAAGGTTTTACGACCATTCTTGGTCTCCCTTATTACTTGAACTGATGCTTGTGAGGATTAACTAACCTGGCCACACTCTCCCTCACACGGTAAGGGATGGTACTAGCACTGGGATCCGGTTCAGGAAGTCTCTCTTCCAGTAGCCGCTCAGCTCCAGGTCTGTACCGGACATCCACAGTGCTGTAGACCCGCGTGGGCCAGGAATGTAGCACAGCCAATACCAGCACCACTGATGCTACCAGAGCTAACAGCACAGTCTTACGTAGGGAACGCATGCTACAAACTGCAACACAAACAGAAACACATAGTGTTGAAACGTTATTCAGTTTAATTAGATTAAATGATACAGAAATGATATGATACTCCCTGAGTATCTAAATCTGTTAATTGAAATAATGAAGCATTAACATCATTTCAATAATCGAATTAGCTTCCATTTGATTTCCCTTCACTTAATAACAATGGAGGGAAAGCACTTCAGTAATTAGAAATCATTATACTCACTCTATCCAATCAGAGCGAGAGGTACTGTAAGTTGCCATTACTGCTTCTAAAGGTCCATGGTACTGACTGAGTCAATGTTAATGTGATTGACAGTAGTTGATGTGGCTGATGGAGGGCTCTCTCCATCTGCTGAGGAAGAAAAAACCCTTAGTCGTGTCATTTGTAGAGCATTCATTTACAAATGTATTTCTTACTGTACACAAAATCAGTCAAATCTACTCATTCGCTATATGCAAAGTCTTCTAAAGGCAATACACTATTGTATGAGGCAGGGCCAAATGTCAGGCTTTATCACTAGGAAATTAAAGTATTTGACACAATAGTGGACATTTTTAAAGATAATTTTACACAAGATTCAGCTAATATCAAACATACATACTAAAACGCTGTAACATAAACATGTTTTTGGGGAAACTGAGTGGTCACCCTGCTACAGCTATAAACTAAAATAGTCTAACCTACAGTGCTGGGTAGATTTTTGTTTCAAATTGCAGTCTGTTACAGATTACAAATTAAATGACGAAAACTGTTGTTATTAATGTAATCTATTATATTACGCATTTTAGGTAATGTACCTGATTACTTTTAGATTACTTTTGACCTTGATTATTTGTCACCATTATGTGCTTTTTTCAATAAGGAGGTTCAACCAACTCTGAGTTAAATCTTGAACCCTGAGACCGGAAACTCGAGTTTTCGGTTACAGAACAGCTGAAATTAGTTAGTTCAATCAACTCTAAGTTGATTGTGAAGATTGAAAATCTCTTAATTTAATGTTGTTCTTAGTACTATTATTAATTTTTAGTAATATTCATAATCAGAAGTATTATATATCTGTTTAATTTCTTTTTGTATACATACATAATCATTTGTGAATTGTAATGTTTTGAAGATGTGGGAGAGAGAGAGACTTTGTGATAAGTTAGACTGGATGACAGAATGTACGTTGGAGTGAGACTGAAAGCATATGCAGTGCATTGTTTCCACAGGGATATGATATACATTCCACTGTTAATGAGAACCACATGTTTTTGTGGTAATGTATAGGTTACTAATGGTGATATAGTTTTTTTTTTCCTTGGTTAGTGGTTTTCTTGGTCAGTGGTGTCCGAAAAGCAGGAAGCGATGACAACGATGCAGAAAAAGACCTCTGTTTGTCTATAGTCTCGTCCTCCTATGTCTTCAAAAACAACACATTCTCAGAATGGGCTGTCAAAAATTATAAATAAATACAAGAGATCACTTGGCAAAATCACTGGTGTCTCTTTTCATGAAAGTAATCAACAACAAGGGGAAAGCAAATTGACTCTGAGTTAAGCACGTGCACCACACCTATAAAAAGCCATTATCAATGGAGCACAGATATTAAGAGTCACCATGGCAACAGCACCAGACAAAAAGAGGTCTGCATATTTCTCATCAGCAGAACTGTTTTAGTTTGAGAAAATAGTTGCTGGAGTCAATGCTTAAGTTTACATTTGAATTACTCTTGTACAGTGTTGGGTGTAATTAATTACCAAGTAATCTAGATACTGTAATTCTATTAAAGGGATTACTGTTAATTCTGTAATTTAAAGTAAAATCTGATGTAATTGCACTGCATAGACTAGAAAAATTCTGTTTAAAAAAATAGTGGATTTAACATACATTTTCAAAAGGTATATTTTTAATGTTATCCCCACTCTGTTTAATTCAAGAATAATTCATGCAATTGTATATTGTTAATTTGAAAGCATTAAAAGTTTCTTGTCTCTCCTTGTGTTGTTCAAGTGGTTGAGGTTGATATGGGATTTAGTAATTAGTAATAAGTATACCAATACATTCTAATTATTACATTAATCTAATTTTACTATCGAAGATGTCATAGTTAGTAATTAATAAGACAATATTAGAGGTGAAACTGAAGAACAGCATGTTATTCAACCTAATTTTAATTTTCATGTAGGTGCAATCCTGCAGGCATTAAAAGAACATGGCAGCAGTTGAAAATTAAATACAAAAACATAATTCTGTCAGGTAAGGCTTGAGCATTTAATGGGTGTAGGCTACCACTTAAATTAATTATAAATAGTAGGGATGCTCCGATCGATCAACTGCAGATCGGTATCGGCCGATAATCACATTCTTTGACTCAAATCGATTGATAGTCAATAAATTTGACCAATCTCACGAACCAAACCCAATTTGATGGCGTAAAACCAGTGATAACGTTTAGCGCCACAGTAACATGTCATGTTCTAAAGAAATATAACGTGGAGCCGGAGGAACATTGGCTAAAGAATTGCCTCTGTCATCTTTGTCATCAGGTTCAGGGGTTTAGCAGATCGCTATTGGCCGATCGTGATGGCAAGAAACCAGTAGTCATCGGCTGCAAAAATCCTGATTGGAGCATCTGTAATAAATAGTTTACTTCACAGTGTGAATAATCATGTAATTTATTAAAAAAAAAGTTATGAGCATTTTAAAATGTATTATAATTGGATAACAAAAACATCATTAATTAAAAAAAATGTTTTTAATGATATGACTAAATTGACAGTTAAATGTTATTATTACATTATCAGTAGTATAGTGGATCAAAGCTTGCAGGCCTAGTAAGACAATGTGATTAAGTCTCTGTGGTTCTCATATCTCTGTTTTCACAAAGCTTAATTCTTATCATTAGCTCCTATTATAAAATTTGCAGTGGTAATCTAATCCAACAGTTTCTGTAACACATAATGACAATACCCAGTTTCCAAGAGAGTAGAGCTTACTATCAATAAGATCATTTTTGTAGTGTTAAATGGACATGCATAACTGATAATAAGACAATGAGACCAAAACAAGAGAGATTATTTCAATTTATTTTACCATTATACAACAAAGACATATTTCTGTGACTGAAAAGGCCTTTTTAATAATGTATTTCAATAAACCCCTTGTGATAATGCATGAACTAAGTGACTGATGACAAGCTTCAACACAGATACATTTGCTGCATCAAGCTGAAATGCTGACAAAAATGTGGTTAACATGAAGACTAATATTTAAAGGGATAGTTCACCCAAAAATGAAAATTTGGTCATCAATTACTCACCCTCATGTTATTCCAAATCTCTATGAGTTTCTGTTGAACGCAAAAGAAGATATTTTAAAGAATCTTGGTAATCAAATAGTTGATGAAAGCCATTGACTTCTATAAAAAAAAAAATACTATGAAAGTCAATGGGTATCGTCAATTGCCTGGTGAAGGGCGGATTCTGGAATCCACTGCTGCTTCAATGTCTATCTAATGAGTGATTATAATTAAGGAATGACTTCTCTAGTCTTATGATATTTTACTTTGTTAGAAGTGTGATTATCAAAAATGTTCTTTTCATGTTTTCTTTCCAAGTATGTATTTTGTGTTTTGCTGGGGTACCCTGAGTTCAGACTGCATGATTTTAGCCACGATTTTGGCTCGCCGGCAGGTTTTGAGAAATCGCCGACAAATGCCCGAAATCACAGGCAAATCGGCGCTCGTTCACGCGAGTGACAATCACGCAGTGTGAATGAACAAAGACGCGAACTGAGAAAATCACCGACGAGTCGCCGACGCCCGTGAGATATTTGGCATGCTAAATATCTGGACCTGTCGGCGATTCAAAATCCTGCTGTGTGAAAAGTGTTTTGACTGAAAACTACTACATCGGCGATCACCGGCAGCCAGTGAGAGAGCAAGATACAGAGCAGCAGGGAGTTCGGGGAGGAGTTATAGATCACATATCAACATGATATGGCATTGTTTCAACAAAAAAAGCTTCTTCTGGGTCTATTTGGACACAATAAATGGAAGAAAAATTAGTAGAAATTTGGCAGGAGCACTCGTGTCTGTTTCACCAGCTGTACCACAACCTGGTCGAAAAAAAAAGTCTCACGTGAGAACTCCGGTCTTGCACGTGTGGTGTCACGCGTTGTTTCCTTTTCATATCTCACGCGTGTTGGTTGTGAAATGTAGTTTGCGTGCAGCGTGCTAGACAGAGTCTGTCGGCGATTTTTCTAAAGTCATGCAGTGTGAAACCTTCTGTCGCCGATCCATCGTCCAGTGTGAACACAGCAGCGACTGAATGCTGGCCAAGATAGTCATGCAGTGTGAAAAGAGCAGCGACCTGACTACTTTGAAAATCGTGCAGTCTGAAAGAGCCACAGCAAGAGTCACAGGGGTCATTGGAACCAATAGTTGAGTGACCATTTCTTAAAGTCTTTATTGTGTTAGATTAAAGTATCCGTTCAAGAGAAAATGAACTTATTATCTCCATGTTTTGAGAAGACTCTCCTGTTTTTGTTTATAGTTAGAGCCTGGCCAAATCCAACCTTGAAAAAGTTGTATGTCTGTGTGTGTTAGTCTTATTAGTTACAGGTTAAGGAACAACTGCATTATGAAGATTGACTGAGTTGTTGTTCTGGACAGGTTGGCGCCTAATTGATGGAGATATGCTTCAGTCTATCTGTTTATGTGTGGGAAATGAATATGTTTATCTATTTTCTAAGAGTAAGCGGGGCGGCCTATGAACTCCTTGTGAGTCCTGAAACTGCAAACTATCTTCAGTAAAACTTTTCTTTAATTTATTATAATTCTGACTCATCTTAAAGGGACAAAGTGTAGGAGTTTCTCCCATCTAGTGGTGAAAATGTATTTTGCTTTCAAACGAATTTTTGCTCTCCTGCGCCTTGCTTTTGCAAATGCGCGTTGCAACTACGGTAGCCATTATGTACCAAAAAGCTATGACAGGATGTCTTCTAATAGCTCTTCGTTGAGTGTTCCTTTGGGTGTTTGAAGCAAACAGCAACTTGACACAACGAACAAACAAATGTTACAGTATGAATTACTGACTGTGAAAAACATGAACTATTATGCCTTCTGTATTCGTTATATATTTTCTGAAGTATGTGCATTGTTAGATATCATCATCACCACATTGAGGACATATTTATGAATAAAAATATTGATTTTAAATAATAAAATACATAAAAAAGTACACATTGTCCCTTTAAATTGACTGCACTTCTGACTCTGGGTCTTAATTAATCATATTTGGTCCTTGGGTGTTTGACTGTAAATCCCCTTACACTGGTTACTGACATTCTTCAAAATATCTTATTTTGTGTTCAACAGAAGAAAGAAATTTATACAGGTTTAGAACAACATGAGAGTGAGTAAGTGATGGCAAAATTTTATTTTTTGGTGTGAACTATCCCAATAGTCACTATGGTGAGCATTGCCTTATTTCTATAAAATGCCCACGTCCGTTCTTGGGCTTGGAAATCAGATAAACATTAAATAAACATAATTTGTTCAGTACACTGGCCGAGAGAGCTCAAAACCCTGCAACAGCAGAAAACACATACAAGAAGAAAACAAATTAAGAAAAAAAATCTAGAAAGCAAAAATAAAAATTAAGAAAACATCTTCATCAGTTTGACAACTCAATAGAATACAGAAAAGTGCTGCAAATACTCACAACAACACACATACTGTTAGGATGTTACAGTTTTTTTCGATTGCTAAACCACAATGGAGCACAACTGGAGCTACATGTGCAAAACTCTAACTACAGTCTGCACAGCAGCAGTTCACATTGCTTGAACACAGTTTTCAAAACTCTACACACTTATCCCATGACTTTAAACACAACCTGCACAACACTGTGGATTTACAGCACTTTGTTCAAATGCTAACACACTGCTGTCAAAAGTGTGAACCACTCATTCAAAACAGAATAAATTTCAGCCTTGTGCCTTTCACACACTGCTGATTTTCAAACAATTTCAGCTGAAAGGCTAAAAACTTGTGGCCTAATGCTTGTGAGAGGCAGGGTTACAGTATTACAGTATGTACTTTTAGTTTCTACCTTTTTTTCTCATTACTGTAATTTTGTAAATTACTACAGACTATTGAAGCAAACTGCTAATTTTCCATTGTTATGTTCTAAAAATGTAAAAATATCAAATGAAATATTGTCACTGTTTTCTTTGAAGAAAATATTACTTTGTATGAAGTGTGAAATTGTTGAAACTATAAAGATGAAAAGTTTGGATTTTCTGCATTTGTGTTTGATGCTACTGTTTTTCCTCTCAGTGTGTTCTGAGTGACAGTGTGTGTTATCTCAGTGAGGGTTGTGCACAGTGTTGTGCACACTGAGCCTGTTTTAAGCCGTGTGTTAAGAGTTGTGCTCAGGTGACTGTTGGTAATGCAGACTGTAGTGAGAGTTTTGCACATTTAGCTCCAGTCGTGCCCACTATCGTTTAGCAATCGAAAAAACTGCAATCAGGATGTTACAGTAAAATAAACCAAAAAAAAAAAAAAAAAACACATTTCAGGTCATCGACACCACTGACGAGTAGACATTGAACAATAAGCATGTCCCAGCCAGGTCCGTCTAGTCGGGGTCCCCTGGAAACATTACCACTGTGGTCTGTGCTATTGCAGTGGGCTTCTGTATTTTTGAGTTGTGAGTATTTGCAGTGCATTTCTATATTCGGTTGCATATGCATTTCTGTATTGGGTTGTGTTTTGAGTATAGCACATGTTTTGTCAAACTGATGAAGGTGTTTTTTTCTATTTGCATGTTTTTCCTCAGTTGTCCACAGTTGCCGTGTGTTTCTGTATTTGGGTGAGTTGTGAGTATTTGTAACACATATGTTGTCAAACTGATGAAGATGTTTTTTTTCTATTTGCAATTTTGCATGCGTTTTCCACAGTTGTCTGTCTTCAGTTTTGCCGTGCGTTTCTGTATTTGGTTGAGATGTGAGTATTTGTAACACGTGTTGTCAAAAGATGTTTTTTTCTATTTGCATGTATTTTCCACAGTTGTCTTCAGTTGCAGTGTGTTTCTGTATTGGGTTGTGTTGAGTATAGCACATGTGTTGTCAAACTGATGAAGATGTTTTTTTTCTATTTGCATTTATTTTCCTCAGTTAGCCTATCCTCATTGCCGTGCGTTTTTGGTTGAGTTGTGAGTATTTGTAACACATGTGTTGTCAAACTGATGATGTTTTAATTTTTCTTTCTATTTTCATGGATTTCCCTTATTTGTAGTCTAGACTATTTCTGTATGCGTGTGAGAGAAAGAAAATAAAACATTGAATTGCGCTGATCTAAAGCAGTAAACAGCCATTCACAATCTAAACATCACTCCATCCACAGCCGTGAAGATAAAACCATGCGCATTCCTGAAGAGTGTACGCCCAATGGAGGCGACTTCCCTCCTACTGATATATTGTGTATTAGTCTCTAGGCTAACGTTACAGCAGGCCAGTGTGCGGTGATTCCCAGCCTACTGTATACAACATCTCACATAGGCCGCACATCTGACAGTATGCAGTATGCACCGTTGGCTAAATCAGTTCAAAGCCTTGGCAAATAGCCAATAGCCATTAAGGGACACGAGTACTAGCCTGCTCATCATTTCCACTGCCCATTATGCCGAAATACAGAGAGGTAAGTTAGCCTGCCGAAAGCCCCTTGGCCTGTTGTCGCCATATGTCACATCATCCACAGAAGATTCTATCAGGCAATGCAGAGCCATAATTCTATTAAAAAAACGTTACCATAGAATCCGAATGAAATCATTTCTATTCAAACACCAGGAAGTGCGAACAATTAGGCTACTTAACGGGGCAAAATTAATTGTATGTATTTACTCAATAATGCAGCAGAAACAAACAAATGTGTCGTAAACGACTGAGAAAATGATAGCTAATCACAACAGGGCGGATGAGCCAGCAGACGCGTTCAAATCTTACCTGTAATGTCGCGACCAAGAGGGATCTCCTACCCTTAAAATACCCCCGGCGCTCTTGTCATGTGAACGAAAACAGCTGATAAATGAAGAAAATCCGGTGGCATGGCATCCACCTCCGAGGCAGAATGGAGGAGAGCGAGAGTCGTCAGGCTACCCCCTCTATCGTGAATAGCGATGGAGAGCTGCACCGCAGCCTCTAATGAGGAGGAGAGGAGAGTGATGTGGCTGAACACACGCCTGCCGCTCACCACAAGAAGCGAATTTAGCTCTTATGATTATTTAGATTGTTTTGTTCCTGGTCAGATTTTACATTCACAGTAGCGTAAACTAAAAAAGCTCCACTTTTCAAAAAGAGTTACAATAAATAAACATAGGCTAATAAACATAACAATAGGCCTAAATCAACATAATTTAGGCTACATACTCTTACAAATACAGGTTCTTCATAGGCATAAGGTCCCATGAAGATGCTTTAACATGCATGGAACCTTTCCATTCCCAAAAAGGTTCTTTATAGTGGAAAGGGGTTCTTTAGATTTTTTTAAAATGTTCTAAACTCTAACAAAAAAATATATATATATTTTAACCTGATAAGTGTCATGGAATTTGACACGTATATTCTTTGGAATTTAGACGTAAGATTGGTCTCGTTTTAAAGACATTTGGCAGATTTGAAACAGAAGTGAAAGTCAGAGTTTGAGTTTATGAAAATGTACTATGTAAAAAATTAATTATACATATTTTATATAAAATATATATATTTTCAAAACCTGGGCGACTCTAAAACTGAAAAATATAAAAAATAAAATCAAAGCCAAAAATCTGAACAAGTTGTGTTTCAAATTTTAGGTTGATATCTCAAAAAAAAAAAGAGCTTTCAGTAAGATTTTGTTTGGGCACAGTACCAAACTTTTTCACTAGGTCACAACAAGACTCCATTACTGCCCATTTAAGCTTTTTCAATTTTTTGATAAGAACACCAACTCTCTCTAAGTATCTGAAATGACACTTGAAGTTTATCCCTCTTCCACATTCTTCCACATTCATTAAGCAGTTGTGCTGCTTAGCCTAATGTTTTTTTGGAAAATAAATTATTGTATACCGTAAGTTTAGCCTACTATCACTTTTTAACCTTGCTGAATAAAAGTATTAATTTCTTTTTAAAAAAGTAAGAAAGAAAATTAGTGACCCCAAACTTTTAAACAGTAGCCTAGTGTAAAGATCCATCCATCCATCCATCTTCTTCCACTTCATCCGGGGCCGGGTCGCGGGGACAGCAGTCTAAGCATAGATGCCCAGACTTCCCTCTCCTTAGACACTTCATCCAGCTCTTCTTGGGGGACACCGAGGCTTTCCCAGGCCAGCCGGGAGACTATAGTCTCTCCAGCGAGTCCTAGGTCTTCCCCGGGGCCTCCACCCAGTAAAAAGATTTCTATTTGAAATAAATGCCGTTGTTTTTTTTTTTACTTTTTAAAATCAGAATTCTGAAAAAAGTATCAAAGATTATAAGATAGAAAACCATTATTTTAGATTGTAGTAATATTTCACAATATTCCTGTTTTTGTTCTGTATTTTTGATTAAAAAATTGCAGCCTTAAGAAGAAAAAATATAGAGATTTCTTTAAAAAAAAACATGAAAAATTGTATTGTTTCCAAACTTTTGATCATATATATTTATGCCCCCCCCCCCCCTTTTTTTTTTTTTTTACATTTGAGCCCCTGCTCTTGAGGAACTCTGGTCACAGTCCTTCGTCTGCACCAGACCAGTGACACTCTGCACATCCCAGGCATGCAACAACTATTTTTGGTGTATAAATGGCATTGGTATAAAGTTTAGAAATGGTATTAAGTTGGGGGGAACACTCTGGCTGGATGAATGACCCAACAGTGATCCATGTCAAAATGTTTACATGCCTATCAAGACAGTCTGAAATTATATAATACATTTATTTCAAACCAAGGCAGTCAAACAAGAACAAATGTTGGCAGTAGCCATGTGTAGCTTATTCCCCCCAGACTGCTTTTGATATTATGATGTATAAACATGTTTTATTTATGCACTTATTTATGGAATAAATAAATACATAAATTGGAATACTTGAGAAATGAGGAAACCTCAATATAGATTAGAAACCGAGTTGCCTACAGTTGATCTTAGTCATCGACTAGTAAACAGTGCGGCGTTCTGTTCTCAAACGCTCGACAGCGAACTCATGAGTCCAAAGATTAACATTACACTGATTTACATTTACATAGACTGTAAAAGAAAGGGTCCAATAGAAGTCAATTTCGTGGCTGGTGGGTGTCTATTACGGCACGTGATCCAATGAATACACGTTCTAAACATGACTGTCGTTGGTAATAACCAATCATGTTTCAGCTTTCAACAACGTTGTCCAATCCAAGTTGCTTGGCACACTGACATGCACCGAATAACAAATCATTTGACAACGCTAGTTTGCGACATGAGAGAACTATGGCTTCCTCCTTGATAAAGTGGTTAAGAGGATTATATGTTTTTTTCTTAACATGTCTCCTGTCCGTTTTTGCTTTTTTGAATTTAGAAGAATTAAATGAAATGAAATATGGAATACAGATTCTGCCCGACCCTGTTATTATGGGACAGGTAAGATTGTTTTGGCCAGAGATGCAGCTAGCTGTTTGTTTGCTACAGACAGTTAACGTATCTTTATGCACAGCTTGACGACTCAGACATTAAAGCCAATGCTTTACGTGATACGGGTTCCTAGTACTAAGTGTCTACTCGTCCAACACTGAATAGTAAAGCTGGTTAAGTAACGAGTGGGGAATTAGCTATGTGACATGAGGTTGTTAGACTGTCCACAGGTATGATTTAGGTCAGAGGTTTTCAAACTAAAGTCCGGTCCCGAGGGGGCCATAGGAGAGTGATAGGAAGTCTGCGTAAATGTTTACAAAATAGTAATAAAAATAAGATGAAAATAAATGAATAATCAAAACGTATATTAGAATAAATAACGTTAAGTAAATATACAATTAGATTAAATATAACAGCACTATAATGAGTAGAAAAAGTAATAGTATAACTTAATAGTAAGTAATAGACATTTATAATATTTATTTTCCACAGTATCAATTGGGTCTATACAGTAAACTTTCAATTTTTCGATTGTCAACAGGGCCTGTGGCATTTAAAAGAGAGAATACCCTTGCTATAGATTTTGCTTAATTATAACTATGAATTTTGGGGAAAACAAGATGGTAGAAATGTAGTGTACACTATGTTTCCACCTCTTCCTTGTTCTCCTTTTCTAATTCATTTTCTCTGTCTCTGTCATCTTCTTTCTGTTCCTGTTTTTAGATGGAAGATGTGATGTTGGTCTCTAACAAATACAAGCAGCTGTATGAGTGTCGTTTGCCAGCTCAGGCAGTGCGTTTCCATCAGGACCCGGTATCAGAGCCTGACATGCTGGGTTACAGTGGCCCAGGAGTCCCTGACCTCCTCAAGCCCATGCAGACTGCACCATGCCTGATTAAGGTGGACATGGCCTGCCTTCAATTCTATGTCACAGTGACTGTCACACTGAATAATATACACATCCACTGACACTGTTCTAGATATCACTAACTATCACAAATAGTTAATTTAGAAACTATGTTTGTTTCCATGTTTGTGTAAATAATCAACAAATTAATTATTGCCATTTGCTATGGACTTTTGTACACAATTGCCAATCAATACAAACTACAGTACATGTCACTGTGACTTGAACATTATTTATTTTGATGTGTTTATAGACCAAAGACTGGTGGACTTATGAGTTCTGCTATGGCCAGCACATCAGGCAATATCACTTAGAAGGTATGTTAGAACATTATGTCTAAATTATGTTTTGCAATGTCTAATTGAGTTGAATTGCATGTAGCCCCCATAAAACCCAAACACGGTAGCAACGTTAGCCCCCGTAAAAACTAGACTTGGCTGAACGATGTCACCCGTACTGCCAGACGCGAGTGTAGAAGGGCGGAAAGAATTTGAAAGAGAGATAAACTTCAAGCGTCGTTTCAGATACTTAGAGAGAGTTGGTGTTCTTATCAAAAAATTGTAAAAGCTGAAAAAACCAAGCATGTTTCTAAAATTATTTCTTCTAATGGTCACAATCCTCTTATCCTCAAGTTGGAGAGCGTTCTTATGAATGGCCCTGGCATTTCTGTAACTTGTTCTGCTGTTTTGAACCAGTTTGAGCCTGTTAGCTTGCCTTTTTTAGAAAAGATTATTGGTCAAATGAAGATCACTGGCTCCCCCAATGATGTGATTTCCCCCTCGTCTTTTTAAAGAGGTTATTCCTATAGTGGCATCCTGCATACTTGATATTGTTAATGTCAGTTTAACTGCTGGAGTCGTACCTCTGAGTTTTAAACATGCAGTTGTTCAACCCTTGTTAAGGAAACCTGGTCTGGACCGACTTCAGCTCTCTAATTATCGGTCTATCTCTAAGCTCCCTTTGCTTTCCATAATTATGGAGAATGTCGTTTATCTGCAGCTGAGCACATTTTGAATTGTGGCCTTACGGCTGCGTTCGATACAGTCGTCCACCAAATTTTATTGCCTCGGCTGGAAAACTGTGTGGGCATAAAGGGGTTGGCCTTAGCCAGGATTATGTCCTATTTGGAAGGCAGAAGTTTTTCAGTTCAAGTCAGTGATGCTGTGTTCTCTTCGGCTCCTCTGTTGTTCCTCAAGGGTCTGTCCTTGGACCGCTACTTTTTTTAATGTACCTGCTGCCTCTTGGGTCAATCTTCAGAAGTTATAACATTTCATTCCATTTTTATGCTGAAGACTGCCATATATATGTGCCGCTAAGTTAGTCAAAAACCCTTTTAGAGTGTCTGAATGAACGAGAGTAAAACTGAGTTTGTGTTATTTGCTCCTAGTGACTCAGCTACTGTGGTTCCTGTTGACCTGGGTTGTCTAACTCAAGACATGCCCCTGTGATTACAAACCTGGGAGTCAAGTTGGACTGTCATCTAAAATTTGATGCCCAAATTAGTGCAGTGGTGAAGACCAGCTTCATTCAGCTCAGGCAACTAGCCAAAGTAAAACCGGTTTTATGTCGACATTGAAATTTTTATCACCACTCGTTTGGATTACAGTATTGTAATGTACTTTATATTGGTCGTAGCAAATCTCGGTTCAAATAGCAGCAGCTGGTGTTTTAACTGGAACTCGAAAATATGGTCATATCTTGCCCATCCTCCAGTCCCTCCAATGGCTCCCTATGCACTTTTGTACTGATTTTATAATTCTTTTATTTGTTTTTAAATGTCTGCATGGCCTGGCCCCCAGTACCTGTCTTATCTGCTTGTGCCCTTCACCCACCTTTCGTTCGCTCCAGTCGGCTGATCAGGCACTGCTGGTCGTCCCCAAGACCAAACGTAAATCTAGAGCTGACCGTGCATTTGCTGTTGCAGCTCCAAAACTCTGGAATGAACTGCCTTTGCACATCAGATTGACTGAGTCTCTTTCTGTTTTTAAATCCTGTCTCAAAACTCATTTATTTTCTTTGTCTTTTAATCTAATTTGAGGGTTGACTTTCAGTTTTGTTTTTACCATTAACAGGATAATTTGTGTAAACTTTTCATTTTCAATATATGTTCCATTTCTGTGATTATAGATTCAGAGATCAAGGGAGATGTGCTCTTTTTGGGATATTATGATTCAGAGTTCGACTGGACCAATGAAACTGCAAAGGTTAATGTGCTCAAATTGTTTACTCGTGTAAGATGTAATTCATCTTTTGAAAGTTTCTGAAAATGGAGTAATTAGGAATTCTGATACTAGTAATTATTTTAAATTTATAGCTGATAATTAATACTTGCAATATTATAGACTAATGAAAGTGCATTATTTGCATGCTGCCATCTTTGTAGTTATTGTGTATATATTTATGTACTTGACATTTATATATATATATATATATACATATAAATAAATAAAACACACATATGTATATATAATCTTTTTTTAATTTATTTAAATTTGCTGATATGTTTTCTTTTTTCAGGCATCTAAGCAGCATAAACTGAAGAGGTATCATAGTCAGTCATATGTCAATGGCTCTAAATGTGACTTGAATGGCAATCCCAGAGAGACGGAAGTCAGAGTAAGATTGCACACACTTACAAAGTGCCACCGCTTATTTCCAGGCCAGGAATTTACTATTGAAGTCAATCTGAAAACACAATACATATGTGGGTGCCTAGTATCCTTTATTTCAATTAAGACTAATCTTACTACTAAAGTATTCATTGTTTAAGGTGTGTAAAATAACTTTAATTCAGTGCATTAAATTGACCAAAGAAAAACAGTGAAGAATTTTACATTGTTACAAAAAAACTATTTCAAAGAATCCTGATTTTTTTTTTAAATCAAGGTTTTCACAAATATATTAAGCAGAAAAACTGGTTTTAACATTAATAATAAGAAGAAATTTTACTTGAGCACCAAATCTGCATATTAGCATGATATTTCTGAAGGATCATGTCATGTGACACTGAAGACTGGTGTAATGATGCTGAAAATTCAGCTTAGCTGAAAACTTGTTTTTAAAGTGTAATAATAATTCACAACATTGATTTTTCAAAATCAACGCACATTTTTCAAAATCAACACACTGTTTTTTTTCTGTAATTTTAATCAAATAAATGCAGTCTTGAAGAGCATAAGAGACTTCTTTTTTTATAACATCAGAAATTGTACCGACCTCAAACTTTGAACATAAGTGGACAACAACATACAATTGTATTGTGCATATGGAATGGGAGCATTATATCCCAACATCTATTGGAAAGCCTTCCCAGTGGAGTGGAAGCAGTTAAAGATGGCCAAGAAGTTTTTTTTAATAAAATTTTAAGAAGACTATATAAATGTGCTAAAATTGATGCTACTGTTTTAAGGCTGTTTTAATGTTTTTTTTGTTTGTTTTTTTTTGTTCTTTTTAAACAGTTTGTGTGCGAGGAGGGCTCGAGTGACTATATTGCACGGGTAGATGAACCTCAGTCCTGCCGCTACGTCTTGACAGTACACACCTCTCGTACCTGCCAGCACCCCCTCCTTCAGCCTCCTTCCACCACCAAGCCACAAGGCATTGTGTGCCAACCCGCTCTCAGTCCCCAGCAATATATGGACTATGTCAAGGCTCAAGTCTGTAAGTACGAGAAGTGTGGGTTTTTTTTTTTACCTCCATCAGGGCCTTGTCATAGTCATATTGGGCAATATATCAAATATGGATCATATGTTTGAAATGATTTTGTTGGTGGTACAAAATTAGCCCGAATTAAGCCCGATTTGCAAATTGTTGCACTCGCCGACAGGACAGGGTGTTATCGCGGACAAATCGCAGGTCTTTAGCAGGCGATGAACGCTCGTCAATAGCCGCGTTTCCACTGCCGGGCCAGGGCTGGGCCGTGCTAGTGCGTGCCAGGGCCAGTCGCGTTTCCACTGTCACTTCCGGGGCTTGATCGGGGCTTCCTCAGGGCCAACGGCCAGGATTTCTGGCCCGTCGAATACCTTGGGCCAGAGGGGGCCAGCTCGGGCTAGAGGCGTGTTCAAGGTAAAAGGCGGAGTTTATCGGTGTTATGGAACGTTATGATCTGAAGCAAGATGCACATAGGGGTGTCCATGTTTAACCGATTAACCGTTTAAAATTGCATAACATTTTAATTTGAACTGTAGGCCTATGCCAAATGCTGCGCAACAATATATAGGCTATATATAGCTACATATCGACGAATTTTCAGATATTTGTTTGATTTTTTTGCCCCTTAAACATTTAAAATATTTGACAAATTAATATGAAAAAAATATATATTTTACTGGTTTTCTGAGGCCAAATTAGAACCTGGAAATGATATTTTCCCCGCAGTGCTGAATGAGAAGAGCCGTAACCACAGCCTACAGAAAATGATCTAAATGATTTTCGGCTAAAAACATATCTCCATCTCCGGATGCACATTTAGAGAGAAATTAAGCTACATAAACATAGAAGATATTGGCTTTCGATTCGAATTTGTTCGTTTTAAATTGGACATTTAAAGCTTTAATCTACAAAGGATATAACCCCTGTAGACTAAAGCTTTAAATGTCCAATTTAAAACGAACAAATTCGAATGCGGTGGCTGTTTCAGGTCTCACGCTTCAGTTCACGGAGATCATGATTAATGATTAATTGTTAAAGCACAACGTTTTCTTGTTATAAACAAATTTATTTGCGAATAATGTATTATTATTTTCTGTATGACCAGAAATTAAAGAGTATTTTAAGTTTTTTCCACTGAAAGAAATGCAATGAAACTGTTCACATGGGCGTCTCGCAGCCATCAGTGCGTGCTCCACACACACTGGATATGCGCTGATATTTGTCAAAAATATTGTGTTTATTTGTGCTCTGTTCCTTTTTTGGATAAAGGCGTCTTCTACATATGCAGCCTAATAAAATGTTACAATAATGATGATGATGGTTATTATTATTTTTATTATTATTATTTGCAGACACGGAGTTTTTGTGAAATGGACGTTTTGCTTATTTTCAATTGGCAATTTCAGTTTGAAGGGTGATGGAAATGGGGCTTTAACTGCTCCGTACTTGCTGCGTTTTATTTCTATAAATTAATTTCGTTTCAAATGGGGTCCAATCAGTTATTAAAGGTGTTAAAAATTTACTCTGTATCTCGAGGTTGCGGCGCGCACACTATGCACCGAGTATTAACCGATGGGCCTCGGTTAACGATTAATGAATAACTTGAAAACGTGCCCGCAGCCCTACTTGTTATATCGCGCAAAAAAACGCTGCTTGAAATGGAGAATCGCCTGTACTGGTCTCGGGACACTATTGCAGCCACTACGGCAGTTGAGTTAATATACATGCTATCTTCCTAATTTAAAAAATAAATTAATTCATAATACCCGCTGAAATGGGTTGGGTTTTATGACGTTTGATCCTGAAAGGCGTGTTAGGGGTGGGGTCTGGGGCAGCGCTGTGGGGCTACTGGCCCGGCAGTGGAAACGCAAGCCCGGTGCTTGAGGCCCGAGGCCATTAGCTCGGCCCGGCTCGCTGTTAGCTCTGGCCCAGCCCTAGCCCGGCAGTGGAAACGCGGCTAATCTGTTAGTATGAAAGAGCCAACAACGCATCAAAGACACTTGCTGACGTGTCGCTGAGCCCAGAAAAATATCTAGCATGCTAGATATCCAGAGCTGTTGCACAACCCTACCTAACGTGATGTCATGAGCTACAGCCAATCAGAGCAAGGCATGGGTTGAGGTCACCGGGTAAATCTTATTTTTTCTTTTTTTGCATTTTTTTCTCAGAGCAAATCATTGCGCAAACAGTTTGCAGCACTTTTTTCTGTCTGACGTCCATATTCGCGTGTTGTGTTCTTCTTCGCTGGGTATTGGCGTGCATGCCATTTCTTGGAATTTCCGGTTCGTTTTATCGCTATTTTTCATGACAAAACGTGGTTTGTAGACAAGATGGAATCGTTGGGTGACAGAGTTGTTGTCAACTCGTGTAGTGCGTTACCTCCTGTTGCGGATCAATCACGTTGTGTTGTGTGGTCAACAGCTCAACAACTTGAACACTCCTGATTTCACAGAGAGCAAGTCATGTAGTGTGACCTGCACAGTTCAGCCTGACGTTCAGTGTGTAGTGTGATCTAAGCATAACACGTTTTCGTAACATCTCAGATTTAAATATGAGTGATGTGAATCAGAATATGTGTGTATATATTTATATATACACTCTATATCTATATCTGTGTGTTTATTTATATATATATATATATATATATTTAGATATATATATAGAGAGAGAGACAGAGATATGGTTAAATGGTTATTTCGGATTTATTTTCAACAAGATTTTGTACTGTGCTTCATGCTTTTTTTAATCTATTTGAATACTTTTATTGTTTCGTAATTGTTGGAACAAAAACAAACTTTAAATATCGAAATAAACTTTGAAATGTGAATCAGCAGAAGAATAAAGCATACTGAGATTGATGGTTTTAAGATATATCCTCAACCCAGATCCAGCACACTGGTGTTTTACCTAGGAGAGATGACCTATATCATATCATTTGTTAATTACAGAAAGGGCCTACATGGTTACAATAACAAGGATATGAATCGCATGATTCAGATATAGAGAATTCTTTCGAAGCTTAATCAGACATTAGGAGTTTGTATTATCACTCATTACACCATTCATGGAAAAAGTCTCCGGTGCACAAGTGATGAGGTGAGATCTCCAGAGATGCAATCAGCCTATATTTAATCATACACTGTTCTGTAATTGATGCGTTATTTTTAGCACATAGACATCTCTCTTTTTGTATCACTCTCTCTTCCTCATTTTCTGTGCTTAGCTGACACTAAACGTAAAGTGGAGCAGATCTCGGAGGAGCTCAAGAACTTGGATGAAATTCTGTCCAAAGATGACAAGAACAATGGATTGCAGGATGACAAAACAGATGAGGATCCTGTAGTCCATTCAGATGAGTCTCCAGTTTCAGTGTCAGAAACCAAAGGTTAGCATCCTAACAATGATTTGGGCTAATTTGACTTAGATTATCGACACAATACCCTTTTAGGCATGAGTGTAAATCATGCAGTTGCAACTGAATGCACTGGGTGGCACTGTGTACAAATGACATTGAGGTGGTGAGACATGATGCCATGTGCTTTCAGTATCCCAGGCAATGTTCAGACTGCCAGCAAAAATCAGCAAATTTTTTTTTAGCATATCCAGATTTTATCCAAATGGCTTTAAAAAAAAAAAATCTGAATGGCAAAAAAAAAAAAGCAAATGAAGTCTGATCATTTTCAAATCTGATTCAAACCACATTTGGAGGTGAGCTGGCATGGCATTAAACTATAAACTAAGAAATTAAATAGTCTTTTGCGTCACTCTAATGCGACACACAATGATAATGTCAAAACCGGTGATGGAAATGCCACATTCCTTGCTGCACAGCGAAACAAGCTGTGACTACAGCACATAACATCAATATACCAGTCTCGTCATTGCTGAGTTTTTCTTGTGCAACAGAGGAGTTTTGCACCACCCTGACTCGACAGGGTGCTTATTTGGACATATCTTGCATATTTCCTGCATCCGTTTTAAAATCCTCGTCAAAAACGTGGGTAAGCCTATGTCGTTAACAAAGCAACCCATGCAGATACATTGGTCATGTCTACACAAATGACACACAAATCTTATTTGATCACTTGAAATTAATAGTGTGGACCGTATGCTTGATAATATCTGATTTGGGGGAATGAAATTTTCCTGCAGTCTGAACATAGCCCTACATAATTAGAACATGTGCAACAATTGTGGACCAATGTAACATCTGGTTCCTGGAGCAAAACTATTTGAGAACCACCACTTTACAGTATTTGACATCCTAACTACATAATTACTCAAAATGCTCCTCCCTTATCTCTTTCGATAGACCAGATACACAATGCAGTTCAATCTGGTTGTCAGTTCACAGTTAGTGCTTAAAGGGATAGTTCACTTTGAAATTAATTTTTGATATGTTTTAGCTTACCTCAAGGGCATCCAAGATGTTGGTGTCTTTGTTTCCACAGTATTTTCAATTTTGAAATTTTTCAGTCAAACCGTTGTTGTCTATCTGTCATACACTGGAGGCCACCAAAAAGCATGCACAGAGAAGTCAAAATTAAACATGATTTAATGACTCGTAAATGTAAGTACACATTGATGGCCTAAGACACGAAACGAGCGGTTTTTGTGAGAAAACGAACAGTATTTATATCGTTTTTACCTCGTGTAATCACAGTGACGTCCAAGTGATCTGAATCAGTTGTGCAATGTCCAACTGAACCGAACTGAATCAGTTCAATGTTACGCCGGAAGTAATCGCTTGCGCGTGACGTCACACAATATTTTTCGGAAGTTTTACCTTTTACTAAACATATTTAGATATACCGAAATCGTCTTCCATTGCGGTTTCCCGTATATCTAAATATGTTTAGTGAAAGGTAAAACTTCCGAAATATCTGAATATACGAAGAGTGACGTCGACGCGCAAGCGATCACTTCCGGCGCATGCGCAGACTGAAGCGCCCGTGGCGTCAGATCATTTTGTCATGGCTATGATTACAAGAGGTAAAAACGATATAAATACTGTTCGTTTTCTCACACAAACCGCTCGTTTTGTGTCTTAGGCCCTCAATGTGTACTTACATTTACGAGTCATTAAATCATGTTTAATTTTGACTTCTCTGTGCATGCTTTTTGGTGGACCCCCTTAGCCTCCAGTGTATGACAGATAGACAACAACGGTTTGACTGAAAAATGTCAAAATTGAAAATACTGTGGAAACAAAGACACCTACATCTTGGATGCCCTTCAGGTAAGCTAAAACAAAAAAATAATTTCAAAGTGAACTATCCCTTTAATCCATTTCAGGAATTTAAGGGAGTGACAACCACATTCTTACAGCCTTACAAACAGAAACAAAGCGCCTCTGTGAAATATGGTTTAGTTCAAATTGTAGAACATAACGAGTCTTTGGGCCATGCAAATGTATTTAAAACAAAAATAGCATACACCAAACAGGCAAGACAGAACTGGTTACTATATATATATATATGAAGAGTTCAGATGCAAAAGCCTCTAAGTGCCATTTGAAATTTTCTTCTAGAATGATCATTTTTATCAAGCTTGTATATTTAAGTTCAGTGATTTCACTTAAATGGCAATGATAATTACCTATTAATTGTTATTTAAGTGAAATTACTGAACTTAAATATACAAGTTTGATAAAAATCATCATTAAAGAAGAAAATTTCAAATGGCATTTAGAGGCTTTTGCATCTGAACTCTTCATATATACATATATATATAGGGGAATCACATTTAAATGCAGTTGTCTATAACTTAACTGCGTGTATGTGGCCTATTATAATGTTCATTTTCAAATCCTCATGTTTTAATAAAACATAGCTGATGTATGCTTGTTTGTGCGTTTATATATATGTAGTTTGTAGTCTATTTCGTTTTTTTTTTTTTAGCTTTCTACTTTCCTTATCATTAGCCGTTCCTGTGCAGCATTCAAACAGAATGACATCTGTGTGTGCATGTTTGTGTGCTAACAGAGACCGAAGTAGCTGAAGTGGACTCTGTGAGTGAAGAGCCGGGGGATAAGGACTTCTGGGAGGGAGTGACCAAACCAGCAAGCACAGAATCAAGCACACCTGACTCAGAGGTACAGCCTCATAAAGCACCTCTTCACTCGATATATCTAACTGGTCCTACTCGAACTGCTCCAAGTCGGATTCAAACTGGATTCACCGACGTGGGAGGCTGCAGCCTTTAGCGCACCTCTTGAGGCCCATAACACTCACGCCACTAAACCTCACTCTCTTCCTGGTCATGGCACTAAATGTAACCAATCCTGCTCAACCTGCTCTGAGAGGGATCTCTGGCGTGGGATGTGGGCGTGCTAACAAGAGCGCTAAAGATTGCAGTCTCCAGTGTCAGTTGCTAGCGTGCCTCTTAAGGCCAGAGGAGAGAGGTTTACATACACAGCTCTTACTGGCCTATGTTACACTCACCCCCCTAAACCTCACTCCCATCCGGGTCACGGCACCAAATGTAACTGGTCCTACTTGACCCGCTTCAGGTGGGATTCAAACCGTGGTCTCTGGTGTTGGAGGTGGGCATGCTAACAAGAACGCTAAAAACCCCTGTCTCTGGCCACTGGAACAATCTTTCCTAAAACGCATTAAATGCATTAAACAACCACAGAAACCGAAAATTCTCAGGCCAGCAGCAAGTGTCCAAATTTCAATTGTAACCGTTCTATTTCATCAGAACCAATCTTAAAACAGGGCTTTAAGTGTGAAATACCAAACTTGTCTTTTAATGAATCTTTTAAGGGGGCATTGATTATAATCATGTTTTACAACCGTTTTACAGACCCCTCAGGAGCCTCAGGACAACCAATTACATGAAAATAACTGTAAGACAATTATTCACAGTTCAAGTAGACGTGGTTTCATTATAGCATCAATCAAATTGTCCTTAAATTAAAACGATGCACCTTCCTCACTTTCTCTGTGGTCATCTTTCTATTTTTTGTACAGTATTTGGGGAGGAAAAGTTTAATTTTAAAATCATAACAGACCCTGCAGACCTCATGAAGTTTGTACAACACCTCAGAGAGAGCAACCAGAAGGTGAGTATTTTTTATTTGGACTGTCACAGACATATAGCCATTTGGCGAGTATTGCCCAATAACGGTTCTTGTTTGGCAAAAATTGATATGACCATTCATTTTTGCGCTCTATGTTCAGAACAAGAAAGCCGAAATGGAAAAAGAGAGCCAGCAATCATCTCAGAAGAGAGAAACAGATGAGGAAGTAAACAAAGAGAGGACATCGGAACGGGAAGTGGAGGTGGAGGTAGAGGAAGGGGATGAGGATGAAAGATTGCTGCAGGAGTTTGAGGATGAGATGGCAGATCTGTCCGTTCCCTCCTCCAAGTTAGAAGAGATAAAAGAAGAGATGCAGAAGGAGTTCGACAACATCATAGAGGAAGTATGAATTATTACTGTTATAGACTACGGTGTATGTACAAATCAGCCAAAAGATGTGGCTGTAAATATACGCTATCTTATCTCCTAGGCTCAGCAGGAGTTAGAGAATGAAGGTCTTAAGGGTGAGTTTGATCGCTCTCAGGCTACACAAACTCTAGAGAACACACTGGGGAAACTTCTGGACCGTCTTGAAGACAAGACCGAACATGAGAGTGAACCAGAAACAGAAAAAAATACAGAAATGCATAAAAGCACACACTCGTCACAAAAGGCAGAAGGAGATCCTTCTCCTGGCAGCCCAAACCTGCTTCCCAAAACGCCAGGTAAATATAGAGAATGAATGCTGAGTGAATGAATGAACAGATGGTAGAATGGATGGCTCATTCTCATTGCTTGTAACTTTCGCCTTTGCACCCCAGGCATTCATATAACTTGCTTATCAGCATATTATACTATACATATATATATAGTATAATATCTGTAAATGTATGCATGATGCATCTATAAATGCATTATACACTGGCTCCAAAACAAACAAATGATGCTAGACCTTTTCGCTTCACTTTTAATTTACCTGATTAACCTTTTTACTGCTCCCAAGGATATGTTATTATATATATATTTTTTTTAAATATACCACTGTTCAGAAGTTTAGAGTCAGTAATAAATTCTTTGTTTTTGAAAATACTATATAAATTAATGCAACCTTGATGAGCATATCTAAAATACAGTAAAACCATAATTTTGTGAAATACTTTTCTATTGGTGCTTTTCCACTGCATGGTACGGTACAGTACGGTTCGCTTCAGGTCGCTTTAAATGGTACCTGGTCTGTTGAGGTTCCAAGCATACCGTACCGGTACTAAAATGTGACGTGAAACACTGCAGATCACTGATTGGTCAGACAGAATCGTCACTACTAGCGTCATTGGATTTGCGACACGAGACACTTTTTTAGCAGTATTTTTGTTTTGCTGCCATCAGCCTCATTTTAAACACATTTTTCCGTCTAGCAGTTATAAACAACCACATACCGAGAATCAGGAACACCATCCCCTCGATAGTCTCCATTGTTCCTGTGTTGTGGGTTTGAAAATGTGGCGCTTTTAAGATGATGTCATGGCAGTATAGAGGCGCGCGCAAATAACGATCAGTCCCACACACTTTGAAGGGGTACTACTGCAGTGGAAACGCAAAGGCAACCGAACTGTTCCGCGCCGAGTCGAAGCGTACTGAGCCGAACCATACCGTACTATGCAGTGGAAAAGCGCCATGCGTTGATCCGTTTTAAAAAAAGTACTTTTTTTATTGTATACTCAGTGTCACATGATCCTTCAGAAATCATTCTAATATGCTGATTTGGTGCTTAAGAAACATTTCTTATCATTATCAATGCAAAAACAGTTGTGCTGCTTATTTATTTTTTATTTTTTTTTTGTGAAAACCATGATATATTTATTATAATTTATTTGAAAAACAAGTCTTTGGTAACATGTTTTTATGAACATGTAGCGTTCTGTCGATGTATTCTCAACAAACGATGCTCCAAATACTTTTTGGGGCCACTGTATACTTTACATTCATGATCAAATCATTGTCACCACTAACACTAATACTACACCGTTTCATGCTTTTGTGCAACTTTGACTTAGCCATTGATGTTGTTAGAGAGAGACTATAATGCGTGAAATGGGGAGCGGGAATTTTCCGCTGTGTCTGCGGTAACCTCCCCTTCCCTCTGTCTCTCATCACCCAAGCCCAAGCGGGCAGCAGTGGCGAGCAGGTAAAAGTCAGGGTGACTAAGTATAAGGTGGGCGGAGGTGTGGCTGCAGGAGCGGTTACCGGGGGCAACGATGATGATGAGGGGGGTGTGAAGGTGAAGGAACTGGGCGAGGGCGACCCCCAGTGGCATCAGATTCAGGAAGTGGTCAAAGAGCAGCTAGAGAGAGCCGGCATCAAGGCCGAAGGTAGGCCGGAACACACACATCTAAAGAATTCTTATTTCCCTGTGTGTGTCTGTGTGAATGGAGCAAAGACTTTTTTCATTCTGAAATCTCGAACTATTCTTCTGCCTGGTCTTTGCTTTGAGTACATTTACATTTATTCATTTAGCAAAGCGACGTAAAAATGAGTAATACAAGATGCAATTAACACAAGTACTAGTAATACAAAGTTTCACACATCGTTTAGAATAATACAAACTAGAACAGAGACGAAGAATTTTCTTTTTCTCAGCAGGATGCAGTATGTGTTCACGGAAGTAATAAGTTTTTTCTGTAGCTTTTGTCTGATTGTCTTCTCTTTGACTCTATTCCACTATTCAAGATTAACCCTCTAGGGTTTTTTGGGGATCCTTGATATGTTTTGACATGCTGTGACATTTGTGCTTTTTTTCAGTTGCATATAAACATATTAATGGCACAGGTGAAATTACACTCTATTTAGCACAAACAAGGCTACCATAATATGCGAGCAACATGTTTGTATTCTTGAGAGAATATTGTTTATGCGTGATTATTGAAAAAACTAAAAATGAAAGTTTCTGAAATATGGCTACAAAACACATACTAAATATACGTCCACAAGACTGAACTAATGGATGTTGTGGCCTAAAGTTTTTTTTTTTTTCTTCAAAATTATCTGAAAATCATCCTGCCTTTTCATTAACACAATAGAACGCAAAACTCGCATCATGTTTATTTTTCTTTATTTGAGGAAAAGCAGAACACTTTGTATTTATTGTGAGTGTCCACAAAAAATAGAAACTTAACAGGATCTAATGATGTACAACACTTATGTAAGATCAAAATCAACAGAGTATTTTGAGTCTCTTTTGTACTGATAAAAAAAAAAGTGAGGCGGTATCGCCGGCGATACCGTGGACCTCAGAGGGTTAAGGCACTTCTAAACTTTATGATTTTCATAGATGCCAATGAGTTTCTTTTTCCCTTGATACTGGCTTTTGGCGTGGGTGTAGAGACATTCATGGTGGTCTTTTTTTCTGCTTTGAAAGAAAACAACATGATAGCTTTAGTAGTGTATTCTCACTCTTGTCAGTACAGGCTGTTGATTCCACTTTCCTGGTTTTGGAGAAGTTGTTCAGCCTTATAGAATGTGAAGATTTAGGAATATGACAGCGCTTCATTTGTCCATCCCACAGCCTTCATCACCTTCTCTGCATGCATCATTTCTATCACTGCTTTTTTCCTCTATCAACTGTGTGCATGGGAATGAAAAATAGTCATTTTGTTTCTGTTTGTGTATAACAGTATATTTGTTTAGATTAACATATTTTGTTTATAATGACTAAGTATTTCGGACCTGTTTTTCAGGAAAGATTGAGGTGAAAATTTTGACCCGTAAGACAGCAGAGGAAGCGGGAGATCAGTGGCTCACTGAGGAGGATACAAAATCATTTAGAGAGCTTCTCATCAACCTTTTGGTATGAATCTGCACATACTACTTTACAGGCAGCATGTAAAAAGCAACACCTGTAAGTTCTCGATCTGGTCACAAATTAAATAGGACATGAGGGCAATAGTACAGCACTGTGAATTCAGAGAATATTTTCACCCTCACACAAAACGCATGACTGCGCAGATTCCTATTTAAATGACTGATTATCACAGTAGTGTTAGTTTAGGTTACTTTATGGGTAAACTAGTTTTACAGTCTGAGAGGCAGGACATCCTTAAAACTTTGACGACCACAACATAGCATGTAACATACAAAACATTAAAACTCATAAAAACAGGTAGTAACAAAAAAAGAGGCACACTAAACACTCCATGACCCAGTTGTTTATGCGTTTTATGCAAATAATTTTATTGTGTAACATAATGATTGCCTATGGTACAAAACTGTGTGACCGCACCTTAACAACTGATTAGAGAAATATATTATTTAAATAATGCATTTCTTGACTCCTTTAAAAACTACAGATACTGATAATTTCAGTCTGACCAGCACATCTCAGCATGGATTGTTTTGTAAATAATGTTTAACCAGTGTTGGGAAAGTTCACTTTCTTCATGAACTAGTTCAAAGTTCAGTTCACACATTTTAAAAAGAACTAGTTGAGTTCATAGTTCATACTTCAAAAAATGAACTAGTTCATAGTTTCTTATCAAATTATTGCCACAGCCCATATACAACCACAGACAACAATTATTTTATCGACGGCAAAGTTTGCACAGAAATGAGGCCTTTCCGACCTCATCATAAAACCTGTTTAAATGATTATACGACGCCTCCTCGCTTGCTGCTTTGTCGACGGCTGCTGGGGTGCGACATTGCTGGCTAGTGTTGCCAGATTGGGTGTTTTTTTGCTACATATTAAGGCCTGTTTACTTTAAGACCTGTTTAGCCGGATTTTTGCCTGGAAGGCTCTATAGAAATCTGGCACCCTATTGTACGAAGTTAAACTTAGAGAGCGTTCGTTCACAGAGTAGACACCAGAATGAACGCGTTCATCACGCAGTAATACTGTACGTTCAGTTCACGTTCACCCAAAATATGAATGCGTTCAATGAACGATCAGGCACAACACTGTGTTTAACAAGTTATATTGGACTCAACAGCAAACCCATAGTTCTCAGCCAAGTAAAGTAAATATTAGAAGGCAGCCATTAGAGGCAAATTGGCAAAAAATATAAAGGGGCAGGGAGGGTGGCAACTACATTATGACCGTTTTTAATGCAATTAGCCCTCAATCGGGTCATGGGGTCTATACGACCCCAATTGATGTTTCCTTAATAAGAAAAGCTTCTCTTCATCTCAGTGGAATAAGATTTTGTGACTTTTCATACATTATCTATCTATACACACACAAAAAAAAAAAACTGGGCTTGATTCGGTTGTTCTGAAGGTATGTAAAAAAATGTTTACACTTCTGGTCTGGGGTATGACCCCACATTGAAATGAATTGGAAATCTGAAAAAAACTAAATATATTTTCTTCATGTGTAAAAAAAAAAAAAAAAAAAATCCGGCATAAATCTGAAAATTTTTACACAGAAATGAAGGCCTAGTACTAGAGCATAAATGCAATGCATCATAAAAAAATAATATTTTGTATGCAAGCTAATAGTGTGGTTGAGGATTTGTGTGGTAAATGTGTACAAAAGTACTTTATATCTTCAAAAACACAGCATTAATGAATAGATGAGAAGTAAACAAAAAAATGATATATTCTTTATATGATATTATTTTTTTGTACAATTACTCAATCAATTGTTGGGGTCGTATAGACGTCGAAAGCCCAGAAGTGTAAACAGGAAACCAAGACCATTTGAAGGTTAATATGAGTTTAAATAATTTTAAAAATGTTGATATGACCATTAAAATATGCTCCTTACATATTTCAGTGCAAGTTAATTGATGTTCACTCTCTTTGTGTGCAGACTGGAGGTACAGAGGAAGTGTATAAAGAGCAGAAGAGACAGCAAGAGTTGGAGAATAACTACAAATTTGTCTGGGGAGAAAAACAGGAGGAGAGCCAGTCCACAGGAAACAGTGAATCTGATGAAGCAGACTTTTGAGCCTCTACCTCTTCTCTCAAGCACTTTTAACTTGAAGAAGGGCAGCCAGCGTTCTCTGATCTCTGAACTCTAAGCCACCTGGTTGTCACTTTACAGTGTGCATGGCAACCAAACTCCTCTCTCAGACTGTTTAAGTCATGTGATCCCTGTAAAGGGTTCAGTCCACGGCCGTGAATTCTGATTATCCTGTATGAGCATCTGTAAGTTGTTTATACTGTATCTTGCCTGTTTTCAGTTTGGGATTTTTTTTTTTTAAATATACAAATATACTTCATGTTTCAGTTGTGTTGCGCTTTATGTCTGTGTGTGACCGTCTGTGAAACAGACCTTCCTTCTCTTTCACATGGAAACAAAACATCAGTTAGTATGCATTTCAAAGTTTATTTTGAAAAGGCAGTCTGGACATACGTAGTCTCATTACTGGACAGTGCTGTAAAATGCTGTTGATGATTGATATGTGCAATATGGAGCTTGATGCAGAGTCACCGTAATGGCAGGGCGTTGACAATAACTGCTTCAGCAATTATTCTTATTATTTTATAAATTGGACTTCTTTGAAAACATCTACGGCTTCTTCAACAAATCCTTGCCATGCACTAAGCAAAATATTTAGTGTACAGCTTCAGTTTTGTCTTAATTCATGTTCTTAATTTAAAAATTAAACAAAAAACTTTTGCTGAACATTGGAATCTAATGCATTTAAGCACTGCTTCCATGTCCCCAGCAGATAAGGGCTCTTTTTGTTGTAAATGCTTTGGTCGATTGTAAATAATGTTGCTACAGCACTTGATTTGTTTGTTAATAAGACATACTTTCCATTTATAATTTCTAACATAAGCACAATTTTTGTGAGGGAATGAGAGTGGTTACAGCTGCTGTAAGGAATTAATCATTTCTTTTAGTATTTGACAGATACCACTAAAATATTTATTTCCATATTGTCTCTGGCAGCCCCAAGGGTGGGCAGATAGATGGGTACATTGAGGAAAATAAGTCTTTGAACACCCTGCCATTTTGCAAGTTCTCCCACTTAGAAATCATGGAGGGGTCTGAAATTGTCGTCGTAGGTGCATGTCCACTGTGAGAGAAATAATAATAAATAAAAAATCCAGAAATCACAATGTGTGATTTTTTAAAACTATTTATTAGTATGATACAGCTGCAAATAAGTATTTGAACACCTGAGAAAATCAATGTTAATACTGTAGCCTTTGTTTGCAGTTACAGAGGTCAAATGTTTCCTGTACTTTTTCATCAGGTTTGCACACACTGCAGGTGGGATTTTGGCCCACTCCTCCACACAGATCTTCTCTAGATCAGTCAGGTTTCTGGGCTGTCGCTGAGAAACACAGAGTTTGAGCTCCCTCCAAAGATTCTCTATTGGGTTTAGGTCTGGAGACTGGCTAGGCCACGCCAGAACCTTGATATACTTCTTATAGAGCCACTCCTTGGTTGTCCTTGCTATGTGCTTTGGATCATTGTCATGTTGGAAGACCCAGCCTCAACCCATCTTCAATGCTCTAACTGAGGGAAGGAGGTTGTTCCCCAAAATCACGTAATACATGGCCCCGGTCATCAAAAATATCTTAATTTGTGTTCCAAAAATGAATGAAAGTTTTACAGGGTTGGAACAACATGTGGGTGAGTAATTACTGACAGAATGTTCATTTTTGGGTGACCTAATCCTTTAAGGCCACGTGAGTCCACGTGAAGTGAGCCATTTGGGATCTAGCCATTCTATGTTCTCAACCCTTCCCCAATTACGACACCGGCTATGCTAGGCGTAGTTGTTGTAGAGCAAGAATTTTTAACCCTCTACTGAACATATTTTGATGGTACATGATAAAAATGGTTTCACATAATTTCTCGGTTCATTTGGGAACATTTATTTATACTTTTTTTTTTTTTTTGCCATAATGGTACAGAAACAGAGAAAATTATTAATTCACATATGAGACAGTCAGAAAGCAATACACATTTTTTTCAAAAATGTTAATAAATAATAATAAATAGAACTATATTTAGAGCTTATATTGTGCAAGTGATATCATATGTGACATCCTTGAAAAGTATCGCACAACAAAAAAGAATTTCTGAACATGCAAAATAAAATAAAAACTTCATAAAAGGCTTCTATACACCTTAAATGCATTTATACATGTTGTGTATGTGTAGGGTCATTTAATTTTAAATAAGATTACTAAAACTAAAGCATTCTTCTGTGACCACGTGTCAGTAAAGGAAGTTCAACTTTCAAATGGCAGTTCTTTGATCCTTTTTGACCATTTTAATTGGTTGTAGCCTACTGAACATGGGGCTTAAGAACACCTTCCGCTGTCTAAGGGCTGTAGAGGGTTAAAGGGTTAGTTCACCCAAAAATGAAAATTAAGTCATTAATTACTCACCCCCATGCTGTACCAACCCCGTAAGACCTTCGTTCGTCTTCGGAACACAAATGAAGATATTTTTGATTAAATTTAAGAGCTGTATAACTACCACATTGGCTCCTAAAGGACTGCCTCTTGACGACCCAAAAAGTCAATGAAGAAAATGTTTAAATATCCCAAGTGACTACCGTGGCTCAACTATATGTTTATCAAGCGACGCGAATACTTTTTGTGCGAAAAAACAAACAAAAATAACGAGTTTATTCGACTATTTCTTTTCTTCCTTGTAGGCCAGAACGAGACTTCCTTAGATTTCCACGACGCATGCGCGAGAATTGCGATCTGAAGTAGTGTAAGCTGGTGTGAGCAGATCGCAAATCTCGCATTTTTGTTTGTTTTTTCGCACAAAAAGTATTCGCGTCGCTTGATAAACATATAGTTGAGCCACGGTAGTCACTTGGGATATTTAAACATTTTCTTCATTGACTTTCTGGGCCGTCAAGAGGCAGTCCTTTAGGAGCCAATGTGTGGTAGTTATACAGCTCTCAAATTTAATCAAAAATATCTTCATTTGTGTTCCGAAGACGAACGAAGGTCTTACGGGGTTGGTACAGCATGGGGGTGAGTAATTAATGACTTAATTTTCATTTTTGGGTGAACTAACCCTTTAAGAATTTTCTTCTTGGCGTGATTTCATTTGCTCAGTGCCTTCGCTTGCTGAAACCATAATGCGTGTGTGTGTGTGTGTGTGTGTGTGTCTGTGAGAGAGAGAGAGAGAGAGAGAGAGAGAGAGAGAGAGAGAGAGAGAGAGACGAGAGAGAGAGCGCTAAACCCTTTACCAGACTGTCTAGTAAAAGTTAAATGTGTTCCATGTGGCCCAATCATAACGCTCCGTTCAAATGACATCATCATTCAGCCCAAGATCGACAGGCAAACCATCCAATCAAATGCGCTTCCGTATGTCATGTATTGATTGTGACGCAAACAGTTCACAGTTGAACAAGCGTTTACTTTTCTAGAATGGTGTTGTCGAAAAGAATTCGTTTTCTTTTTTTCTTTTTTTTAAAAATAAATGCAACACAATTTAGTGGGGTGAGTGCGTGTCACTGTCCACAAAACAGACAGACAGAAGCTCTTAAGAGGCTGGCTTATTCAAATAACGTTACTGTATTGAACCGCCCCCATAGTACATCTCGGCTTTACGTGAGGAAGCACGTTGCTAGTTAGCTTCAAGTAAAGCGTAATATTATCTACCATACCAATTTTTTTATGGAGCAGAAAATAGGCAGGGCATGATTTTGGAGGCGATGTTCGTGGCTAAGCTGCCAAATTTCTTGTATTTAAGTTGAAACCACAGCTTTAGTGTTATGCTAGCTCTCTAAGTTGGACCGAAAGGCACCGAAACCGAATCTTGCATTTTTTTTTCTTCACTTCAGTTATGGAGGAAATCAGCTGTCTGGTAAGATTGTGACAGTGTTTATTTCTATACCTTATTGTTCCGCATTTAGGCTAAGATATTTCCCATGGTACTTCTGCAGTAATCATGACATAGCTAACAGTTACTTGTTTTTAAAACTTTTTACTATATAAAAAAACCCCTTAGATTAATTTTATGATTACAGAAGCTATATGTTCTTTCAAAAATAACAAAAGCAACAGTTGATGATGTCAGTCTACATGTTGTGTTACGATTACATTTTGAAATGCTATTATAACGTATTTAATGTGTTATTTTGTGGCCCTTTTGGAAGTTTGCAAAGGCCCCCCTCGTAGTACGACTAACAGTGTTAGTAAACGAGACATATATTTATCTTAAATTTGGCTAATTTGTCTTAAATATGTTACAAGACAAATTTGTTATTTTCTAGACAGTTATGGTTTCACATCGGATAGCGTTGTCTACACACGACACAGGTAGTAATTTTCTTAAGTCAATAATTTGAATTCAGCAGAATTTGTCGGATGTCAGTAGTTGTATCCTGCTATGATGACGTATGCTGCACTATCGCTACGTTGTTTAATCTGTCATATCGATTACGGAGCTGTGGTCAAGAGGACTGTATGTGCCTATCATCGGGTTTATTTTTCGGGGTTTTGGGGTTAAAGAGGTTAGGCTACGTTTGAAACATAACTAGATGATAGGTGTGATAAATATGACGCCATCCTCTGCTCACTGTAGTCTTCCTTGTGTCTGTGTCAAATAGTCACACTAAGGTGAGAGTCTCAAGAGCTCGTCATGAAAGCTCTCGGTCCGCGCTCTGCGTTTTACGTGGGCTTTGTGGTGGGCACGTGCAGCCTGTACCTGCTCCTGACTCAAGTTGGGTTCACGCGAAACTTCGGGTCTCATCACAACGAGGCCCATGTGAAAAGCCTGCTGGAGATGATAGAAGATGAAAACAAGAACTGGAAAAAGGAGAGGTCGGCTCTCTTCAACCTCAATCATCCGCACCATACAGGTATACACTGTAGAACTAATTAAGGTTGTTGCAAATATAAACAATTATTTTATAATGAGCAAAACGGATGGTAGTAATAGACAGAAGTTTACAGAAGAAACTGTCTACTCGTACGTTGCATCCATTACTTGTTAGCTATATTTAATTATTAAAAAATGAATCTCATTTTACAACCCTACTAATCCTTCTAGACAAAAAACCCTTTCTTTCATTTGAGGAACCTGTTTTGCAGCATTTGCACACCCTGTAATACGGTTGGCTATGTGCCATTGCAGGAATATGTGTAAATTGACATCCTAATGTGTAACTGTGTCGAACAAGAACATTTTAAATGGCACTGAATTAATGACATGCCTTGAGCTCTCTCATTTCACCTGTGCAAGTTGTTTAACTTGTTTTTCCATTGTTTCATTGCCAACCAGTGATTTTAAATTGCTCCCAGCTTACAGACAGTCATACACTTTTTAAAAATAAAACAGTAGTTGTAGTTATTATTGTGATAGCACAGTGAAGGCATTCTCTGAAGTGGTGTGTTTGACTGGTAGAGCCGATCTATGCAGTACTTTGCCTTTAATATGTTTTATGATTTGTGGATGTAGCTCCACACCCTGGTGTTACAATTTAACTAAGAGTTAACGTCCATTTGAGTGAAGCCCTCTTTGTGGGAAACTCTTTTTGGGCATGTATTTGTGTGTTCTCCCTGGAGAGATGGACTTTGCTCTGATTTTGGGCTTGCATCTAATGTTTTGTCCTTGGTAAAGTGTAAAGAAATGGACTCTCATATACTGACTCAAATTTTGTCAATTACTCATGCATACAATTTAAAGTAGATGACGATATTCTTTATTGAATAGCAACGATATTGTTTAAATAAAACAATTTTCAAATTTCTTCAACAATTTTAAAACCGCTTTGCTAGTTTTACATGTAGGATTAGTTCACCCAAAAAATAACCTTTTGTAATATTTGCCACACCCTTGTTCAACCTTGTTCATTGTTCATGATTTTTGTTCATCCTCCATTAAAAGTACATGCAATAAAAAATGGACAGTTCATAAAAACAGTGAAACTAAGTCATCCATATGAATCGATTAGCTTAATCCAAGTCTTCCGAAGAGACACAATCACTTTATATGGTGAACGGATATAATTTAGACTATTTATTCATATTTAAGCCTAAATATTTTCATTCATATATTTTATTTAGCATACACGGTTGAGTTGCAGTTTGACAAATGAATTTTTAGTATCATTAATTTGCTACTTTGTAGTATTAGATTTTCATTAACTTCATATATTTTTCTTGGACTGTTTCTTGTAGGTGAGGATGGCAAACTGGCTGATGGTCTCTATAAGCGTGTACGCATTCTGTGTTGGGTTATGACTGGCCCTGATAACCTTGAGAAAAAAGCTCGACACGTGAAAGCCACGTGGAGTCGCCACTGCAACATTGTGGTCTTCATAAGCTCTGTGGATAACCCCGATTTTCCCACCGTTGGCCTAAACACCAAGGAAGGTCGGGATCAGCTGTACTGGAAAACCATTCGTGCTTTCCATTATGTCATGGAGAAGCACGGGGACGAGGCAGACTGGTTCCTCAAAGCGGATGACGACACTTATGTAATAGTCGACAACCTGCGGTGGATTCTGGCTAGCCACTCTCCAGAGGACCCTGTGTATTTTGGCCGGCGGTTTAAGCCGTACGTAAAACAGGGCTACATGAGTGGCGGCGCTGGCTACGTGCTCAGCAAAGAAGCTCTGAGGAGGTTTGTGGAGGGCTTTCGTACCAAAGTGTGCACTCACACTTCCTCAGTGGAGGACTTAGCTATGGGTCAGTGTTTAGAGAAGGTAGGCGTTGTGGCAGGAGACTCCCGAGACACCTTACAAAGAGAGACATTCCATCCTTTCGTACCCGAGTCCCATCTCACTGGCACATTTCCCAAGACTTTCTGGTATTGGAACTACTGTTATTACCCCATTGTGCAGGTGAGTCTGAATTCTGTGAAAACGTATCTTCATCTTCCGACTACTCTCTGGTGATGTATGTCAGACTTCTCCAATCATTTAGTCCACTTAAACCACGCCCCTTTCTTCACTCTTAGAAGGAAAGGTTCTATATAGAACCTTAAAAGGTTCTAAAGCGCTACGTATTTGGAACCCCTAAAATGCAATGCATGTGAATGATCACAAAATTCAAGATATGTGGGTTAAAAAATGTAATTAACCAATATCAGACGAAGAGTGCCATTTCAGTTTTTATCCTCCCAAATCATCATGATTAAAATGTGATATAAAGTTACTACAACAGTTTAAAAAAATTTAATTACATACAACAAAATGTTGCAGAATAATGTAATATATGAACAAGTAATAGCCTTTAAAGAACCTTTGTGCCAAAAGGGTTCTTTCTTCTCATTATAGAACCTTTTTTAGCATTAAATTTCCTTTGGAGTTGAGTAAAGAAAACTATGCTACATATATAGAACCCTTTTTTCTAAGAGTGTACTTAGCAACTTGTTTTTCAACTTGTGTACTTGTTTTTCAGCAAGTTCAGATCTGCCTCCATCCTATCTACACCCGCTCTACAATTGTTTTTTTTTTCCATTATCGGTTTATCTTGGTTGTATGACACAATACGAAAAAAGATCTGTCGCTACATTCATTACAGTGCAACTTTGTGTTTCAGATCAGTCTCTGAATTTCCTCTTAAAGGTCCCGTATTATGCCCCTTTTCACAAGATGCAAAATAAGTCTCTGATGTCCCCAGAATGTGTATGTGAAGTTTCAGCTCAAAATACCCAACAGATCATTTTTTTACAGCATGTTTAAAGTCATTTTTGGGGGGCTCAGAAAAACGCGCTGTTTTAGTGTGTGCCCTTTAGATGCAAATAAGCTGCTGCTGCCGACACAGGGGGCGGAGCTTCATGAGCTCGCGCTCAGTCTCTCAGGACAATTTCATCTCCCTGAATGATGATAATATCAGAAACTCTCAGTAACTGTGTTCATTTTGAGTCAGACAATAATGCCTACAGAGGCAGCGTACTGTATAGAGATGGAACAGGTATGTTTAGTAGTTTAATTACGGTTATTATAACGTATTTGTCATCTGCTTGTATGTATCCATTATTTAATAATAGCCGAATAATAATAGGTGCGAATGATGATCAAATACTGATGAGTTTATGTAATAAGTTTATTGTACATTACACAAAAGATCACCGTAAGAGCCGAGTAAACACAGTAAGTTATAAGAAGTGCACAAGTTGAGGGAGTTTGCATTTCTGTGGGTGGACGTTAGTCATTAATTACTCACCCCCATGCTGTACCAACCCCGTAAGACCTTCGTTCATCTTCGGAACACAAATTAAGATATTTTTGATTAAATTTGAGAGCTGTCTCACTACCACATTGGCTGCCTAAGGGACTGGCTCTTGACGGCCCAGAAAGTCAATGAAGAAAATGTTTAAATATCCCATGTGACTACAGTGGCTCAACTATAAGTTTATCAAGCGACGAGAATACTTTTTGTGCGAAAAAAACAAAAATAACGACTTTATTCGACTATTCCTTTTCTTCCTTGTTGGCCTGATATCAACTGACTGATATCAATCCAAACTCATTTCATTTTTGTTTTTAATTTTCTTTTTCCGCTGAACACAAGAGAAGATTATTTGCATAAAATGTGCTCTTAAATTGTCTCCATTACAGTGAATGGGCACCTATTTCCAGCCTTTAAAAGGATGCAAAAGTATCACAACAGAAGTCCATTTGAATAGTGATCTATAAGTCTTCTGAGAACTGTCTGAAGTCTTTATTCACTAAAAATCTTCCAATCCAGTGGGTGGTAACTGCTGCAACTTCTATTGTAAATTGTTTTGAATTAAAGCATCTGCTAAATGCATCAAAACTGAATCGACATTTATAATTGTATGGTTTTTTTTCAATCGTCTTGAAAGCTGAATGAAAAAGAGTGATCAGTACATTGTCATTTGTGTTTTACAACTAAACAAATACGTTAATATATATATATATATATATATTTCTATATTAATTTGCATAATCCTTTCTTTATCTCTCTTAGGGACCACAGTGTTGCTCAGACCTGGCTGTTTCTTTCCACTATATGGACGCATCACACATGTACCTGCTGGAATACTACACTTACCACTTGCGTGCCTTTGGCTACAAATACCGCTATCAGCCCCCTGAACCTAAAATCATACAAGACTTCAATGCCCCTGTCCCAGACAAAATGGAAACTGGAGACTTGGAGAAAAAGCAGGGGGTAGAAGCACAGGAAGGAGAAAAACAATCCCTTGAACTTAATGAAAAGTCTTAGCAGCTTTTTGCATAGGAAAAAAAAAAAAACATTTAAAATCTTCAAAAATAAGTATTTTTTGGGGGGTGGCGGCTTTTCATTTTTTTTTTTTGATGTCTTTAATCGAATCCTATATTGCGCCACAGAAATGTGTGCATGACATGTTTGTGTGATTAAATGAACTGTTCGAGAGGGTTTTCCTTTTAATAATGCATTTCTATGTGAATGTTTAAATATAACCCTAACAGTGCGTAATTGTATGAAATGAAGGTTAAGACATGTAGAGGCAGAGTTTGCGGTTCTTGAGAAGCGATTCATTTAGCCTATGAGCCTGCCTTATTACCAGGCTCCCTCTGCATTTGTCATATTTGGCATTCGTTTGTGATTTTTTTAAAAATTATTATTATTATTATTATTTTATTCATATATATATATATATATATATATATATATATATATATGTGTATATATGAATTGTGTATTTGCTCTGCACTGTGATTTCAACAATTTCATAAGAACAAGGGGCCTTGATATTCCTTTAATTTGCTCATTCCCTTGAATTAGTGCCTCTGCTCTGATCCAGAGAAATAATTAATTTCCATGCATTCCTGTGTTTGTATTGAGATTAGGCAATATTTAAACTCAGAGCAGGTTTAAATGAAGGTGTTTATATCTTGCAAACATTCAAGCTCCAATATTGTCACATATCTTTGCCAAATTTGAGTATGTACACACTACTTTCTTTAACATTACATACAAACTAAAGATTAACCAGGATGTAGTCACTTGATACCCTTTTCTGGAAGTGTGTTCACGGATTAGTACTCCATTAAGATCCTGTTGGCTGGCCCAATAGTTCGTGAGTGTGTAGGCAAAAAGTAAAGGTAGATAAGACAGCTTAAGTATACACTTTATCTGTGCTAGTGGAAATTTTGGTCTTGTAGATGCACACTGCGAAGCATGCGGGTTGTGAATTATTGAATTTTTCAGACCACATAATGCTTTATTTAATTGACTGGAGTATGACTGCGGATTGTCTGATTTTGCTTTTACATTACAGCGGTTTGTGTGTGAGATTAAATTAGCTGATTTTACAGTTGATGCAGCGTAGTGAAAATAATTCAATTTCTTGTGATGTGTGTTTTAAGTCTCAATTTCTCAGTTATGTGTGTGTATTTGCTATACTTAAAGGAACAGTTCACCTAAAAGTAAAAATTCTGTCATTGTTTACTCACCCTCATGTTCTCCAAAATATACAAAAGTCGTATGCCTTCGGAAAGACATCAGGCTGAGAAAATGGTGACAGCATTTTTTTTTAAAACCATGCCTTTAAATATTCTGATGTTGTCAAACTTTTCATGAGCAAAAATAATGCACGTTAAATGTGTATTATTCACTTTCTATTCAAGTATGGTAAAGCAAGGAGGTAAAGTAGGGGCTGCAAGGCAGGCAGAGGACAGTAATGAGGAATAAAGAGAAGAATCTTGGCAATCATTTTGACAGTGCACTAACTGAAACGGAGTGGCTTGCCACAATTATGAAGAATTTCTAATAGTTTATTTGAATAAATAAACTTATTTGAACTGGGAATGAGTTGTATTTTAATATAAACCACTGTTTTATTTTGACCACTCCCAGCATCACTTTTGCATTTGTTGTAGAAATGAATGGTCTTGTTGTGAATTGATCGAGCATAAAAAAACATTCTTGGTAAAATGATTCTTATTTTAATACCTAATGGAATTCTGGGTATTGTTGAGGGAATGAATATGGGTTTTGACTAAATGTGATCAAGGCAAGTGAGTTTTCATTAATACATATGGTGTGAATTCTGGGGGCTGTTTGCAGTGTTCTGTTGATTTAAAGAGTTTGTGCCACCTACTTCAAGGATGATCTGGTTGTTTTGGGTTTTTTTATGTGGTAAAGTTCTATTATTTTAACAAGAAGTTAAGAAACGTTTGAACATGCTTATACTTCTCTTGATGATCTTCCTCAGAAAAGCTCTTTAGCTAAAATTCCTTTGTAATCTTTCCATTTTCCTTGAGTTGCTTTTGATTTGTTATTTTTCAGATTGGCTCATAACCTCAACAGAACAATGAAATGTAGATCAGATCTTAAGATGAGTAGTTTTCTTTGCAGACATTATATTGTTTGAGCAAAGTGTTCTGGGAAAATGTGTTGACAAAGAAGGCCCATAGAAATTTGGGAGATGTGTAGTGGATTATATAACGAAGAGGGAACTCAATTTGTCATAAATGAATCAGAACCATTCATAAAACCAGCTGGAAGACGCAAATGTCCTTGCCAATCTTTTTAAAGCAAAATTGTATTTCTCAATTGATGTTTTTTCATGCCCTTTATTTTCTCATTAGGGTCTTTATGTACCAATGGAATCCTGTACAGCACTTTCACAGCAATCTTTAATTTATAAAAGAGTGTGTGAGGCAAATGTGTGATAAGATTAATTCAATGAGGAATAATAACCAGCAAATTAAATAAAGACTTATTTTACAGTAAACAGTTGTTTTCTTGTGTGGATTTTTTCTCTATGAGTAAATAAAATATCGTTATTTCACCCTTGTGCATTTTACAGCACTTTAAATAAGCATATGTTAAAATGAATAAGGTATAAGCAAAAAAAATTTACAGTGGGGCTCATATATTCTTCAATCTTCTTATATCTGTCCAATCAACATAAGATTGTTGTCATCCATTGAAAGAAAATCCTTTATCTGATTTGAGAATACTCAGTTCTGTACTCTTAAGGGGGCTCAATGTAAGAATTATTATCCTACAAAAAAAAAAACAACAACAATAAAATATACTAGAATGAATGCACTTTGACAACAAACAAAAAATCAGACAACTCATTTATCTTATAAAGAAAGATACGTTTTCTTCGGGAATAGATGAGACAGATCAGATCAGGCTTCATACACCACAACAAAACCTTCAAAGAAAAGGAAATACAATTACACAGAAATCTCTGAAAAATAACTTTTACTATGTTGATGTAGCTGCAATTCAACTAATTGAGTTTCATAATTGAGTAGCCTATAAATTCTCACCTTTGCCTTCTGTCCTTTAAGAAAATGTTGCCTCTCCTCTCTCGTCTCCAAGCAGGAATAGCTGATCAAAAAAAATATATATAGAAATATATATTCATTTACTATTATTCTCCATAGTAGCCACTAGAGGTCAGTGTATTCTCTGCACTATTTTGTATGTCCTGCAGTCACTTATTCTGCACTGAAACACTAAAAACATATTTACATGATTTGTAATCACAACATTTTTTCTTTTGTCAAATCAACTTAAATCATTTATATAGTTCACATAACATAATATTTTGAGTTTCTGATGATTAACTTTTTTTTTTATTTCAATGAACTTAAAATTTTAAGGCAGCCAGGTTACTTAATTTTTTAAGTTAAGCCAACAGTATTTTTTTTTACAGTGAAGGTTTGTTTGGTGACAGGCAATAATTAATTAATGCAATCACTTATTCCCCATTCACTCTTTCGGCTAACTCATATTGACCACCAATAATTAATCTCTTACCAGACACTATGTTTCTCCGTCCCAACAGTCCAACAAAAATGTCATTCGTGTTAGCTATAAAAGGACCAAAGAAAAAAATCTCTCGTCAGCCTGTAACATGCCACTTTAATCAATATGAGGATCACACTGAAGCAAGATAATAATGAATATGGAAACTTACGTCTAAATGTTGAAATTGTGTCACGATTTGTTCCTGTGAAATAAAAATTTATAATAAAGCCAACATCAAATATCCTTAGCCTTGGCCTATGGATAGAAATTCTGTTGTGTTGTTGTTTCATTATTTTTTTCTATGGAACAACATGAAAGTCGTGCAGTAAATAATGACATTTTCATTTTTGCATGAACTACTCCCAATCTCCTGAATGTTTAAAATTATTAAAAGCAAATTTCATCATTCATATAATTTAGTCTTTTTGTGTCTCACCAGCACTCCTCCTGCCCATCAGGCCAATGAAACCGTCATAATCGATATCACCATATCGTTTGTCATAGCGCTCAGACTGGGGGTCGCTGTTGTCCTGAACATAGCACACAAACAGGATGGTTCAAGAACTCAGAAAATTCATGTTTGACTCACTAATGTGAATGACTCAATAACACGAAGACTCCAAACTGTGATGATCATTACAATTATAAAAACAACCAAAAGAAAATGGCCAGGGAACTGCTTCGAACACTCATTTCACAAAACATTAAAATAATAAAATAAAGCAGTGAGTGGTATAGGCCATAATGTCTAGCCTGTGATGCCATATATTGTTTTAGCCATTTTGTGTGTGTGTGTGTGTGTGTGTGTGCGTACACATGGCCGAACCTCCGTTTGAGCCCACAGTCAGATATCACATTAAGAAACCATTAAGCTTTTAATGGAATCAGGATTCATTATAGCCACCTCCATACATTATCAAGAGAAACATTTATTAGCCCTTTATATCAATGTTTTCAGGATTATTTGATGAATTGAAAGTTCAAAAGAGCTGCATTTATCTGAAATAGAAAGCTTTTTTAACATTATACACAGTTCAAAAGTTTGGGGTCAATCAAATGTTGTTGTTTTTTTAAAGAATTTAATACTTTTATTCAGCAAGGATGCATTAAATTGCACAAAATAACAGTATATACATTTATTATGTTGCAAAAGCTTTCTATTTCAGATAATAAGCTTAATATGAACTTAATATTCATCAAAGAACCCAAAAACTTTTTACAATATTGACAATAATAATAAATGTTTCTTGAGCACCAAATCAGCATTTCTAAAGGATCATGTGACACTGAAGACTGGAGTGATTGCACTCTTAGAACAAATGTGTCAAATTTTACACAAAATGTGTTGTCACTGAGCTGATTCAGCACATGTATTAAAATTTAACACATTGTGTGTTGTTTTTAAAACATGTTGTGTAAAAACACATAATGTGTTCAATTTTAATTGTGCTGCTTATTCAATTGTGCTGAATCAGCTCAGGGACAACACATTTTGTGTAAAATTTGACACATCTGTTCTAATGTGTGCTATTCTTTTTTTTATATATATTTCAAATAGAAAAAAATATTTTGAATTGTTCAAATATTTCACAATAAAACTTTTGTACTGTTTTGGATAAAATAATTCCAGCATTGACGTGTATAAGAGACTGTTTTCAAATACATTTAACATACAGATCTAAAACCTTTAAACGGTTGTCCACAGGCCTATAATTGTAACAGAATATATAATTTAACTGACATTGCGGTGGAACTGTTAAAATATTTAGTAGGCTATAGCATAATATTTATGCAATAGGCTACTTTTTATTCACTGGTAATAAAAAAAGAAGTGACAAATTCTCTAAACTCACTTTTTTTTAATCTCATATAACAGTCCGTCAAACAAACGAACGAACGATTTCCTTTAAGAAGAGCCGCTGATTGTTCATGTAGCCTACTCACTGTGAATGATAGGTAGTCGAGCGCACAGCGCGAGAGTCCAGGACACGCGACCAACAGAGAGAACAGCACGAGCGACCAAATGCAGGACATCCTCAGATCCGCTGCGCTGCTTTTCTCACACCTGCATCAAACTTTATTTAGCCTATGAAATCCAAACCAACAACTTTGTCATTAATCCAAAATAACTGAATAAAGCAGGAGGTATTAATACCTTTAAAATACACTGAGATGAGTTGGTATTCAGGAGGATGATGACGTTCAGGTTCTTCTCTCTTCAGAGCTGTGTAAAGGCTCACAGGTGCGCGCGTTCTTGTATTTGTAGTGTTCTCGCGCTCCGCTCACACAAGCTTGGGCAAGCCAACTCTCCAATACGCGCCACCAAATAATGATGCTAACATATCCCAGTGACGCAAAGTCATTATCACACCAGAGCCTTGACGTATTTGTGCGGTTAATTACAAAACTACCAAACTCACACCTCATTCTATTCTCTTGAGCTTCGAATCGTGTAAAATCCAGTCTAATTCAGTTTAAACCTTTGCGAATTGACTTGTGAAGAGTAGGCTATACGAGCCAATAGGCTATATAATCAGACGACGGGAAAGTTTTTTTTTTTTTTTAGCCTATTCTGTATAGCTCTTTAAGAGAAGGTTTAGCAGATTTTTGACTCAAAAGGACATGTGTGTGATTGGGGGTTTAATGCTTATTATCCAGTGGGATTATGAGTCACCTATGGTCATTCCTTTCACTCCATCTCAGATATGTCCTTCACCAGGACAAAGCTGTCAGTAAGCTAATAGAAAAGGTGATGCCTTATTGATTAGATGACTTTCACCCAAGGTTTATTTAACATGCAGTCTCTGAAATTGAGTGAAATATTCTTTCAAAAAAGTTATAGACATGTGAAAAATGTTTAGCAGACATTTGACATCTGTAATTGGTCTTCTTCTGTGTATGATTTATATCTTTAATTTTTGCTCCATATGTGTTTGTGTGGGAAAAAAAGGAAAACTAAATGAACAAATAAGAGCAAATTAATTTAGTCACCATGACAACAGTGGTCGGAATCACCATCTATTTCTTTCTGGAGAAAAAAAGTGGCACCTCTTTCTCTCTTTCTTTCTCACAAGCTCTTTCACTTTATCTCTAGTCACTCACATAAAAACATTTGCTTTGAGTCTTTACATTCAATTTGATTGACCTTTTTTTGTTTGTTTGTTTGGAAAATCTAAATTAATTTGCATAACGAAGCCCTGAACATTTAATTAGTTTTTCAAATTATACTCATTTCTCTCTTTTGATTCCTCAGCAAGCAGGAAAGGTCTTGATGATACACCAACGCACTACAGTTCTTCCGGAAGCCGGATTTACAGTATACAACGGACAATGGCCGTGGAGCTGGGAAACTGGACTTTGAAGTGATTAAGTCTGGTTGTTTGCATTGAGAACAAATGATTCCCTCAGTTCTTAACATTTCCATTACCATCAAAACAAGTGATTACTTTCTGATAGACTTGTCAGTGGAAGTAAGTATCATTAGTTTGCCTAAGACTAATTTGTTCCTGGATTTGTGAGAATGTGTGCATGTGTTTGCTGAAGCAGACGTGAAGCATTAGAACAGTTCGAAAGTACACCCACACTCACTACAGTCCAGTCAGTGCTACTCAATGGTGAATGACACCATCTTTTGCTTACGCAAATAAACTCTCACAAACACGCAAGCAGAGTTCTTTCTCATTTCCGTTCTTACAGCTTAATTTCCTTGAATTTTTAGTGTATTTTTTAGTGTATTTCCTTTGTCATAATCATCATTTTTCTTATAGGCCTATTATTTACTATCCAAATGTGGCATTTACACTTATTTTTGGTGTATTTTATTCATGTGCACTCTTTCTCAATGTCATTCTATTAGTTGACAGCTTGCGTCCAACCCTCGTCCACCTACATACTCGCACACATACATACTGTACCTTTGAGTCTAGATCAAGGATAAAATAGTGGTTAATGCTTCCTCTGTCCATTCAAACATTCCCTTATTTTGAAAAGAAACTTTCATATTCTGTCTCATGGTCAGTGGTCATTGAAATTGTAAGCATTTACAGAGCATTCATCAGACTTTGTGTCCTCATTGAAAATTTAACCCAAGTGACCTAGGTTTCTGAAAACTTTGCAAAGATGATTCATCACGAGAACGCGTTGGCATGTTGGATGGCATAACATACAGCAGTGAAAAAAAAGGCTGTGAATTAATTATAAATCCAAGGAATTTAGCATGGTTTCACTGATTTAGGGCACTATTGAATTGAAATTTACACAAGATTTACTTACACACAGGTTTGGAGTTTTATCTGTGAAAAGCAGTGTTGCTCATCATTTGGTTGATTCAGTAATAATGCATTGCCTTGTTGATGCACCATCCTGAGGCTACTCCTGGTAATTTTGTTTAATTCAATTATATCGAATTATAACTAAAAAAGATTGCTTTCAGTCTTATGTAACACATTTTACTATACTCTCTGGTGTCCATAATGACTAATGTATATCAGGGACATATCTGACACATGGACACACAAAATCACCCAAAGCCCCCTATGATAATAAGTTTGTTTTGTTAACACTTGATATAGCACTGTGTATTATCATGACATTGTGTGTCAAATGCGACTCCCTTTGTGATTTTAGCCAATAAGTTGGCATGTGAAAATGAGAATCACACTTCTACATATTTCTTCTTGTACATTACTCCTCCCACTTATGAGTTTCTTACTTCATGAGAAATGATGCCATTGACGCTGGATCCATTAGCAAATTTTAATAAGCCCCACGTAACCAGACAGCTCAGCATAATGTGTTAGTCCATGCGGGTACATTAAAAATGTTCAAGTTTATACTTATTACTTACATAGGAGTTTATTATTGGAAAAATTTAAAATGTATTTGTAAAGGCTACAATTAAAACTTGTAAGCAATTGTTATAAATAATTGTTGGAATGAAATAACCAACATCAAAAGTCCTAGTTTGTTGTGTTTGGGGGAATACTTGGTGGCTCATTCCAGACTCTACTACACCCAAATTATGTTATTTTCTTAGTGCTGACATCAGTCCGTCGTCAACGTCAAAATACGTTTTCATATATGTATTTGGCCTCAGTGGTATTACCACTTAGCCTTTACACCAGATTCTCGAGTTCTAGGCCGGATCTTGACACATTTTTGTTGCTTGGTGATTATATAGCCTACGCCTTATTCACGGCAGCGCCATCTTTGATTTTTAATGAGAATGAAAGCGAGGCTGTGGGGGATAGACTTGCATCTCTTCAATGGGCTGTACTGTTATTTAATGTGTTTTTTTGGATTGTTCTGCTCATGAAACACTGGAAAAATATCTTCCAAAGAAATGTCAGTTGACAAAAAACTCCCGACAACGTAAGCTGTGGAAAATTGTAAGTAATCTAGCCGCTTTATTCAGCTTTTTACAGCGGATGCCATTGGAAACACTCGGTAAGTCTATCCCTCACAGCCTCACTTTCATACCTGTCATGGCACTGCTCTGAATAAGGTCTATATGGTGAGTGGTTCGGCATGCAAGCTCCTCTTGCCAGTTCCATTGGCCATTTTTCTCAGAGGTGATGGACTACTTGCACACTGAGCTTCGCGACGCACTTTCGTTTGGAAACAATACACAGGCCTATCATCACTTACTTCCGGTTATGTTTACTTTAAATGTACTGCGGTCAATCGTCGAAGTTGAACAAACACCACCTAAAATGAGTGTCTGTAATAAAGTTTTATATTTTGGAAAATGTATTGACAGAAGAAGTGATATTCTGATGTTTACTGTGTGTGCAGAATTTTCAAAACTCATCGGAACATGAAAAAAAACGCCATTATTTCACCACAGGGTGTCAGTGTTGTGGTGAGAACAGATGAATCAGTACGAAACACAAACATATATTTGGATTAAATGTAATCATTCAGTGTCATTTTTCAATGTCAATCGTTTTACTATTTACATGTTTATGACCAAAATGCTTAAATAATTATCAGAGAAGTTGACTCATTCTCCTCTATGCTATCTGTGCGATCTGATCTAGGCCTACAGTCGCACCTCTCGATCATTCATTCATTCATTCATTCATTCATTCATTCATTCATTCATTCATTCATTCATTCATTCATTCATTCAACTATTTTAAAAAGACAGGAATAAAGCACCAATGCACACTTTTTATTATTCAAATTCATTTAAAAAATGTAAGCTCAAGTATAGAATTTAAGTAGGCAAAGACAAAAATACTGAACATTGTTAATGAGAAGACATAAAACTGCTGCAGGTTAGTGGATAAATAAATTGTAATGACCTGGCAGTCAGCGCTAGCAGCTGTGTGCATTATGGGTAATTGTTTATTGAGAGTTGATTTATGTGTTATTGCAGTAAGTTCTTTAAGTTTTGTGATAGTAAAGTTATCTGTGTTATGTTCAAGTTAAATCAGATGTTCTTGGTTCATTTACTGCCTAATGTAAAAATGTGTCTTTCACCGTCATGGTTTTATCTGTTCTAAATTTTAAGAGGAGAAGACACCTATGCTCCACCTGTGATAACACTCAGGGTCGTGCTGTGTATGGGACATGAGTGTTCTGATCTCATGTTAGGAATTAGTAAAAGTGTTATTAGCGTATTTTAGCTCTGGTTAGACCACGTTTATTTGATAACTACCAATTATTATAATATTTAGCCTATTAATTATTCAGAATGGAACAGGTGGAAAGAAAATATATTTAGCCTATAGGATCATTATATCAGGCTCAAGATAATTAATACAGAGATCATTATTCATTGTTTTAATCAATTGGCATTCATAAAACGTAGTGATAATCTGCATTCTCATGAATGGACGTACGATGAACACTCTAACCGGAAACTCCCGATATAAGTAGAACGCGGAAGTAGTTGTGCAAGTAGTCCATTGGGGCCTTGGGGCTCCCAAGTGAGACCCCATTTGTCAGTCTACATTATGTTGTAGTGACTGACAGATGGGGAACACAGAATAGCAGGGTCCTGCAGGGCTTTTTTTTTTTAAAAAAACCTGGAAATAAACACAAAATGATGCAAAAAGAAAAAATATAAATCTCACATTTCGGGGCCCTACATAATACATGTAATAATCAAAAAAATAAAAAAATAAATAAAAAAGATTTAGAAACAACTAGGCAACACTCTACAAGAGTGGGAGAGAGGTAATATTGTTTTTTGTTTTGTTTTTTTGTGTGTGTGTATTTTTCTTTTTAGCAACATTAAGTTAGCTGTAAACCGATATTGGATGTTGCATTGAATGTTGATTCAAATATATGGTCTGAGCAGCATAAATGACTGAACCAAGTGGAATTTTGTAAACCGGTGCACAATCCTGTTCTCTCTCACTGCCACACACACTCACAATCTTCCCATGCATGAAACGAGTGTTCAATTTATCTGGGTCAAACACAAAGCCCCCACATGGTCTTCAGAGAAAAAGCAGAGTGAGAATGAGAGGAAGAGAGGGGACATGAGGGTAAATAAACAAAATGTCCACTGAACACATTGATCCTCTCCACGTGATGTCTCATTCAGGGCAATTGGGCCAGCGAGAGAGAGAGAGAGAGAGAGAGAGTGAGAAAGAGAGAAAGAGAGAGAGAGGGGTATAACGAGAGATAGGGAGATGTACATGTTTTTTGTGAAGGCTGGATTTCATCACAGAGGTACTATCGCGATTGTTAGAAGGTAAGAGTCTTATTAATCTCATTTTCATAATAACGATCAATAATTCCAAAGTATATTACATTCAAATGACTTGAAATATAATTTCCTCTGTAATTTAGATAAAATTAAAATTATAATCTTTTTCAACTAAATCTGACATGTTTGAGAAATGTACTTAAAATGATATGATGACATTTATAAATGCTCTATAAATTTAAACTGTTTTATAATAACATTTTAACGTATTTTAAATATATAAGATGTATAAAGAAGTGTAAGAACATCATGGAGGGAGGAGTCTTACCAAAAAAAAAGTGCTCATTCCGTTCCTTACTTTCTTTTCTCCCAGCTGCACTATTACAAAGACAAGCACACAAATACCCAGATATCTCATGGTCTCATGATATAGCTACAGCTGCAGATATTTGTATAGATACACAGGTCAAAATAATAATTTGGAATAATTAAGATTTTGAAATCTTAAAAATGGTTGCTCCATCACAGGAATAAATTACATTTCAATAGAAAACAGATATTTTAAATTGTTATGATATTTTACAACATTACTGTTTTTATTGTATTCAAGTAACATCAAATAAACATGGTGCTCATAAGACATTTCTTTAAATAATCGTGATTAATCCATACCTTTAAAGTGCACATAAACAGCTTTATGTACACTGCACATACAGTAAAACTTCTCTTTTTTTTCTTCTTTAAAAAAAAAAAAAAAAATCCAGAACCCGCGATTTGCTTGGTGCTGCACTCCACAGTTCAACATGGCTAAATGGGGCTCAAACCTCAAATTGTTACTTCTCATCCACCTCTTACTGTCTGAAGTAGTATTTGGCAGAGCTCCACTCCCTCAACGCAGCCTGAGTCCCTCAGTGACTTCAAAAATGTCTCAAACAGAGCAAGTAGAAACACAAGTGGTTAAAGATGGTCTTCACGCCGCTCAACAGTTGGTCTTAAACCTCTCAGCCTCTCTACAAGGTCAGCTGGATCTCCAAAGCAATGCGAGCTGTGCAGAGCTCGCCAATAAAGGCTGGAGAGGCAATGCTTTCTCTCAGGAGCTATTGGGCTTGGCAATGGTGCCTGTATTGGTGTCAGCAGGATGTTTGACTGAAGCCCAGGCTTTGGTAATGCAACTCTATGCGGTGTTGGGCCAAAATGATACATGTGAATTTTTGCAGGACGTGCTGGTGCTGATCAAGAGAGGCAAAGAGAGGGAATTAGCACATATTGGCCATCACACCTTCACCAATGGATTCCAAACCCCGCCATCTCCTCTTATGCTCAACTCTGAGTCACAGTGCCACTTGCAGGCTGTTATATTTAACATCCATCAGCTAGCTGAGGTAGGTGAGAGAATTAATGGTTATAAGGGTAAAGTTAAGCCTATGGAGAAATGCAAGGGATGGGTGAGGGTGAAAGGCACTCAGTTACTGGGACAGGCTGCAGAACAGAGCGGGCCATTGCGTATTGGGGAAGCACAGCAGGCTTGTCGACGCTTGGGAATCCAATGTGCAGGTGTGAGCCAAGATGGCGATTCTGAATATTATCACGTTATCTTGAGGCCTGGAAGCAGCATAGTGCCTTCATCTAACTCTGAGAGCTGGATTCAGAATTGCAAAGTGGGGTCTGTACGTTGGCGCAGAAATGGGGTCCCTCAGCATCACTGTGTCAATGAAAAAGAGGAGCGAGTGTATATGGTTGTGGAGTGGATTCCTGCAGTTTCCACACTGTATAATCTGGGAACAGCAGTTTACTATGCTTCAGTTAACTGCTATGATACTGCAAAAGAGAGAGCCATCTTCAGCACCGTGGATCTGGGCACAGATGCCCTCATGGCTGTAACCGGGGGAACTGCAGGGGTTGCTGGTTATGCGTTGGGGGCTGGTTTAAAAACGGGTGTGAAGGCAGGGATCAAATATCTGCTGAACAACATGAAAGAGGATGGCGACCTGCTAATGAACCAGAACAGCTTGGAGGATGGAAGTATCACTGTCCAATAAAAACCTAATGAGACTGCTCTAGGGACTCAATGATTTTTCCACCAGCTGTAAATGATGTTGAAGAAGCTCTATTTTGTTTGTGTTCAGTCATAGTTTGCTGTTACAGTTTACAATATCAGGCCTATAAAAATAATGAGAGTTAAATCTCTTAATTTCTACTGAAACTAACAAACATTTTATTTATATTTCAATGCTGTTTTAATTGGGTTTTCATATGTCCTAAATGTCACTTTCCATCTTGATTGTAATATTATTAATATCCAAAAGGTAATGACATTAGCAGGAAGTAACATCATTGTTGGGTAAAAAAAATAGACACAGTAGCACTTTCATGAGCTTATTGTAGCAATGGATTTTTCTCAATTTAAAACATTCCATTCTGTTAGATAAAGTTACAGAAATCTGTATGATATTTTAATGATCTTCACTAAACGTTTTTTTTTTTTGCACTTTTTTTTAAAGACATCCCTTTCAAGCTTCATGTTAAATTTCTGAGCTTGTCTAGTGTATGTCTTAAAGTCTGGTATGCCTATTCATGGAAATACTTTTTAAATTTAGTTTGACCTCAAAAGGTTCTACATGACAGGAATGGCCAGTAATCAATTTACAACCTATCAACATATCATTTCTTCGTCAACCAACATGGGTCATATTTAACTACATTATTTAAATCAATAACATCAGTGGGAAGAGCAGAACACAAGACAAGTAGAATACAAGATACTCAGACATCTTAAAGTCAAGGCTTTAATTTGTAACTGTCAGTTTGAATATTGTCATTAGTGACGTGTACATGTTATTATAAGCAGACGTGAGTAAAAGCCAGTTGAGTTGAACCACTGCAGTCTCTTGTCATTAATACAAATATGAATATGTAACAGTTACAAGTAAATCAGTTAGAACTGTTTCTACCAGTAGCCTATTTCAGTTGATACATATTTATAGGTGTAGGCTATAAGAAAACCTGGGTGAGCCACATTTATTGACAGATTAATGTGCTAAAAGAAAACCTGACTCTGCGTATTACAGAATAGACTGTACACAATAGACTGGGTTGATGTGTAAAACTATACTCAGGCTCGCCACATATCTATAATATTATAGCCTATAGGCCTAAATAAAATACCCAGGGCTTGACATTAAAGGATTAGTTCACTTTTAAAAAGACTTTTGCTGATAATTTACTCATCCCCATGTCATCCAAGATGTCCATGTCTTTCTTTCTTCAGTCGAAAAGAAAGTAGGTTTTTGATGAAACATTACTGGATTTTTCTCCATATAATGGACTTCAATGGGAACCAAACGGTTCAAGGTCCAAATGAGTTTCAGTGCAGATGATGAATAAGGGTCTTATCTAGCGAAACGATCGGTTATTTCAAAAATAAATAAAAAAGTTTAAGTTTTATAAGCACAAATGCTCGCCTTGCACTGTTCTGTGATGTGCGTTCGTGACTATCCTGTTCGAACCCTGTTTTTTTGTGTGTGAAAAATAAACCATTATATGAATTAATTGAAATCAGTCACATTTTCAATCGTGGTGGTATTCAGCACTCTTCCTCGTGTGACGTTGCTTAACTGTATCATATGTTATAGGCAATATACATAGACTGACCATAGACCATACTGTTGACTGCATTTTTTTTCTGTGTGAGCAGCCAGCAATGAGCAGCGCTCTTTTTTCCATTAACGTTACTCCTCATGAGGGGCGACCATTTTTTTTACAGTCAATGGGGGCGACGCGCGAGCCTCAAAAACACAAGCAGTCAGCGGCTGTTTGCGGATTGGTTGGCAGTCCGAATGTCGACAGATATTTTTTAACGATGATACTTAAATAGCATTTTAATTGAACAAATATCGTAAGTACACAGAGTTTATTAAGACTTTAAAAATAAATGCTGCATCTATTTTAAGGTGCGCCATTGCCATTGTGGCACCAGCACACTTGGCACCAGTGGGACGCCAGTGGTGTAAAAAAAAATAAATGTAGAATACACGTATTACATCTATCCCTTGTTGATCGCAAAATGCTTTCGTAAAAGAGAGTGTATGGCTTTTTAAATTTCCGCGGTAGATGATTTTCCATAACATTACTTTCATTTCGTCATTTCTCGGAATGCCAGAAGAAAAATCTTGAGTTTCGTTTCTGCTGCTGTTCTATCGACACCCCTCCGTTGTGATGAATTTCATTGGCGGGTGCTTCAACCAATGGTGGTGGCCAGTGTTCCTGTCCTCACCAATGAACGAACGCAAGGGTTTCACTACGCAACTAAATGGGTGGGACCTCAAGATTCTGTGAGTGGGCAAATGTTCATCGCGTTGGAAGCAGAAATGGACAGCAGAGGGAGGTTTATTGAAGAGCCGCCTGTTTCCTGAGAAGCCCTGGAAGTGTGTTTATTTACTCGACAGCTGATGTTCAGTTCTGTGCTGTGTTCTTGTCTTTCCTGAATGCCTGCAAGAGGCGCTTTGTAAAACTAATATTTGAGGATAATTTCTTCAAAGCTGTAGAATACCGTTTCAGGTAAGTTATTGATAATTAACTTACATGCTAACGTAAGTTATTTACAAAGGGCTGTTCATTACTTTGCAACATAAATATCACTATGATGACAAATATTTAGGCCCGGGCTGTAACTGTGTAGCCTTTTTCATTATGACGATGTATCACGTTTTGTCCTCACACGATTAGAAAAGCAGTTCTTGACTCATTGTTTCCGCTGTTGTTTGAGGAGAGCTGTGCAGGTGTTGAGAACTTTATTACTGCTAGTGTAGAGTGCATGTAATGGTTTTCACTTTTGTCCTTATACACACTCTTACACTATTGCTAGTTAGTTTAATTTGCCTATTAATTTAATACGTGAAATAGTCCAAATCTATTCATGTGATGCCTAAAGCTGAATTTCCGAGGTCCTCACTGCAGAACACGAAATCCAGCAGCAGCCATTAATTCAAGTCTTCAGTGTCACATGATCCTTCAGAAATCATTCTAGTTTACTGATTCTGTTCTCAATAAACATAAAAATGGGAAGCACCATAAAAATCGAAATGAAATTCAAGCAAATCAGAAAACTCATTTGACTCTAGATCAAAAAAATTACACATTGATGAGTCTTATTATATTTTACATTAATGCCATGCCCTATTATTTTGTGTTCCAACTTCCAAACTGAGAATTTGTGATTTTCTCACCTTGACTTGTATTTTAAAATAGCCACTGTTAATGGTGCTTAAGCTCAAGTATCTGACATTTAAAAATTAGAGAGAGCAGGTCAGCCCCAGTAACAAGGCATCCTTTAACCTATCAGCAGACATGAAATCTGTTTTATTTTGTAGGATGACACAGTGGGAGCGATTGCAGCAGCTGGATACAGTGTATTCTCAGAGGGCTTTTGATCTGTACAATGGAGATGAATTCCCAATGGAAGTGAGACATTTCTTGGCATCCTGGATCGAGACCCAAGACTGGTGAGTGCAAGAAGTAAAGTCTGCAGATTGTTTTGTGATGATGTGATGCAAAGAAACTGCATCAAGGAGCGCCAACCTGGCATTACAAGTAATGTGTCTGTCTGTGTTGCAGGGAGCGTGCTTCTCGGGACTCTTCACAAGCCGCGTTCCTGTTTCAGGTGCTTTTGGAGAATCTGGACAACCAGTTCAGTCGTTTTGCGCAAGAGAGAGATAGTTTCCTACTGCAGCGTAACTTCAGACGCTACAAACAAAACTTTCAGGTAAGTGTACTCCTGCTTTCAAAAGCATCATTCTTGATGCCCTCCTTGGATTTCTGAAGTCTCCAAACATACTAAACATGTTAAACAAAAACTAAAGTCCTGTTCACACCAAGAAGAATAACTATAACCTCAACTACTAAATGTTATCATCCACCCCAATTTACGCAAGTAAGTGTGCTGTGAACATAATTGCAGCACACGCTTTAAAGGCACAATATGTACGATTTTTGGATTTAAAATCTCCAAAAACCACTAGAACAATGTTATTTTGCTGACTGGTGTACTTCCATTATCCCAGATATTTCCAATAATTTCTTAATCCGGAGAAATCAGCCATTTATTTTTAACCAGTGTCCCAGATGTAATTTCATCGCCTGTCAATGATGTTGTATCCACATTATCCTTGATTTATGGTTTGTTTTGGTTTAGTTTTCACTGTCTTCAGTTCCTAGTAATGCCTGCTACAGACAGTGCCATTTCGACAATCCTATAAGGTCATTACTAATCGCACTTCGCGACATGGATCTTAAAAACTTGGGTACAACATGTATGTAGACTGTACGATGATAAAACCTATTGAATCGTAGGCTACAATGCAAGTTGGTATAGAAGAATAAAACATCATCAGCATGTGCTAGTGGTAAACAAAAAGAGCAAGATGAATCACACTTTGGCAATTGTGGTTTTTATGTGCGCTGAAAAAAAAAGGAGAATATGGATGCGGTTAGGAAAAGAGGCCAACTTGGCATGCCAGTTTTGCAATTGAAGCTTGAGGGAAGTAGGTTTAAGTTTTAGCACCATGTCACATCACTAAATTTAGGACCACCGTTTAGGAGCCACAACCACAGAAATCACCACGATTAGTCCTCTTTCGTCTCGGACAGCCCAAAATCGTAAAATGTGTACCACCCATAAGTTTCCCTGGCTGTTAATTAGTTTCCAATTACCTGTTTCTGTTCACCTTGATTACATTCCTCATGTATTTAAGGCCCGAGTTTCATTCTGTTCCTTTGTATGGTATTGTCTATGTTAAAAGTGTTTGTCTTTACGTTTGCTCCTACAATCTGGCCGTGACACACACCATACTGAGCTAACGGACAGAGTAACATTATTATAACATGACTTTCAAGTTTCAACACACATGTATTTTTAGCATGATTGTTTTGACCTAGTAAAACAGTGCTGTTACCCCACAATTTTAATCTGTCAAATAAAGTGACCTGTGTGAGTCGTAATTCAGCCCTTGCAGCTGTTTCATTAGAATGAAATAAAATAATGTGAATTTAAGTAATCAAAAACATAACTGTAACCAAGTTCAGGCAAGAAGGAGGCGGATATTAAACGTAACTTTAAACATAAATAAACATAAACAACAAAATGAAAGTTGCAGCAGCGGCTAACTACGTCATATAAGCATAATAAAAACAGCAACATAAAATGCCCCCGGCTCTGGGCCCGTGCTTCATACCACAGTAGCGTTAATAACATTTTAATACATTAGCTCATCCATGAGCATGATTTCTGCCCGTCGGATTGCTTTCCATTGGCTGTGGAGGTGAAGACAGAAACTCCCATGATTCCATTCTTTCATGGCGTCATCAAGCTACTCCTCAATGTTTTTATTGTTCATCAACTGGAAAAAATGGCAGTTATGTTCAGTTATGTAATTTTATGGTTGTAATTATGGTTAATCAGTGACAGCTGTGGGATCATTGGTCACATTATCTTGTTTGCAGAAGTACCAAGAGGAGCCTTATACTCTTGCTGCTATTATCAACTGGTTCCTGGTGAAGGAGAAAGAGATCTTGAATGATGCAGAGCTTGCACAGCAAGTCAGTACCTTAAAGTGTTATCATCATCAACCCTTATTATCAACATCAGCATATTCTGATTCTCTCTCTCTCTCTCTCTTAATGTTTCAGGTGCAGATGTTGCAGGTTCAGCCGGCTACAATGGAGTTGGAGAGCCAGAGACAAATGGAAAAAAAATTAAAAGAACTCAAGATCAAAGTAGAGGTCCGTGTGTGTTTGTGTGTATCTGCTTGTATGTTTGTATTTGTTCAAGAACATGATTAATGTTTTTTCTTTTGGCAGGTGATGGAGCACAGCATAAGG